CATCTCGTTGCACTGCACCAAACCAAGACAACAAAAATGTACTCAAACTCATTTTGGCATTCATAAGAACAACATTGGAATGGACAATTAGTCTGATTTGATTCCTTTCCCTTTTCATCTTCAACGTTCTAAGATTTGTACATGCAATTATAAAAAACACCAAAACCTCACATGATAAGTACATGAGGTTATCCTCTAGTAGATAATGTTTCATATATAAAGTTCACTCTCCAGATTTCAAATCCGCTTTGTTCGTGATTCAGGAAAACTTAAAAGAGCGAAATAGGTTTTCCATCTACTGGTAGACTGAAATTTTTCACTAATCTTCTTGTCTTCTTTACAATTTTGCGGGTCTAAAGCGATGAAATGATAGTCAATTAATCTTAAGTCTATATCCATTTAGTGTACATTAGAAATACCAATACTCAAGAATCACAGCTCAACATTGGCATTTACTAAATTCAAACTTTTTGCCAACTTATACTCAATATAGCACCAAATAAGAGTACGTTCCAAAGAACAAAGATTGACAAACAATCAGAGACCCTAACTCATTAAGCCAATGTGAAGTTAGAGTAAAATGATTTGCCTAAAGTCAAATTCAAGACAACCTGCTTAGTTACCAACAAAACATTCTTCATCAAATTTGAAATCAAAGACAAAGATTGATCATTTATTCTCTGTTTATCATCAAATTAAGTAGAAAACCACTTATAATCTCTCACTCGATTAGTAAATATCACTCAATAATCCACCAGAGGAAACGAAACCTATTCGGGCTAGAAAGGACCTCGATTTTAAAACCCAGAAGTTGTTAATCAGGATTCTTTCTTAAAATCAGCTCGAATTTCATGGTATTAAAGAGTTGATAGTGGCCACTTATGCTTCAGAGACGCTCGAAAACTGAAAAATTGCTATCATTAGAGAAATAGGAGAATGTACCTTTTCTTCGAACTCAGCTTCTTCCATGGCGAGTAGAATCTCTTCGTTCTGCGGCTGGGGCCATTGTAACGGTAGCAAATACGATGCCGGAATTGTCTTCGTCGACGACGGGAACTGGGTCATCAACGTCGGAAACTGTAACATTATTCTCTCTCTCACTCTCTCAGGAAAAATGTTGTACCTTTTGATCTATACGGTAAATGAAGAACAAAAAAACCAGGTTAAGAAAAACGCTGCGTTTTAATAAAGACCCAGTAAAATACTTATTATTGAGCCCATTTATATGAAAAATCTGGGGCCCATCGTCTTAAGTTCCTCACACATATTATTCGTGTATAAAAAAATTGGAATTTATGTGAATAGTTGAATACTGAAAGACAGTGAAAGTTATCTTTTCTTGGTTTGTGACGTGTCGGAAATAGTGAAAGCATTCTTGTCGTATGGATTTAATAACCCATCAAAATAAGTTAAAGCATTTAGTGCAAGATCTGGTGGGACCCTGCTTTTAGACTATTGTAGAAGAATTGTTTCTTACGCGAAGGCCCATTGGGCCACTCCCTAACCTTCCGCGTGTGACGTAATTTTGAAACTAACAGCATAAAACAAAACCGATTAAATTCTTAAAAAACAAGAAAAATATTGCATATATTTTCGAATTTCGATCGATGTTGCCTTGTAAAATACTACTAAAACTTGATTACCAATAATACTAAATTTCAGAAATAATAAAACAAATAGTGCATCGACAAACAAATGTGTTGTTCACGATATTGATGATGTTTTGTTCCACTATTTAACTTTTTTTTTTTTTTTATAAACTCTATCGGCTGATCCGGTCAGCCCGGTAAGAACGCACCGAAGTGCTATAGTGTGGATTTCTCCCTGGTTCAACGGTTCAACATACATCATGAGCTTTGAGCGAATTCGAGTCAACGGGCCATGAGATCCATGAGATCCAAATGGGCCACCACACTACTTGACCTGTTACTGGACTATTATATTATCCAGATTTTCTACATAATTGTGTTTTTGTTTCCATGAGATCCATAAGATCCAAATGGGCCACCACACTACCTGGCCTGTTACTGGACTACTATATTATCCAGATTTCCCACATAATTGTGTTTTTGTTTCCAGGGAAGATCGAACCTGGGTGAAGTAGTGTAACACCCCACACAACCCTTCCCTACCACTGAACCACAACGATGCGGACAGACTACTACTATTTAACTTGCATGTCATTTACTATCACTGCTGTAATTAAAGCCTGTCTCGAACCGAACAAATAAAAACAAGAAGCTTGAATTCATTTTTCTTTACAGTGTCAAGTCGCGAAACATGTGGAGAACGATACGGTAAAAAATAAAAATAGACAAAAAGAGGGCTTAGAATAGATAAAATGTTGACTATCAATCTTGCAAATATATGTGGGGTGAATAGTTGCAAGGCTGTACATTGCGTTCAAAAACTTGAGGTAAAATGAAAAAAGAAAAGAAAAATACATCACATATTCACATTATTATATAAAAAAGGCCAAACACACCTTTAAAAAGGTTAACTCTTTATACCTTTTTTTTCACACCCATTTCCTGTGAGAAAGAGGCCTCGCATGCGGGAATATAACTATACGGCTTCTTAGAACGACACAAAACCTCTCTTTTATCTCACTCATGCACACACACACACACACATATATAAGTCTTTGAATTTGTGTATATCTATCTATATTTCAATATATAAATAGCTTGATTGAGATCAATTTGAAAAGATTAAAGAAATATGTTTCTTGCTTCAGATCTTCCCCAAAAGCTTGTGTTCTTTATCTTGGTTCATCTCGGTGAGATTGATGATGATGCTGGAAGCTCTTGTCCCGGTTAAGTCACATTGAAGTTCTCGAATCCATTGATGAAGCTAAATGGGGAATAAGCTTTCCTGGTCCGATCGATTTCATCTTAAGTCTTCTTATACATGCATTTTATAATAATTGAGTCAATGTTGTTAAAGTTGGTAGTCCATGTTTTTATCACTTACGTATGTTTTTTCCTTCTTTCTCATTGAATGCAAGGTTCAGCATTAATTATCCTATAAGTTAACGAAATTTATTTTGGAATAAAAGACCTTTTTCATTTGTGGATCAAACACATCTGATCATCTGAATTATGTTGAGGTTACATATTTCTCGTATTTGAAGTTTAAAACTAACTTGTTTATTAAGTTTTTCTGAAATCCGACAGAAATAAATTATATGTGCTTGTGCATATACACGTTATAATCCTTTCGAGGTTGATCTGTTAAACTCAACCCCTTTTTCGCTATGAAAACTCAAACTCTTTGATTTACGTAGTCTCTGATGATATGATATCTCGATCGACTTCCAATATATATCAATACAATAACATTTTGACATGAACAACTCACCATATATAAATCTCATGGCGCGATAGCCATATAGGCCAATAGGTAACCGTTGGATCAGTTTTCACTTTTCACAAACTTGATAGAATTTTACAATAGAGACAAAAGGTTTTATTAAAGTTACCATTAATTTTCACTACGAGTTGGAAGAATCGTGGAAATGAATAACTCTGTGGAATAGAATCACTATAATTTTTTTTAATTGAAAAACTGTAAGATAGAGCAGAAGAAAAAGAAAAACACAAACCAACAAGAATTATTTTTGTGGAATTTTATGGCTTTATCAAATTAGATATATCATATATCCAAAATATAATCTGTATGTCACGAATTGATTGCTGCTACATATATGGTTGGGAGTTCTGTTTCAATTTTGAAGGGGGGCCTAGGTCATTTACTCATCGTTATAATCACACAAAAATTAATAATTAACTGGATGATGAAAATACGAAACTTCTAAGAAAAAAAGCAAATATTTAAAAGTCTTCCTTGTCATTGCTTGGCTTCTTCCGACACACTTGCTTTCCATTTCCACACTGATAGACTACAATCAAAAAATTATTGTCTTTCTTGGTCCCTTAACAATGGCGGACAATCGAAGAAGACTGACCCTGTTCGACTTCTTTCTTCTCTCCGCGTCCCTGGTTTGTCTCTGTTTAGCTCCGATTCCAGCATCGGCACATCGTCGGAAACTCAGGTTCGGTGTGGACGGCGAGTTCAAGATACTGCAAGTGGCCGATATGCACTTCGCAAACGGCGCGACCACACGGTGTCTCGATGTGCTTCCTAGCCAGAAAGCTCACTGCTCCGACCTCAACACCACCGTCTTTATGTCTCGAGTCATCGCCGCCGAGAAGCCTGACCTCATCGTCTTCACCGGTAAAATCCCTATATTAAAAAAAAAACCCTAATTTCTCCGCCCGATTGCTTACCACTCCTTAGACTGGAAATTTTACTATTTTGAAAACGCTGGATTTTGCCAGGGTTTACATAAACCCTAATTTTGGATATATTTCTGTTGGTTATCATAGCAATTGATTACTCTTGGGGTTTTGTATTCGTTCTCAGGTGATAATATATTTGGGTTTGATGTTAAGGACGCTGTGAAATCCCTGAACGCTGCTTTTGCTCCGGCGATTGCGTCTAAAATCCCCTGGGTTGCTATTTTGGGAAACCATGATCAACAATCAACATTGACCCGACAAGAACTCATGAAACACATTGTGAAGCTTCCCAACACTTTATCCCAAGTGAATCCTCCTGAGGCTGCTCATTACATTGATGGGTTTGGTAATTACAATCTCCAAATCCATGGAGCTGCTGATTCTAGTCTACAGAACAAATCCGTTCTCAATCTCTATTTTCTCGACAGTGGAGATTACTCTAGTGTTCCTTACATGGAAGGTTATGACTGGGTCAAAACTTCTCAGCAATTCTGGTTCGACCACACTTCAAAACGTCTCCAGGTATCATTAACAGTGAACAATCTCTCTCGTGTTTTACCCTCATTGATCTCGACCTTTTGTTGTTGTTTTGAGTCTTGGTTTTGATGGTAATCGCAGAGGGAGTACAACAAGAAGCCTAATCCTCAACAAGGTGTAGCTCCAGGACTAGCTTACTTCCACATTCCATTACCGGAGTTTTGGAGTTTCGACTCAAAGAACGCCACAAAAGGAGTGAGACAAGAAGGTACATCCTCGGCATCTACAAACTCAGGTTTCTTCACGACATTGGTAGCTAGAGGAGATGTGAAATCTGTGTTTGTGGGTCACGACCATGTCAACGACTTTTGCGGTAAACTCAAAGGGATGAATCTATGCTATGGTGGTGGGTTTGGGTACCATGCTTATGGTAAAGCTGGGTGGGAGAGGAGAGCGAGAGTTGTGGTTGCTCATTTGAATAAGAAGAGAAAGGGAAAGTGGGAAAATGTGAAATCAATTAGGACATGGAAGAGGCTTGATGATCAGCATCTCTCTGTTATCGATGATCAGGTTCTTTGGAGCGATTCTGCCAAGGGATCAGTTGCTCCTCGTTTATGACTTCATGTAGTTATTATGTACTTCTGTTTGATCTCATTATAATTTTGGGTTTTGTAGTAACGGAAACCAAATAATCAAGTTATATAAAGTGCATTGGTTTCAGTTTGGTTTAATGTAATGTAAATTCTCTTCTAGGGGTTGCTCTGTTTCGTCAAATAGCGCTATAACATGCAAAAACTCTGGCCCTATATTGTTGCCTTCGGATATGTACCCGTCTTATTGGAGAGATCCTATCGGATCAGCTCAAACAAAATGCCACTCTGATGATAAAATGGGCAGGCCCAAACTTGTACCACCAAAACTCTTATAATCGTATGTTTAGCCATTTCTATATATCTATAAAACCTTGTAACCATTTTTATATGCTTTTGTTTTGTTATTATGTTCATTGATATTTTCCACCCAGTGATTGATTACAGAGTGTAGTGCAGACCTAAATAATTTTGGTCTATAAACATAATAGATAATGAATGTGGCAAGTGGCCCGTATAGCTCAGTGGTAGAGCGTCAGTCTTGTAAACTGAAGGTCCGTAGTTCGATCCTGCGTGTGGGCACGTTTTTTTATATTCCTTTTTAATCCTTCTTATCAACTATAAACGACGACGTTTAGTAATGGTTTCATTTTTGACATTGCCAAAACCTCCGAAAAACTCAAAACTCCCCGACGGGAACGGCCGTCGTCGTTTTCACCCGTCACTATAACGATCGACGAGTTTTTGGTTTTTAAATCTGCAATGGCGACTCTAATGAACAGGTTATTCAGGAGCAAGTCTTGCTTCAGTCCAATTCAGAGGCTTACTCCTTCTCTCATCACTTACCAGAAGAAGCCATACATCGAATCTGTTTTCGAGAAATCTGACCCAGCTTCTCTTGCTAATCCCGTGATTACGATCTCCGGGAATGATTCCGATCAATCTATGCGGTTTTGTCCTAGTTTCTCCATGGGCTGCTCTATGTCCGGATCTAGCTGAAACAGCGTCCTTTGAGGAGAAAGATGAGAAGAATATCGTGATTTACGCTGATAGTGTGAAGAAGAAGAGGAAGAAGAAGATGAACAAGCACAAGTACAGGAAACTCAGGAAGCGTATGGGTCGAAAATCGTAGAAAACCGCTTGCTGTCCGATCCCTCTTTTGCTGTTTCCTTTTTATTATTTTTTTATGATGAGAGCTTCAAATAAGAACGTTCATTTCATTGATTTAGAAGAAAACGATTCGAAATTTCTTTCCACTAGCTTTGAGAATCTATAAAATTGCATTGTCAGCAGTTTGTGTTAATCGTTTGTTTGTTCCACATTTTTCATCTAATAATACTAATAAAACAAACAATTTGCGCCATTCGCACACAGTTGCTGTGTGTTATGTCTTTTATGATAACTTCTACTATTTGAATTCTTTAGGACTTGCTATTGCCTTTTTAGAGTTTGTTCATTGGATATTCCAAGTCTGTGTTTTTTTTCTCTATTGTATTGTGTTTGTGCCAGTATGGTTTCTTCATATCTTTTATCAGACCATAAGCTTTAGATTTTGATAGCGTATATTGTGATTCTATAAACTATTTGAATGTGTACTTGTCATGCTTCACTTAGCTCTTCTTCTTCGATCAGTTTAGTTTCTCCGTGTTGTGTCTTCGGACCAACTAAAGACAGTTGAACTAGTTTGATTCTAGAGCTAAAGTGTTGACAATGAGGTTTACGCCATTATAACTCTGAATCTCATGGAATCTCAGATGACTTCTTAGTGATTGATATTCAGACCAGCTTTACTCTGTTTTTTTCCTCTGCATTGCATATCATGGTTGAATTTAACAAGGAAATACTTTCAACAACGTTTGCTGTAAATATCACCTTTATTGGCTCGAACAACAACAAAACTCTAGAATCACCACAAGACACAAGAGATCTGATATCTTAAAGACTTGAAAGCTAACAATACCTAAGCCTGAAACATTAAGAAACTTAATTCTCATCTTCATTTGCGTGTGGGAGAATTAGGTACGATGTGCGCACAACTATCCTTGAGAAGACGAGGGAAGAACGGATTCAACGGAAACATTTGGGGCCAATAGTTTACATCTATGGTCACAAACGTTTTGCAACAAGTGGCCTCAATGCTTCCAAATTGGCCAGAGAGAATGGAATTATAGATTTCAAGTACGCATCCTTCAACATCGAAGAGAGATGACCAACATTTTATCGGATCGATGGGAGAAATCGGTGGGAATATACTTGGAATCGATGGCTGCACTTGAGCCACTCCAGGTGTAACCAAAACGGCAGCACATAAGCCTATAACTAGGATCCAAGAAGCAATGGCGTTGGATTTGATCTCCATCTCTATTTTCTTGTTCTTCTCTCCTTTTTTTAGCTAGAGGTTAGGTGCTTGGATGGTTTAGCTTTCGGAATAATTAGAGAATTGAAATTTATAGGGGTAGAAATAGAAAGGTGAGTTAGTAAAGTCAATAAGAATCACTCACAAGTTTAAGTTTAGTGTGTTTTAAAGAGTGACTCTCATGTTTAAAAAGCAAAACAAAGTTACAATATATATCTTTAACCTTTTAGATATATATTTTTTACCCTAACAAAAATTATGTGTTTTTTTACACAATTAATTTTAAAACTATGAGTTTCTCCAATTAAATTATAAAGTAGAAATGCATAATTACAATGAAAAAAAATACAATAACATATAATAAATAGAAAATACAAGAACATAGTAACTTATAAGATAAAAGGTATTTTGAAATGCATGTAATTCTTTTTTATTCAGTAATGAATTGAAATGTGACGTATCAGACAAGAAACCACATACATTGCGCGGTTCGTCTGTTTCCCACGCGTCTTACCTTTTTCCTCTCCAATAATGAATAAATAAATATCTGTTGTAACAAAATAGCACATGTTTTGTCTAATTCCTTTGTTGCTTTTGAATCCTCAATTATGATCAACTTCCACTATACAAACGACTAAGACCGGTTAGTCAATTTTGATCTCCTATATTGAATTTCTATTTATTCCTTTCACCATAGTTACAGCTTACAATTATTGTGAAAGATTTGACCGATCCAACTTTAATTTGAAATAAAGAATTACCTCAAAATAATCTTAGATCAATCAGGTCAGGTCATATAATTTTTCAGATCAACTAGCGATAAAAAAATATATTTAAAATTTGTGATGCACATAGTCTATAGTCTTTTTGAATTGTATAGTCTATAGTCTATATTGACAAATTGGAATTGGATAGTCAAAGCCAAATTTAATTCTAAATTATATTCTTGAGAATCTTGTATCGAAAACACATGATGAAAAACAGGAGTTGTGACAAGACCTTTTGGGAACGGGATCATAAACGAAAACTTAAGAATATATAACTATATATCTCATATTAGTCCCGTTTTAAATTCGAGACGAAACGAAAAAAGGGTCGAGACGGGATGAGAACGAGAGCTCTTAGCAACTAAAATTGTGTTCTAAACAAATTCCAATAATTAAAGATGAAAATTTTACTAATGAAATACATAAGTAAATACATATATCTTACAAATAAGACCCAATCAAACGAGAGATTAAAAGGGTTACTCGTCGACAAATTTAACCCAATCAACCGGTCTGAGAGACAAATTACAAATAAATATAACTTCCGACTCTAATAATGGCTTCTAACAATCGCTCATTATATAATCTACCAAGAAGAAGAAAAAATGAAATTCTAATCATCACATTAACTTCTTTCGGATTCTGATGAAATCTTCTGCGTCTTCTTTTAACAACACTCCACTTTTCTTCTTCTTTGATTGAGACAACGAAGACATGGCTTTCGCAGACGCAACTCTCCTCACCAAAACCTTCCACTTCGTGTCCTCGACCATTTTCTTGTCCTTTTCTCCTCTTTTCTTAAATTGCCTACTCCAATCACCAAATATCAAAAAAAGTGACAACGAAATTAGATTCTAATTTTAAAAATATCTTAAATAACAACAAAATATTTTCAGCCGGCCGTCTGATCATGACTCATCATCTGACAAGTAGGTCACCACCATAAACATATTATTACTATTGGCGCCGAAAGTGAAAATCAAAACGAGAGTGACTATCGAAAAGTGAAAACTTTAATAAACATAAGAAAACGTGGTTTTGATGATCCTCAAAATGTCGGTGTTTTTACCTGCAAAGTGGGACACGGCAAGATTCAGATTGGTCGCAGATGGAAGAATGGAGTCTGAGTAGTTGAATCATTCTCTTGCAACGAAGACAACCTTTGCCATCGACTCGTTTCTTGCAGACTGCAAAGTGACGAATCAGAAGTTGGAGTCCATAACAAGTCGAGAACGCACTGCACGGACCAGGTTTTACTTGAGATGTTGCCTTGTTGTTGTCTACGTTGGACGATGGTCCCACCAATGCACAACCTTCGGTGCATATGTGTTCGATACATTCCATGGCTTCACTCAGTTGCGTGTACAGATTCTGTTCTCGTCTGTGTCTCCGTCTTCTTTTCTTTCTCTGCAAGAAATTACCAAAAATACACAACTATGATCAGAGGCTAATACGGATAAATTCAAGAGTGCTCAATTCGGATTTGCATTCGATTTTGATCCAAATGTCTCCGTTTATGAATAGTAAAAATCATATTTGTTTTCAATCCATGTATTTCGGTTTATGAATAATAGAAGTCTTGTCAAATCAAATCTAGTGTGAACCGGGAGGAATCAAACAAAAACAATAAAAAACAGAGCTTTTGAAGGGATCAAGCAAAAACAATTAAAAAACAGAGCTTTTGAAGGGATAAAAAAAAAACAATAAAAAACAGAGCCTTTTAAGAACGAAAAAGAAAAGAAAAGAAAAAAAAAACAAACAAAATTTGGTTTCGGTTAGAATTCGGTTTTATACCAAACATTTCATTATTTTTAAAATCCTTTTTTTGTTTCCTTTTTCTGGTTCGGTTATGGATTGGTGGATAGTTATCTTCCTATTGAACCGGGATGGATCAAACAAGAACAACAAAAAACAGAGCTTTTTAAGAACAAAAACAGAGAAGAAAAAAAAAAGTTTAAAAATTTATTACCGATTCAGCCTCGTCGATGAATTGGAGGATGTCGAGTTCGAGAAAAGGATCGTGTTCTTGAAGAAACTTCCATCCTTCGGTCTGCTCAACGATCTTGAACTTGGACTGAATCAAACGCATACACTTGAGACAGAGGTCAGGTGCGTCGCAGAGCCGAGCCAGCTGTAGAACATCGACGACGTTCTCCGCCGTTACTATCTCGCCGACGCCTTTGGTGCACCGTCGCTTCAACTGAGTCACCATGTAAACGTGTGATAGAGCCAGTAGATGGATTCCGTATTTCTCCATCTCCTTCTCCGTCAGACTAAATTAGAAAGACATAAACAGGGTATTTTAGTCATTTGGGTAAGGGCTTGAGAAAAAAAAAAGCCACAGTTGATTATTTCAAATTTGATGCTTAATAGAGTTAATACTTTAAGTCTTTAATAGTTTCGTCTCTCTTGTGTTTCACACGTTTTGAATATGGAACAAGTCTAAATCAATCGTAATCCGGTTGAATGAGGGAGAAGTCGAATTTGGTACAAATGATTTGCGTCAGAATGACAAATTTCCGATAGATCACTCAAATTCTTCTTAAGAATTCATCAAAAGTTGAATAAAACCTTTTACTAAACCGGAATGATCATTGAATTGATAACGAACCTGGGAGAATAGAGGAATCTGAGGAAGACTGAAACGGCGTCGCATGGAACACCGAGAATCTTAATGACTCTCTTTGATGATCCGCCGAGGTTTTTCCTCGGCTTCTCTATGATGTTCGCAAGTACCGGTGAAGCAGAAGCCTGCATTTTTCGATTTTAAACAAAAAAACCACAAATTAACACACAAAAAAACGAAGAAAAAAATGAATGTTGGATCGTGAAAGAAGAATAAGATTTAAGGAAGTACGAAACTGATCGGACATGCAAAAAAAAAAAAAAAAAAAACTTACGAGGACGCCGGAGTGTGCCGGAATCCGACGGCGGCCGGAAGTGATGATCTCAACATCCCTTTCAACCACATCGTAAGAGATCTTATCGGCGACGATTGAAACGCCGTCGTTTGTAGTGGCGGTTACGGCCATCGTGGACTAAGACAGCTTTCGTTTCAGAGAAAGAGAAAGATATTTAGAGGATGGTTCAATTGATGGAGAAGCTTGAGGGGCTGCATCTCTGTATTTTATAGACAGCTTAACAAAGCCTGCTCTTTTTGATTTGTTCGTCCACGTGGCATTTTTATTTAATAAATATCTTAGTTCCTGTCTTGCCCCCACATTCACGCGGTTTTTTTGGCGCGTGTGTTTGTTTCTCTGAATTTTTGTGATTAAGCCATAATAATTTGCGAAAGGGAAGTAATTAGTTGACTGTATTTGAGGTGTTTAGGGTCTATATCGACACGCTTAAACAAGTCATGAGTGAGTCATGATAAAGAACTAGGGGTCGTCTGTAAAACCAACTCTGATCCGAATACTAGAATGTGGTTTTCCGTTTTAATAATAATCAATAACAATCCATAAATATGGGTTTTCTGTGAGTTTACTGTAATGGATTGCATATCAAACTTTAACTCTTTTTTTAAAAAAAAAAGTCTGTATACAGAATTTCATGGTTATGTTGTAGCATTTTTGAAAAAAATCATAACTGAAAAATGATTATGAATTAGTGTAGTAACCAACCCCAACAACAAAAAGCCCATGGGACTTATTATCTCCTTTAGGCTTATTAATTCAAAAAATACATTATACATTCGGGTACAAATTACTCCATAAGGTCAACATTTTTACAAAGTTTTGAAATTTTAGTCTGTATATGTTTTCAGCAAAGAAACTTGACATACTTTTATCAAAGAAAACTGTATATCTCCTCTAGACATAGCACTGAGCCATTGAATGAGAACTCATATCTAAAAATCATTGAAATAATCACATTAGTCTGACCACGCTTAGATATATGTTATATCCGAATTGCTCTGTGACATATTTTACTATAAAACTTCACAAACATTAATATGCCTCAAACATTTTCAAATAGCCGCAATGCCTCCTAGCACAACCACAAGAACAAATCATAAATAAGTACGTTGTTTTAAGAACAAATCTTTTCTTATTCCCACCAAGCTATGCCAACAGGATCTAACCAAGAGATCATTAGCAATATTGTATGTGTTTAATTGGACCTTCAGATGCACCAATGTCGTCTCTATTATATTCCCAACATTACACATCCATATATTGTTTTTTTATTTCCACTAAGAGTCTAAAAGTACTATAGAAAAATTGCTTGTATAAACAATATTACTTTTTTATAAACAATATTACTTTTTTATAAACAATATTACTTTTGGTACCATGTAGGATGTATGTCACATGTGGTGATGAATGTTTATGTTTTTAGTGATCCTACGTGGAACAAGTGATAAAACCGGTCCAAAAGGTTGCCTTGCAATGAAGAAAAAGAGTTGAAATAAGATTATTTTAACTTGAGAAAGGCCGGTTATTGAAGTAAACCGACCCTTGCCTCTTCCCAAGAGCCACCTCCTCGTCTACGTGGCTGTTAATCCTCATCCACTCTCAGGCCCTCTTGTCTGGCCACTTGTAACTCTTTGATTCATTCATTCTCTGGATTTTCTTAATTTTGTTTTATAAAAATTATCACCAAAATGATTGAACATCAAAGGATGTATATATATTGTTTTTCGTTCGTCAACTGAATTTCATAAAGAACCAAATTCATGCAAAACATTACAGCATGGAATGTCACACATGACACATCTAACAACTAAACTCTGATATAAGAGATGGATACTGTTAATAAGTATGAATCTAAAATAACTAAACGAAATCGGATCAAAACCATAACATATATGCTTCAGAAAATATAGATATCCGTGTCGATATTTAAGTACTAGTGTAGACATCTCATAACTCATAAGGCCATAACCATTCTAAATTTCTAACAATTGCAAAAAAGTAATGTTTCATGGCTTATGAGTTGCATAATTTACGTGCACTTTTAGTAATTAATACATTTGATTATAAAATGTTGGGGTGCTACGTTTTCCTTTCATTAACTCTACATATACTACATGTATATGTATATTGGATAAATTAATCATGACGTTCCTTTAAGTATTCACAATTGGCCCTTTAAGAAAACGAAACAACAAAATCCAAAACCTGCGGATAACTTTACACGGATGATCAAAAGTGAAAAGTGTCACATAAAATAATAGATCCAATGATTTCATGTAAGATTATTCACAATAAATATTCGCATATGGGAATTAAAATACGTTGTCTAATATAAGCTGTTTATATATTCCACTTGAACTTTTGAAGCACTGGAGACTGATGTGCTTGACTCCGATCTTATCCTTAGAGTTATTTATATTTGCAAAGAACGTGAATCAGCGATGTACTTATTCTAAACGGTAGATATCCACAAAATGTGTGCGCTTTGACAAAAGTCTATAAGAAAATTGTTACCGATTTTAATGTATTTTTATTGGAGACGATTGGAGACGATGTATATGTGTATTTCCTTATTCTCCAATGTTTTTTTGTTGTTTGAACAAGAAAAAGAAAAACATGCTTACCACATCACATTTAAATATTAGTTATCGCTGAAATTCAAATTCGAAACTTATACCAAAGATGGTTGACCTATTCAAAAAATGAAATGACCGTTGACCTGACCACCCTCCCTTGGTCTTCGGAGCCGAGTCCTCAAGTATTTGGATACTTATCTTCTTCTTCTTTTTGTTGATAAAGACACATATGTTTTTGTTTATGACAATTGGAGAACTTAAAAAAAAAAACTCAACAAAATAAGTAAAGTAAATAGACTGAAAAAACAATCGTGCTACTCACAAGCTTTCAGTGTGGCGGGCAGTTTGGTGCTAACCTTATAAGTTAGTATAAAATAGTCTTTGAACTTGGAAAAAAAAAAAGAAGATAGCTGTGATGTGTGCAATTTTGAAGGGAACTCTGAATTTTTTTGCGTATAGAACTTCTAAAAGGGGCCAAAATATTGAAGAAATATAACAATTGAACAGAAGCCCATTAACTACAAAAAAGCCCACAATAATAATCAAACTTAAACTAAAAAATGACCCAAGAGAGGCCCATAAGATAACCGTCACCGGGTATCGACATCGAACCACCACAACGGTGGCGAATCCCGGCTTCGGTGATCTCAGAGACGAACTCTCTACTTCGCGCTCTTTCTTTATCTCTCTTCTTCTCGGTTCCTCCTTAAGCGTCGAGATTTGTAAAATCAAGGTTTGCCTTCTTTGTTTCGCTTTTGGCGATGTTCGTCCTGAGGGTTCATTCGGTTGACTCTGAGCGGCCAATCTCCATTGAAGAAGAAGAATCCGGTTTCAGCTACGCATCATCGAGGAGATCTCATCCTCCCGATAAACTCACACCAACCCTAAAACTCACTGAACGCAAAGGCCTCATCCATCTCTACCGCAACTCTTCGCACAGCTCCCTCCCCAACCCTAGCTCCCGATCCACCACTCTATTCGTTGTCGCTGTTCCCAATTACCTTCCCCCACTCGATTTTATCCGCTTCTGTGATTCCCAAATCGCCCATGTCTCCCAAATCCTCTTCATCAGGTTAGTCCAATATCGTCTTTTGAGTGATCTTTTGCAAGAACTCACTGGTGTTGATTACTTGATTTGATTTTGACCGTACGCTCTAGCTTAGAATGTGAAGTGATGTTAAAGGACTAGAATGACTATGTTGATGAGTAAAAAGAAAATACATTGGCTGATTGTTGCTGGATTTGGTGTTTTCCTGAACATTACTAGGAACGATGGAATGGAAGATCGATATAGTGTTTTGATCACACTTTCTGATCAATCCGCAGCAGATGGATTCCACAAGAACCTTAATGGGAAAAAATATGCACCATCTGAGGTATCATAATATGGAAATGAGATTCTTTTTTTTTTTTCTTCAGTTCATTGCATGAAACTAAACTTTTTCTCTTGGGGTTTTAGGCTGAGGTTTGCCATATTCTCTATGTACTGTCTGTGGAGCACACGGAATTCGATGAGCTTGCCGCTTCTCCACCTGCTGGATTTACCGAGTTACCTACTTGCCCAATATGCCTTGGTGAGTTGTGTCAAAGAAGACCCATTTCCATGTTATTTTCACTTTGACTTACTTAACTGTTCCTTTTCTTAATATCAATATTTGGAATTTGACTCATGCAGAGAGATTAGATCCTGACACCAGTGGTATACTCAGCACTCTCTGTGATCACTCGTTTCAGTGTTCTTGCACTTCAAAATGGACTTATTTGTCCTGTCAGGTGAGTTTGGTGTTGTATTTGCGGTGTTCGTTTATTGGCAGTGTTCACGTAGCTAATACGTTTTCTTCCATATGTTAGAGCTTTAACGCGTGCTTGTTTCTGGTGTAAAATGAATCTGATTTATACAGTTCTTAACAATCACCTTGCATATGTTTTACCACATGCTCATTTCGTTTGTAGGTATGTCGATTGTGTCAACAACAAGATGAGATATTAAGCTGTTCAATTTGTGGAAAAACAGAAAACGTATGGGCATGCCTTGTCTGTGGCTTCTTAGGTTGTGGAAGGTAATGCTTGGTTTGCGTTTCCATTGTGATAAGATTATAACTACATCTATATCTTCCATCAGAGGTGGAAGTTTCATTCACAGTGGATTATGTTTTCCAATTGTAGATACAAGGAAGGACACTCTATCAGGCACTGGAAAGAAACGCATCACTGCTATTCTCTTGATTTGCGAACCCAACAAATCTGGGATTATGTTGGTGACAGCTATGTTCATCGGTTAAACCATTCAAAAATAGATGGAAAGTCAGTAGACATGAACACCCGCTGTCTGTCACACGATGGGGACTGTGGTCTCTGTGAATGTAGTGAGGATACAGGAATTAGCGGTGCCATCCTCAACAGTAAAGTTGATTCAGTATGATTTTAACCACCCCTAATCAATCTTTCCCGCATAAAGTGAATCGTAGATCATCATTGGTTTTATGATTTTATTATTTGACTAAGTTTTTGTGGAACAGATTGTAACCGAATATAACGACCTTCTTGCAAGTCAGCTGAGGGCACAGCGACAGGCAAGTGATTCTCCTGATGTTTATTTTTGTATGATGAAGTTGTTGACACCTCATGGTATACATATGCAAGAGATCTCAATTACTAATCACGATCGTGATGTCTTTCATCAGTACTATGAATCTCTGATTGTTGAGGCGAGAAGCAAGCAGGAAAGTAGTATCGCAGAACAAGTTGAGCAGACTGTTGTTAACAAAATGCAGGAGCTTCAGAGTGAGATTGAAAAATGTGAAGAGGAAAAAAACGGAATCACTGAAGTGAGAGCCTCTCTGCCTTGTTCTCTTTTGAACATTGTTCCATTCTTGAAAGGTTTCCTTATGCACTGATCACGCTTCATGTTATTAATATTGGGTTTCAGGTTAATAGAAAGCTTATAAAAGAGCAGGATTTTTGGCGGAAGAAGGCCAAGGAAATACAAGAGAGGTGCAAGATGGTTTGCTCTTGTTAAGATGTTTACGTAAACAATCATAATCCATAATAAAGGATTGATTGATTTTTGGTGTCTATCCAGGGAAGCTGCATTACTGGGATCAAAAGACGAGATTATAGCTGATCTTGAAGAACAGGTAAGCTTCTTCTACGTATACTCATTGAGGGTTTTTTTGCTTTTCTTTTTTTTTTTTTTTTTTTGCTGTTAACATTTAACGAATGATGGTAATGGATTGTACAGATAAGAGATATAAGGGTATTCGTTGAAGCCCAGAAAACCCTAAAGAAGATGTCATCAGATTCAGATGGGATACGTGAAGGAACCATCTTACCAGTGCCTATCAACGACGAGCCAGTTAGAAAGCAAAAGAAGTCAAACCGGAGAAAGTAAGTTCAAGCGCGGATTTTGTGATGCTTTTACTGATTTTTTTACTTTGGTGTAGTATGATTGTAGAAAACGATTCAAAAGGTCCCAAAATTTGAGCAAAATACGTTAGGGCTTGTAATACGACTTGGAAACAACTGTATACATGGGAAAAAAACTAATTTCGAGGTGTTTGTCATATAGAAAGAAATATTCATAGATATTCAACATTTGGAGAAGAACAAATCTTTTATATGCACATATGTATAATAATAATATTTGAGGGGAAGAGGGAAGACGAAGACACCCAAAATCAAGCGAAGCTTTGTTGGATTTGTTGGATAATGTGAGGGAGAATAGTCTGATAAGCTTTCTCGGAAGGGTGCGCAATGTCCCAAAACACATGTCGAGATGCATCCAAGCACGGTACCGGAGCCGCTGGAGCACAGCAGCAAGGCCTAGTCGGTGAGGTAAATCCTAAAATTAAGAACCCCAAAGTCATTTACGTCAGATCGTCAGAAAATTTGATTCTAGAGAATTGCATCCAAGCTTTTAAGTATTATGTATATAGGTGTGTTTAAGAGAGTGTTATACCATATCGGAGAGGGTTTTTGACGAGGTCAAGAAGAGGATTATACATGTCGAGGTAGATGGAACGAGAACCAGGGAGCATAGAATTGAGATTGTTGACAGAGTTGGCTAGCTTCTGGTTGAATAGTCTTGAGACTGCGTTTGCGGGTTCTAGACACATCCCTCCTAGAAGGTTGCTTGATCCTGGTAGGCATCCCAACGGTAACGTTCCCATTACCGCAAATTTTCTCGCTCCCAAATTATATAACTCCTATATATATATATATATATATATATATATATCACATCAAGAATGTATCAAATAAAAATCAAATTTCAATTAAGTTGAATCATGTATAAATAGGGTTTCAAGATTAATATACCTGAATGAATGATTGAGTCCATGAATTCAACAAGTCGGTGTAGGAGAAGACGGTATAACGTGTGACTCTTGCTGGAGTTTGGAAAAACGTGATGGCAATATCGTTATTTCCAGCGGAAATGACAAACACTGCGTTTGAGATAATTGATCTCGTTTTCTCTTCATCTCCCGTTATGCTATTTAGCTTTGCTATGTATGCTTTGAAGTCGTTTAATTGGTCCGCCACCCCAATTACTCCCTATTAAAATTTTATTTTAGTGAATACATAAAGTCAAACAATATATAAAGGAAAAAATCAGATACACATTAAGTTCTTAATACCTGAATCCTCGAGGTCACTGGATCTAAACCGGAACCACCAGAAGCAAAACTAACACCGGTTAAGATATCGTTGGGTTGAAGGAATGGACTTCGATAAGCTGGTACGATGTTCTTTACTCCCAAACCTTCGGCTGCATGCATAATGTTTTGATGATCACCAAATATGTTGATCATGCTCATTTCACTTTTAATATAACCAACAAACAAAAATTTGGTGAAAACTATATATTATTATTATTATTATAGAAAATAATACCAATCAAATCTGTAGGAATTCTTCCATTGCCAAATCTTCCTGTGGCTCTTCGAGTTACCAAATCTCTTCCATACGGAAAGAAATTAACTTTAGTTAATGTCCTAAGATTATTGTTGTTGCCTGTATCGAGTATCGAATCTCCGAATGCTATAACCGCTGGTATATTTCCGGCTTGAGCCACAGAACTCGATATAATGGAGACTAATACTGTTATCGTTTGAAAAACTAGAGTATTCATTTTCAAAAAACGCGTTGATGTATTCTACTTTCTTTTTCTCTTAATTCAATATATGTCTTAAGAGAACACTTGTTGAGAATATATTTGATTGTGATGATGTAATGGGATTAAAAAAGTGCTTATTTATAGTTCCGACAACTTATTAACGGAACATAGCTATCTTTTTTTTTGTTTACGTGAGCATTGCTGTTATGGTCAATAATTTTTTGTTACTGAAGAACTATTTTTAACAGGTCCATCGAATCGAATTTATCGATTACGGTTTGTTTTTGACCCATATCTTCTATAATTCTATAGAATTACGTCATATATTGTTTAATCTACATCACTATAAGTCCGGTCAGAGGCTAAAAATGATGGTTTTTTCCTTAATGGACCTTGATTCGATATTTATAATATTGAGAAATATGTAACAGTCTAACAGGTATATATGTGAAACAAGTTTATGTTCAACACATACAACTTGTTTCTAAAATTTTATCTCGTAGCAAGTCTTTTTAAGTATAAATTAAACATAAATTGTTGAACCAAAAAAAAACTAAATATAAAATAAGATAATCGGTATCAATTGCGCTGAGTTATATATAGAGTAGTAGTAAATTTTGCGAACTGAAATAACATTAGGCGAGACAGAGACCAAATAAAATGTAATCAACACTTCTTCACGTTTCCATAAAGATTATTAGTACATTATAATTAGCTTTCAAGTGCTGGTTTCATTAATTATAGTATATATATCTACACACACGCACACATACACACTGGTGAAGCTATGATCAACAGTGCGAACCCTTTTTGCAGCTAAGTGCACCTGAGGCTACAGTTATATCACCAACATGAGAGGACGGTCTAGCGGCTAGGCTCGAGGCTTTAGAATAGCTTGAAGATTTAGTTGGTCCAGCACCAGAAAATGTAAAGAATGCACCGTTAAGCATCAGGTCTCCTTCTGATCTCCAATTCCAATGACTCCATTCGCTTTCGGGCGCATCCTCGTGCTTTGTTACCTATTTTCCCCCAATTAAAGACATGTATAAGGTTATAATCTTATAAGTTTAAATGAAACCAAAATGACATTAATTGATACATAGTTATTAATTGAATTTAGTTCAATTTGGATAATAATTTGCTTAAAACTGAATAATAATTTGGAGTACCTCTTTGCTAAACGAGTCATCAGGAGCAAGGAACCGGTTGCCTTGAGAGTTAATGGTAGGATTAGCACTTCCTCCAATTGCATACATTTCCCAATGTGTATAGTCATTGTTCACCACATGGAAATATCCATGCCGACACCTATATATATGTACATAAATTTCTTACTAGTTTGTTAAAATTAATTTTCATATTCTTCTTAATTATATAATTCAAAAATCTGATCTGAATTGATCAACGTCTGAGAATAAAATATCAGCTAAATATGTTAACTCAACTAACCCAACTGTTTTTCAGTTGATTTAGACAGCATAATTACTCCATCTTAGACGTAGAAAAAGGAAAACGAATTAGAATTTAATGCAGTTGTTGTATTTAAGCTTTTGCCATATTTATTTCAAGAGTATGTCCAACCGACAATATACTTGACTTTTATAGTTTGTGCCACAGATATCCACAAATATAGGTGTATACTAAAAAAAAAAAAAAGATTGTTTTTATTTTTGTTTGATAGTAAATAAATAAAGTAAAAATCATTTGAATATACCTTGGCATTCTTTGGACGAGGCCTTCTCCAAAATGGTTAAAAGCGATAGTGACTTGCATATTCTTGTCTTGTTCATACGTGTCACTATGTCCCAATAACATAACCTTATTGTGATGCGTCAAGTAATTATTAGAGATGGTTATAGCCGTTGATCCACGGATCGCATCGATCAACCCATCGTTGCAATTCGACAGCGAGCAATGATCAACCCACACGTGGCTCCCGCCGAAGATCGACACACCGTCACCGTCCGATACCGTTCTCCACCCGTAGTGCTCTGGGGAATCTCGTACGTAAGCATTCCCGCCTTGTTTACAATCATGTATGTGTAAACCATGGATGATGATGTTGGTCACGTACTGTATGGTTATGCATGGCCCGCCTGAGATGTGTACGGAGGCTCCTCGTCCGTCTAGGGTTTTGAAAGAATTCATCATGAGTTCTTCTTTGAGTTGGATCGTCATGTCTCGGTTAAATATGATCCAGAGCGGTTTATCTTGGATTACTGCGTATCTTAGTGTCCCCGGTTTAGGGTTAACCGGATCATCGTTTCCTGGATCTGTGACCACGTAAATTTCGCCATCACGACCACCGATTGCGTTTTTGCCAAAACCTATTCCGCAATCGGCTAAACGTTTTCGATTTTTCTCCCAATTTTTATCGCATCGCCAACAATCGTCGATTGGATTACCGGTCCCACACGAGAAGAACCCTAGGTTCCTTCTTGATATCGACTCGTTTATTTTCCTAACCAATAGCCAATTTATTACAAAGAAACAAACATCCACTATGTTAATATATTATTCTTGACGTCGTTAACTTTACTCATAAGCAGCAGAATTAAATGAACAAGTCGGTTTATGATGAGGTGAAAAATGACGAAATTACGCTTTGCATGGAAAGAACTTGGAAACAACATTTCAAGCGAAACATTTGAGTGTATTTGCGTGTATGTATACAAATAGATTTATTTAATTATCTAACTATTTTGCATTTGTGTAATTATAATACCTGTTGCACAAAAAAAGAGTAATTATAATACCTGTGCACTTCCTCAACGACGAGCTCGGGGTCGGAAATGGGCAAAGACGAAGCGAGTGCGTAGAAGAAAATCCAGTAGAGAAAGAGAAGTGTGAATAATGCATGTGGAGAATTTAGCATTGTGTTCGTGGCTTCTTACTGTTGATAAAGTTTAAGGTTTCGGACGAAATATATGGGTGATTGGTGAAATTAAAGGCAAAGCAAAGTATAGACTATATAGCATATGAACACTCAGGGTGATTTAATGCGCATGCAACTTGGTATAAATTGGACCCACTTTGTTTTAGCTTTTCTCTCTTTTTTTCTTCTTCTATGAATTAGATTTGGTTGTGTGTGTGAGAATGGAAATCAAACTAAATCATATAGAGCAGGATAGTGCCTTAAGAACTGATCTGATGAATACAAAAAAGGTTAACCAAATATAAAAATTTATGATTTATATTAAGTGCGTTTATAAAAAATAAATCCTGATCAAAGCTATACGGAACCGATATTTTATTTCTATATTGTACATACCATCAACGAAAGTTACGAAACCTTAAAAATTAAACCAACATCAAACCAGAAAATCAAAATCGAATCTGAACGCATTATTTTGAAATGAATGAAGTTTTCGAATATCAATTCCGAAAGTCAAATCTACTCTCATATGAGTCATATGCATCAACATTGGTCAATTTCCATTGCGATGAACGTTGTACATATAATTTTTCAACCATTCTAGCGATGACTAAGTCGCGTGGCTTAAAGAGAAAAACAGAAGTCGTAATTAAATCTCAACGAACTTAAAGATGAATGTTAGTGAACACTAGTTAAGTTGAGTATTAGACTAAAATTTTATAAAAAGTAGAGTGCACAAAAAGTCAACAGTGTGTTAGTGTACTTCAGTAATACGATTTAGTTTTGAACATATATGATCGATACTTCCAACGTTTGAGTTTATAGTTATTATTAATATATAATAGCTTAACAGTTAGCTCATATTACTTTTTCAATATATATATATATATATATATATTCTCTCTTTCGGATTATGATTTTAAATGCTTTGGTACCAATATATACGTAATTTTAATTCGAAACAGGGGGTGTCACACGTAGAAATGCAATAAGAGCTGTTTTAGTTACAGAGAAAATGCATAAAAATGATAAATTTCAAAAATGCATTCAAATTTGAATTGTCATTTTTAGGCGATTATCGTAGTTGTCCTTATATCACTTTTTTTATTTATATAAAAACAAGATTTTAGTGTTACTACTTTCTAGCTAGCTTAGCAAAACATTTTGATAAATAAACGTATCTTATTGTAAGTTGCAAGTTGTAACAATAAGCTAATTGATACACTTTTAATTAGTATATGACAATTTTAGTTTAGAGCGTTGGTTATTAGCCTATTAGTAGTTTATTTCTCATCTTTCTTATTATTATTATTTTATGTTTTGCTCAGTTCTCTTTGTAGGGAAAAGAAAAGTAAAAAGAAAAAGAGAAAAGTCCCACCAAAAACTATAGAATAGGAGAACTGAGCCGACACTGGCCCGTAGAGGTTTGATTTTGGGACCACCGAACCATGTGCTCGAGTCCAATCTTTCAATAATATATACGCTTTTTTTCCAAGTAGTATGTTATTCATAGCAAACAATTAGAACTGTGTTGAAATTTTGGTTGGTATAAAATGTGTTGACAATTAAATGCACATGGAAACTATTTGCATCACTTTATATCATCCACACTTTCATAATCTTTATATTTTCAGGAAGCTTTATCAACTTATACAATTGTACGTCTCACCGACATTTTCTTTTGCTACAGTCACTTTTTTTTCCTTAGATGATGATATAGCCACTTACCTAAGACAAAAGAAAATTCAGGCTTTTAGCCTAGTGATTATTACAGTATTACTGTTACCATTTTATAGACTTAGGCATGGTTTGTATATTTTAGGACATAAATTGCAGAAAACAAAATCGTAGTTTTTTTTGTGTGTGTATCTTTTCAACACTGAAAAATAGTACTGTACCTTATGTTGGACATTTATTCGATATTTCTAACATTATCAACAAACATACTTGATACGTAAATCATTCTGGTCTCGTATGAAACTGGAGATTACGAGAGCTGACAAAATTTCTTTTCATAATATTCTCAATGCTGGAAATACCAAAATTACATATAACATATCCATTTTCACAACTCTTTACAAGATCATATATAGAGAATGCTAACGACTGATCGCATTCATTTGATCATGTAAATATGTAACCATAGAGTATAATAGTATCTGAGTTTAACCATTTTATGTTTTGGCTACTCATTCATATGATTTGAGTCATTCAGATCATGTAACCAAACTGAAACTTGATCAATTGAATAATGAAACTGATAAGTTAAACTTGTGAAAAAATCTTTTGCTATTTTGAATTTTTTTTTAAAAAAGTTACTGTTTTAGACAAAAGCTCGGCGGCACTACGACCTTTTTTTTCCATATGAAATCAATTCAACTCTCGATTTGTTTTTGTTTTTGGTTTTTTTTTTTTTTTTTTTTTGTGAAAACTGAAATGCATTGTCCAAACAATCAAAGTCGTTAAATTTAAGGGAACCGTCGGATCAGAAAAAAGAGAGACTTCTTAATTCAGACAAAAGGCATGTGACGAGTTTTGCTTGAAAGCTACTCGGCAACTTCTTCTCATCCTCAATATTCACAAAATAATTCGATTCACGCTCATATCCACTAAAGTAACAAACTGAAGTAATGTTGATTAGTCAAATCATAAATCATAATCATAAAATCGAAATAGAATAATAATCTATTTATAGACATATATATATATATATATATATAATAATTATAATTATGAAGAAGATGAGGATTCATAAACCAATCCGAGGATGAAATGCTTAGAAAATAAGAACGTAAACTATGGATACATACTAAACTAACCAGCGCAACAGTAGGTATGAGAATTAAGGATCTCGATTAAGAAGTTTCACCACTCGTCGGAATACGCTATATATCAAGTAACACTGTATGTCTAAAACAATCAATCTTGAAATTAAACATAATGACAATTGTTGAGAATGCAGTTTATACTTTATAGCCAGTTCATCTATCCATGTAAACATAATCTAGTCTTTTCCATTGTAACCTTTACAACTTCTATTTACTTATTTGTTAAATTTAGCCCAATACACCTAACTAAATGGGCCGAACCTGCCGATACGGCCCGTCATTTGCATTCGATTTAATAAAAAAAATATGGAGACAACCCAAAAAAAAAAAAACTAAAGCCATCCACGTCTTTATTTGGTGACGTGTACCATCATATATATAGTCATCATCCACTACACTTTTTTTTTATTGTTTTTTGTGTTTTTGGCGATCCTCATCCATTTCTTCTCTCTGTCGTTGTCTGGAATCGGTGACTTTTGAATCTTCGCGATTCTTTGTGGTGTCATCGTTATCTACATCGCTGTTACTCGCCGTTGATACTTTTCCGTCGTTTTCTCGGTGCTGGAGATCCGATCCATTTTCTTTCCTGCCTTGGCTCGAGATCCGAGCCAAGCAGAGAAGTCGACTGTGTTTCACGATTTGGAATTTGTTTCCTGCGATCACGGGTATGGAATTTGTTTTTGTTTTGGTTTTAACTATAGCTACATACGTTCTTGGGATGTTTGTTTAGTTAATAGATTTTTTTTGGGTGTAAAGTTATTTCATATAGAACTTCGAAAAATCACGTGTGCGTGCCTGTGTTCTTGTGATTCGGTTCACAGTGTATGCAACTTCTCTTTCTGATGCTTTTATCAGTGTTTTGAGACTGATTTTTTTCTGCGAAGGGAAGAAATTTCGTTGCGATGCAAGCTGTGAAGCTCTTCATCTTCTTGCTGATCATTATTAGGGATCTGGGGTCAATTTTTCTCTTCGCTTTAAGTGATTATGAGAATCTTCGTAATTAATTATGGTTTTTGTCGTTTTAGATGGCATCGGGTGAGGGAATTTTGACTGATGGACAGTGGAAAAAACTGGAGTTAGCAACTCAGAATGCTGAGAACTTGTCATCGTCGCCAAAATCTCATCCTCTGTTTGCTGATTTGAACATAAAGTCTCCCACTGGTGGGAAAGGACCAGTAGCCGGCACTCCATTTAGGCATGTGCGACGGACACACTCTGGGAAGCATATCCGTGTTAAGAAGGGTATAAAGCTTTAACCTTTGGTGCTTGATTCTTGACACTATTACACATGCAAACACTGCCTTTGTAGTTCCCCGTTACGGATATGTAGATCATTAACCAAAATTTAGTAGTGAATGGGATGAATAACAATCAGTCATTTCTTGAACGTAAGCTGTTTAATAGTTTTAGTTTTCAGTAAAAGAGTTCAGGTGTGTAGGTGTTATGGTTTACTTATGTGGCAATGATACCTGCAGATGGTGCTGGTGGAAAAGGAACTTGGGGAAAGCTTCTTGACACAGATGGTGATTGCTGTATTGATAAAAACGACCCCAATTACGATAGTGGAGAGGTATTTGATACTTTTCTTGATTCTTTAGGTATTGCATCTAGCATCTAGCTGTTTCTATTCTTTACTCGCAGATTGATTCACGTGCTTACTTGTGATTCATATACTCGTTTTAGCAGGAAGCATATGATGAGCTTGTTGATTCACCTGTATCAGACCCCTTGGATGATTACAAAAAGGCTGTAGTCTCCATCATTGAGGAATACTTTAGCACCGGGGATGTGAATGTGGCAGCATCTGACCTCAGGGAACTTGGTTCGAGTGAATATCATCCTTACTTCACCAAGCGGCTTGTCTCTTTGGCTATGGATAGGCACGATAAGGAGAAGGAAATGGCTTCAGTGTTACTCTCTGCATTGTATGCTGATGTCATTTCACCTGATCAAATTAGGGATGGGTTTATTAGACTTCTAAGATCTGTTGATGACCTTGTAGTGGACATACCTGATGCTGTTAATGTCCTTGCATTGTTTATTGCCCGAGCAATCGTTGACGAAATTCTCCCTCCAGTTTTTCTATCGAGATCTAAGAAGAGTCTTCCAGAATCTTCCAAAGGTTTCCAGGTTATTGTAACTGCAGAAAAGAGCTATCTCTCAGCCCCTCATCACGCAGAACTAGTGGAGAGAAAATGGGGTGGTAGTACTCACACTACAGTAGAAGAAACAAAGAAAAAGATATCTGAAATCTTGAAGGAATATGTAGGAAACGGAGACACTTACGAAGCCTGCAGATGCATCAGAGAATTAGGTGTCTCGTTTTTCCATCACGAGGTGGTGAAGAGGGCTTTGGTTCTGGCTATGGAATCTCAAACAGCTGAGTCACGCATACTAAAGCTGTTGAACGAAGCTGCTGAAGAAGGTCTGATCAGCTCGAGTCAGATGATGAAGGGATTCTACCGAGTAGCAGAGAGTCTCGATGACCTTGCTCTAGATGTCCCATCTGCGAAAAAGCTGTTTGATTCGATAGTTCCCAAGGCTATCTCTGGAGGCTGGCTCGATGATTCATTTAAAGTAACCTCTGATCTAGGTGGAGGGAAATCGAGTCAAGATGAAAAGCTAAGACAGTACAAGAAGGATACAGTGAACATAATTCAGGAATATTTCTTATCAGATGACATTCCTGAGCTAATCCGCAGCCTTGAAGATTTGGCGACACCTGAATATAACCCCGTGTTTCTAAAGAAGCTTATAACTCTTGCTCTAGACAGGAAAAACAGAGAAAAGGAAATGGCTTCGGTTCTTCTTTCTTCTCTTCACATGGAGTTATTCTCAACCGAAGATTTCATAAACGGTTTCATCATGCTCCTCGAATCCGCAGAAGATACAGCTTTAGACATCATGGACGCATCAAACGAACTTGCTCTGTTTCTAGCTAGAGCTGTGATTGACGACGTCTTAGCTCCACTAAACCTCGAGGAGATATCAATCAAGCTACCTCCAAAATCAACGGGAACTGAAACAGTGCGTTCAGCTCGGTCTCTTATCTCTGCCCGACACGCAGGGGAAAGACTCCTGAGAAGCTGGGGTGGTGGGACCGGGTGGATAGTGGAAGACGCAAAGGACAAAATCTTGAAACTACTAGAGGAATACGAAACAGGAGGAGTGACATCAGAAGCTTGTCAATGTATCCGCGACCTAGGGATGCCTTTTTTCAACCACGAGGTAGTGAAGAAAGCTTTGGTGATGGCAATGGAGAAGAAAAATGATGGGTTGCTGAATCTGCTTGAGGAATGTTTTGGTGAAGGATTGATTACAAGTAACCAAATGACGAAAGGTTTTGGTCGTGTTAAAGACAGCCTCGATGATCTGTCTCTTGATATACCAAACGCGAAAGAGAAGTTTGAGTTGTATGTTGGTCATGCCATGGACAATGGCTGGATCCTTCCTGAGTTTGGGTTTTATGCAACTCGGTGATGAGTGAGTGAGAGAGTGATGACGATTAATGTTTGTGCAAGCTTACTACTATATACTTTTCCTCACTTTCTTTTATATATATATTGTGGAAACTATAGATATATATATATATATATACATTATGTAATATGTTTAATGCATGGATTTGGTTGGTAGATAAACGTGAGATGTTTATAGTTTTCTTTTGCCTGTTTCTTGTTTTGTGTTGTATTTGTCCTGAGATATCTCAATCTTTTAGTGTGTTCTAATTTTTGATGGATTTCATTACAAAATTACATTGTAAAAGTCTTTGTTCTTGTTTGGCGTGGACGATAACCTTGCTATTTCACACCGGCGAACAAAAGAGATATCAGTAGAAGCCCCTAATCTTTTTAACAAAAAAAAAAAAAATGGTGGAAAATCAAAAAGAAAAATGCTTTTTAATATTTTGTTTTCTTTCACTGGTAGTATAAGAAGAAAAGGTTAGTTGTATGCAACCGAAGGACAGTCCAATCATCGTTGCCAAACAGCCTCCCTCCTCAACTATTTTTTTGTTTGTGTTTTCGTCTTGCTCACTTTAGTTCCTTTCCGGCGCACACAGAACATCCATGGACCGGCCGGAGACGATCGCCGTCAAACACGAACCCATGACCGTTGACTCTCCCGCATCTTCTTCCGCCGTCGCAGTCGATAGACCAGCTCGACCTCCAAAGCTTGTAGTCTTAGCTGACCTCAATTTCAACCCTCCTGAGACTGACGATCTTGACTCATCGATCCAAATCGCTACTCCTCCCATCGTTAGGTATCCATTTCTGCTTCTACATGATATTTTTCTGGAGCTGTAACCAGGGCCTTAATTTGCTAGCATAAATTTTCGGTTTGTGCCTTTGATACTTGGCTCTTGGGTTGATTCATATGGCCAAAAGGGTTTAATACGAGTAAAGACATTTTTCTAATGTATATTTTAGGTTGACTAACGAGGAAAGTAATCAAGATGGAGGGTCATTAACATTCAAGGAGGTGGAGCCAGGGGAAATAGAAGCTAAAAAGACCATCAAGGTTGGGAAATGCCGTTCGAGAAGTAAGATAGAGGCGTCCTCTGATTGTGGAGTTGATGCAGATGGTGATCAGGCGGCTAATCAAGGGGTCCCTGCATCCCGAGAAGAAAAAATCAGTAACCTCAAAATGGTGAGTTTGTTGACTCTTAGTATGGTAGTAAGTGATGACTTTTGGGATCAAAAAAATTATTTTGTAATTAACATGGTTTTTCTTATGCCAAAATGTTCCATCAATTCCCAGGAATGAGCTAGTCATTGAAGTTATATTGAGGCAATGAAAATTTAAGACTTAGATGGGGCTAGGCTTTTATCGAGTGCCCAGAACTTTGCATTTCTCATTAAACTTTTGGAGGAAAAATGATGATAGTGCTCTTAATTTCGTAATGCTCATTCCAGTTGATTATTGGTCTAATGTTTCATGTTGATGATGCTCCTAATTATTTGGATCACTTCTCTGCTTATAGGGTTTGATTCATGTTGCAAGGAAGATGCCCAAAAATGCTCATGCCCATTTTATTCTTGGTCTAATGTTCCAACGATTGGGCCAATCTCAAAAGGTAGTCTTGAGCTGAGGCTACACTGATATGTCTTAGAATAACTATCATCTTATTGAGTTTAACTGCTAGAAGTTTTTAGGCAATACCAGAATATGAGAAGGCTGAAGAGATCTTGCTGGGTTGTGAGCCAGAAATTGCTCGGCCAGAACTTCTCTTGTTAGTTCAAATGCACCATGGACAGGTGATGATCTCTGTGTCTGAATCAAGTTTGACAGTAAACTTTTGTATTCGTGAGCTCCTTGATTAGTTGAGAATTCACACAAACGTTCTAACATCGCACACTTAAAAAAACATTGTAGTGTCTTCTTTTGGATGGCTTTTCGGATAATGACTGTGTTAAAGAGATTGAGGGAGAAGAGCTTGAAGAAATTCTTTCAAAATTAAAGGATTCTATGAAGATAGATGTTAGACAGGCAGCCGTGTGGAATACCCTTGGCTTAATGCTTCTTAAAGCTGGTTGTTTGATGGTAAAATTCTTTACCATGTTGGTGTGTCAGATTACTAATGTGATTCGTTTTGAGATATTGTTCTGTTTGCTATGATTTATAGAGTTCCATATCGGTTTTGTCATCTTTGTTGGCTCTTGTCCCTGACAATTATGATTGCCTTACAAACCTGGGAGTTGCTTATCTTCAAAGGTAAGGAGTTTTCTTTCTTCTATTGCGTAATTATTATTGTGATACTTATTTCTCATTAACAAGTCTTCCAGCGGAGATTTGGAGCTTTCAGCAAAATGTTTCCAAGATTTGGTACTGAAAGACCACAACCATCCTGCTGCGTTGATTAATTATGCTGCCGAGCTCCTCTGCAAATACAGTTCAACTGTCGCTGGTTTGTTTCTAATCATAGAACCTCTAAATTGTTTCCTCCTCTGAACCTGCTTAAGCAAAGTACACATGCAAAATTAGAGGGAAATGTAATTTCACTTGTAACCTTTGAAGGTGTTTTCAATTGTTGTCAGGTGCTGGAGCTAATGGTGGTCCTGGTGCTTCGGAAGACCAGAAGGCACCTATGAATGTCGCAAAGGAATGTCTCTTGGCTGCAGTAAGAGCAGATCCAAAGTCCGCTCATGCATGGGTCAATCTTGCTAATTCATATTATATGATGGGTGATCACAGAAGTTCTAACAAATGTTTGGAGAAGGTGCTCTTGGCTCACTTCTTTGTTTTGAGGTTCTTCGTTGTTTTCCTTACCTTAGATGGAAGGGCTTCTTTTACTTGATATCCTTTTCACATTTGGTACTCGGAGAAAGTAAAAGAAGTACCAGGAGTCTTACATACCCTACCCGTTCTTCATATGTTTACTTGGGAGGATTAGGGGGGATCCCGTTACCCTGTATGGGTTGGGTCATATGGACCTTTATATGATGAATACCCTTGGTTTGAATATTCTCATATGTAGTGAACATTTTGCTTGTGGTTGTGTCCATGTTTCGTCTCTAGTACTATAGGCCCAGTTTACCTTTGCACTGGCTGTTCAACAAGTAACCCTGGTTGTGTGATTATAAGATTCTAGCTGTAAATCCTCTAGCTTATATTGCAGTCTTGGTCCAGCTGACTATAATTTATATTCAGGCAGCCAAACTTGATCCCAACTGTATGGCTACTAGATTTGCTGTTGCTGTCCAACGAATCAAAGATGCTGAAAGGTCTCAGGATGCAAGCGACCAGCTTTCATGGGCTGGCAACGAGATGGCTTCTGTGATACGAGAAGGAGAGTCTGCTCCGATTGACCCTACCATTGCTTGGGCAGGGCTTGCCATGGCTCACAAGGCGCAGCATGAAATTGCAGCTGCTTTTGTTTCTGAGCGAAATGAACTGACAGAGATGGAAGAGCGGGCAGTGTACAGCTTAAAGCAGGTATGCCGTTTCTGTGTTTTGATGCTCATGAGGTTAAGTTTCAGGTGTTGCATTCAGATTATAAGTTATTGGGTAGACTAGGAGGAAAGTTGAAGAGAGCTGGCTATTACAAGATAAAAGATTGTTTCCTTACATAAGACATTGGCACTTCTTACGGTTTGGTCACAGGCACAGACACACATAGAAATTGAAGAAATGTTGTCGCATCGAGAAAAACTTTTGATTTCTCTTTATATTCACCGTAGGCAGTAACAGAGGATCCTGAAGATGCTGTCCGGTGGCATCAGCTTGGTCTTCATAGTCTCTGTTCTCAAAAATATAAACTCTCCCAAAAATACCTCAAGGCAGCAGTTGGTCGTTCTAGAGAATGCAGCTATGCGTGGGCAAATCTTGGTAACTCCCTCTTCAAATCAATGCTTGCAGACTTATCTAATTGCTCTAAGCGTGAGAAGAAAATTGACGGTTTCATAATCCTAAGTTCGTTGCATAGCTCTTATAGAAAGTTCACGTGTTGGCTTTTAGGTATCTCGCTGCAGTTATCAGACGAACAATCAGAAGCCGAGGAAGTATACAAGCGAGCCTTGGCCGTGTCAACAGAGGATCAAGCTCACGCGACATTTTCTAACCTCGGGAACCTCTATAGACAGAAAAAGCAATACGAACTCTCCAAAGCAATGTTCTCGAAGGCGCTGGATCTCAAACCTGGTTATGCACCTGCATACAACAACCTTGGACTCGTGTTTGTGGCTGAACGTAGGTGGGAAGAAGCTAAATTCTGTTTCGAGAAAGCCCTTGAAGCTGACTCATTGCTTGACGCAGCACAGTCTAACTTGCTCAAAGCCACAACGTTGTCAAGACTCTGTACTTGCTTCTCTTCGTCAACTGTTGTCCGAGATTCTTGATAGTTCTGTCATTTTCGTTTGTCATTTCGTCTTTTTTCTCAGGGCATACTCTCTCTCTTTCTCTCTCTCTGCAGGGTATATATTTAATTCAGTTTTTTTTTTTTTCTACCGTAAAAGAAAACTAGCTGTCTCTCTACGGTATCCTCTGAGCATGCAAAAACAAATATTATATCTGAAATAACATCTCGGGAGAGAAACAATGTCCCGAGATGTACTCGCACCTTCAGAACAAAGATATTCTTATGGCCCGAGATATCCTCTGTTTTATCCTCTGATTCTTCAACAACACAGATACGTTTAGCTTTTCGCAGGAGTTGTGAAAACGATTCTGCTGGACACGCCTATACCAATATCTTCAATATCTTAACTTGTAGGGAGTAAGGGCTGTATATGAAATATACAAAATATGCAAGTGAGGAGCCATATGAGATTTCCACGGATGTTCATGGAAATCGCCGCAAATAGAGTCAAATGCTCGGATTCTTAAACATGAAGTGCAGGACCTTCATATTAAACAATCCATCAAAATTCGTTGTTTTTCATGGGCTAATGAACATTTTGAGAGAGAGAGAGAGAGAGTTTATGACAATAGTCGTTATGCTATCCCCGAACCGATATCTCGGATAAGAAATGGCCTAATATTATTATCGGACATGGCTCAAACTACTTTGGAACCGAAAAATGGCAACGGAAACTAAAGACCACATGTAAATAGCAACATCAAAAATATGGAACATTCATCACGACTTTCGACAGCAATCCATAAAACATAGCACACCCAAATTTCATTATCTAAACAAAAGACACGTTGATACAAGAAAGAAACTGAAACAGCAACAGCAACAAACACCAAACTCATGAAAACGCATGTTTATTATTCATGAAAAACAGGCGTAGCAACCAGAGCTTTGAGCATACTATAAGGCTCAAATTCTTAAACGACGCACGTCATCCGATAATGCCATCTCTCTAGCTCTCATTTTTTTATCCTCCTCAGCCAAAGCTTTCATAGCTTTACGCGTATGCTCCTGAAAAGTAACTTGCTGCAACTTCTTCATAAGCTCAGGTTGACCTCTCACAAAATATTTCTTATGCCCAAATTCACAGTGCTCAGATTTAAATCTCACAAATCCCTATACCAACAACAAAAAAAATACACATAAAACACACATATAGTAAGATAAATCAGAGAGAGAGAGATGATGACGACTACTAGAGTTAAACTCCTTGAAAAACGCTGGCCAAGTGAAGCAAGATATACCTATGCTCCTGGAAAGAATCCTTGTGTGAAACCCTACCGGATCCCAAATGATGAAACTCCTGTTGCTCTTGCTCCACGAGACTATTGAATCCATTGAAGGATCATCCACAAACATATACAGAGCCTTGTAGAATGGAGAGAGTGCCCTATCGCTCAACCCCGCCATCGCTAGATCTCAATTCCCCCAAAATTTTAGTATCAGACAAACGAAAAAGATGAAACAACAACCCTAGGAAGAAAATTCCCCAAACTTTTCTTTTACCACGCCGCCTAGTTTTGGGCTACTAATGGGCTTTTTTCTCGCTTGTTTTCTAATGGACTTCCGGCTTCACCCATACTAATTATACCATTTTTGCTTCTCGGATCATATATATACTTGATAAAAGGGAAAATGGGTAAAGAAACCCTGACTTTTACCAAAAACATAAAACAAACCCTGACTTTTTTTTGTGGATTTTAAAACCCTGATCTTCTGGATTTACCTCTTCTCTTTCACCCATCATAGCCTCTATCTGCATTACAAGAAAACGGACGGCCATGAAAATACTTCCTGGAGAATTTTCGTCCCCTGGAAGTGGATCTAGATGACCTTCTACCGTCTCAATCAGTAGACGGATGTATTCTCTAACTTTTTCCATGTGCCTACCGATTTCAGCCATCTTTGCGGAGAATCAGCCGGAAAAGACGCAGCCGATTTCTGAAAATGGATTTCTGGTTTCACCCTAGCTAAACTTGGGCTTCTGGTTTCGAAATGGGTTTCTAAATGGGTTTTTAAATGGGCTTATGGTTTCTAAATGAGCTTATTGTAAACGAAATGAGACCTTTATTTCCATGTCTTCCAACTCCTTCTGAACGCATGAGAGAGTTCATCACGAAGTAAAATGAATACATATGTAAAATGAAAGTTTTTCCTTTTTCATTTATCCTGAATATACTAGTAAAGACAAAGAACTATATCATGTTACAAGAACAAAACTCTTACCCACTTGGGGAGAAGAGAAACAAATTATAACCTGAAGAAACTCTCCAGAGCTATCCATTATTAAAACATTGCCAAATACAAATCAAAAAGGGGAAACAACCGAGTATTCTTGCCTCTTCTATATCCTTCCTCAGCCCATCATCTACACAGAACCGAGATAGTTTTAATGGTTCAAGCATTGTAACTTCAACATATGAGATATAGGCAGATCATATAAATGCACATGCTTCTATTTACCTTGAAGATGTCTCCAAACATTCCTTGCAGAGGATTCTTACGCTGCACCCCGAAAAATCTCTCTGCAATCTCGTCCAGCAGCTTCAGAATATAACACATTTTCCCGGTTTTAATCAGTAGAAAAAGAGAGAAAATTAGCGAATAAACAAAGATCAATACACGCAGACCAATACCTCGTTAAGAAGTGGTTCTCTATCTATGCAAGACTTAAATTTTACTCTTAACATATTGAAAAGAGGCAATGCATCCCTCTGCAACCTGTATCGGATATCAAAGTGCTTTAGGTAACAACTAAAGACAAGAAGAGACTAAAAAGAAAGTAGAAGAAGATCGGGCAACTAACGTTTCCAGAAGATATGAGATAAATCGGATAAGGTCTGATTCTGAAAGCTCGGGATTTTTTGTCTCTGCTTGTCTCTTAATCTCATCCATCATAAAATTAGCATCTTTCATGTTACCCATAGACAAGTACCTAACAAGCCCCAAAAAAAAGAAAGATAAATCAACCCATTTTTCCTTAGTTCCACTAACTTCGGCTATCTCTCCATTCATCAGTTATAAAGCATGATCATACATGAGAACCGCCCGTGCAATGGCGAGGTCATCTTCACCCGGATAACACTGCAAAAAATTATTCAAGTGATGAAACACAAGAGGTTCTTGAATTTCTATCCCAGTGCAAAAGTTTCTCTACACTGAGTTTTAAAACTATTAACGAAATAAAGAGATGAGACAGTTTGGTATGAAGAGACGGACCCTTCCCATAAAGTTGATCAGCATAGATGCAAACTTCTCGGGGTCCTCAGCTCTAACATAGTGCCGTGATATTCGGACCATGTCCTGCCATATGTAAAAAAGGTCAGTTAATGAAAACAAAAAATTGTAAATGGCTACAAGAGGTTTACAAGTTCAGGACACTCGGTGTAGAGATAATCAGCCAGCATAGCATGCAGCTCAGGATATCCAGTACTTGGGCCTCCAAACTCTGCAGACCATCTAAAACAAAGACAAAATGCCTCTATCATGTTTGATACATGTTCACAGCAAACAACGCGAAAAAAAAAGGACAATACTAGCTGAATAAGAGAAATATAATACACGTGCTCTGGCTTACTTTATAGCAGCTCTTAAGAACGAAGTCAAGTTTTCTACCCGTGATCTAGCTTCCCCTAGAGATTCTTGAAGATTTTGAACATCTTCATCATCGCTCACATCTACCAAATGAGGTGGTACAGGAACCCGAGGAAACAATTTGAACATACACCTGATACGATCTGACACAATCATATTAGTATTATAAAATGATGGGTGCTAGCAATTATTCATGGTCTGGACTAACCAAGTGTTTCATCATTGCAAGGTGACTTGGCTTTAACTAGTGTGTCGACAAACAAAAGAGCAAGGTCCGCCCCACAATTCACCTGAGGATTAATAGTTTTAATAGAAATCACTCTCTACAACAAAAACTGAAAGATAATACAATAAAGAATTTTCCTTGTTAAACTTTGTGATTACTTGTCATTCCAGGTTCCTAAGTAGAGCCTATACGTAATAACAAAACAAGGAAAGTGAACAAACCAGGCCGTGCTCTAGTTCAATGCATGCCCCTGAAAAGAGGATATCAAGAGCTTCAGAGAATCTCTGAGCCGTAACATATCTGCGAGCAAGAAGGATAAATAATGTGTTATCAACCCATTTATAAGAAGAACAAATTAAGCTACCAATTCATAACAGCTCTACCATCAGGAATCCGATTATCAACCAATCACCAGAATCCAAAAAGGTCAAATGCAGAATCGAAGTAGATAATAACGAATCGAGCTAGAGAAGAGCTACGAACCTTGCACTGATAGATTTGTACATCTGCAACGCTCCATAGTAATTGCCATCCTCTACCACTTTCCGCAATTTGTCAATATGCTATATAAGAATTTTGAAAGGAAGAAACAAAAAGCGCATCAAGGATCTATCTTATCTCCCTCATCAGATGTTGATGAGAAGAATTTGGATTGTCGCAAGTGAAAACGAAATTGGGAAAGAAAGAAAACAGATCCGAGGAAAGTACCTCTTGAACGGGAGGCAATTCACGTTTAATCCTCTCTCTCGACATGGATCGCTTGAAGGTGGATGGATCTTCCAACGCAACGGTTCTTCTTCAATTTCTCTCTCGGTGTTGGTTAATTTTTGCAGGTAGAAGAAAGATATATATCCAACTACGGAAACAAAACAAGAATTGAAAAGATGTGTGATGTCTTGCGGATTTACCCTAATTAAAATTAAAATTCGGTTTACCAAAAAAAAAAAGGAAAACCCAAAAATTCAAACCATTCCGTTTCTATAGTTATGTTCTTCAAAATTCATTTGGCTTATTCAAAGGGATATGTATATTGCAAAACTATTTTACTTGACTTTTATAGTTAAATTAGTAACAGAAATGGTATTCTCTTTTTTTTTTTTAAAGATCAATGTAATTACCAAGTACCAACCAATTCTTTGCATTGTGACTACTTTGGTTCCGCATCATATACTGTAATAATAATAAGCATCAAAAGGTTTTTAAGAAGATCAATAAACATCCATTACATTTTTTTTTTTTGGTCCGTTGCATTAATTTATAGTCGAAAAAATTTGAATAACATCCAATATATGAATTAATTTTAGTTTGGAATACGAAAACAAAACCCATTATTACAACAAATATCACAAACGCAATTAAATTGTTTTATGAAGAGGTAGGTCTTATTAAAATAAGTTTAGTAGACACATGGGCCATTACTTGGGTCGGAAGAAGTCAAAAAACCGGAATTGTTGAAGCTACAAGCATCCGCGGTGCGATCATGGCTCTGGTAATAAGAGTTCATGACAAAGGACGCATGGTCTACTAAAGTATTAGGGTAATAGCAACTTCCTCCGGGTTGGATCGCTGTACAGTGGACTTGTCTGCAACCGAAGTCAATGTTGGCTTGTAACTGCTCTTTTGTGGAAGCAGGCAACGCCACGCACCATTCGTTGCATGTCGCGACGGGGAGGTGCTGGATCGCCGCAGCAGATAGGAGGACAAGGAGCGTCAAAAGCTGCGTCGACATTTTACAAATAAAAATATAGATTATTTAAGTAGTTAGGATTCAATAATTCTATTTTGTAGGTGTTTTTTTGTGCAAGTACATGTATATATATAACATATATCCAAAAAGATCTTTCCCAAACATGCAAGACTGTGAAAACTGATTCTCATAAATAGCTCTATATGCTTTTGTTTGTTTGGGAAAGAGATCTGATGAGAGGGAATTAAAAGATGTAATAAATCAGTAAAATACTTGCATATCACTCTCTATAAATTATTTCACTAAAAGATTATGATACATTTCTATTTCTATATTTTTTGTAAGATCTTTTTGCTATATCATACTAACTTGCTATGTGATCCACCTTGAAGAACCGTTGGATGATTTGTAGATATATAAATATATCCAAATACGGAAACTAAGCAGGAATTGGGAGATTAGGCTAAGTGTGAAAGGTTAAATTATCAAATTTTTATAATTTTTTTTCTAATATTTACGTAAAATACCAACTTTTATTATTGTTTCTACTTTATTCTTTGACAATTTGATGAGGAATATATTTGTTCTATAATTCCTTAGAAAAAGGAATGAATAAGAATCATGTATGTCCTATATATATGTAACAAAATTCTTTTTTAAATGGTAAAATATTCTAGGAATGGAGAAGAATGTCATATTCTTTTTCCAATTATTTTTGGGTAAAAATTAGTTCACGATTAAATGACAGTTTATACGGCCAACTTTGAAGCAAATAGATAACCAGAACAAGTTAACCAAAAAATATAATAAAATTTGCAGTAAAGTTGATATGAAGACCATTTGGTTAGAGATAGATTTCCGACCAGACAAACTCTTAGTATCATACATAGAACCACGTAAAACTTGTTTTATATATTTCAATAGTAATTGACATTTTTCCACCATTATCTCGTGTCGCGTAACCACATTAAGAAAAGTTATGAGGCATCACCATTCACCACTAAGAATATTAATGAAAACGTCACAACTATCAGTAACCTCAAAATAACATTTTAATTGTTAAATTCCGAAAAGTAAGAAAATTCATTATTAAAAAAAAAGGCAACAATAATCAAGTAACGCAATTTCAAAACAATCAAAATCTTTTTAAGTGTAGTAGACACATGAGTCATAACTTGGGTCGACAAAGACAAAGCAACTGGTGCCGCCGAACCTACAAGCGTCTACGGTACGACCATGACTATGGTAATAAGCGTTCATGACAAAGGACGCATGGTCTACCATATTATTAGGTTCAAAGCAACTTCCACTGGGTTTGATCGGGCTACAGTCGACGCCGTTGCTGCAAGCGAAGTCGATGTTGGATTGTAATTGTTCATTTGTCGCACTCCGCATCGCCATGCACCATTGTCTGCAGCTCACGAGTGGGACTTGTTGGATCGCCACAGTTGATAGGATGATGAGGAGGAGCAGCGTCAAAAACTGCGACATTATATTATATTCTTGGATGTGAAAATGCTTCGCTTTTTTTGTTCTCATGCAAGTACTATATGATTTAGTATATATATACACATAACCAGAGGCGGAAGCAAAGAAAGTGTGGCCTGGTGTACACTAGCCTCCACTGATTTTTTATTATTTTTATTTGCAGTTTTGTTAGTAAATTTCGAATTAGCAAAATTCCTTTTATTGCCCTTATTAATTTCATTGTCGGATTCCACCATTTTCCATCCATTTCCTAATTTTTTTTTTTCTATTATAATATTCGTTTCCTTTTTTTTTCATTTACCTACCCATCTTAAAATTACTAGATCAATCTTTATTAGAGGATTCTTTTCTAATTTCGAAGAATCAACAATATTTCGGTATTTTTTAATTTTTTTAAAAAAAGAATCCATTGACTGGGTTACATATCAAATCGCGGTTCTACTAGTCTAACCGGCCGAATCGATATGGTATATTAATCTATGTAATTAAACCGGTAAAACATGAAATGGATGGATTATCTTCAATAAGACTCGTAGAATCAAGCGCCATGACTTGGGTCTGTAGAAACTTGAGAGCCATTAATTACCATTGAAATTGAATTGCTCCTTGGTGTGACTAAGGTTATAGTAATACAAGTTCATGACGAAAGATGCATGGTCTCTTATAGTGTTTGGTTCAAAGCAAATACTCCACCGGGTTGAATCGGTGTATAATCACGGAAATTCTCCTTTGTAGCTGCAACACCAGTCTATATTCGCTTGTAGCTGCACATCCGTCCCTTTCTGACTCGCTAGCTACACACCATGGTCCTTTATTTTCAGCCGACGAGACGTTTCTTAGTGCTGAGGTAGATACGACAAGGAAGAAGAGGAGCGTCAATGATAAAGACATCTCTGTTTTGACCATTATTGCTTGTATTGATGGATGATTCATCTGATTTTTGTTCAAAAGACTAAATATTTTGGATATGTGTTTATGTGTGTTTTACATTAAATCAAATATTTTCGAACCAAATTTCTAGTTTACCCTTTATGAAAGGTATTTATCCTAAGTCAGTATCATATACTGTAATTAATTACTGATATACTAAATAAATATTTAATATGTACAGGACCGGGCTATGTGGGAAGCTGAGATTTAAAATCCCATTAGCTTGCAATCATTTCCTCCAAAGTAGACAGCATAATGAGATATAGAGAGCCAATTAGCTTGTATATAGTGTAGATATATATTAGAGAAAAGTGATGCATATAAAACATTCTCAACTTATTTGGAGCTTCGCATTAAGGGGTTCCCATACACACAGATATTAAAATGTCTAATTAATAAGAAACGTAAACACACGAGCCATGGCTAGGGTTTCTATGAACTCGAGTGCCAGTACCGCCGAAATCGCATTGCTCCCCTGTGTGACCAAGGTTCTGGTAATACTCGTTCATAACGTACGACGCGTGGTCTCTTAGAGTGTTTGGTTCGTAGCAGGCTCCACCGGGTTGGATCGGTCCACAATCGCGGAATCCTCCTGCGTCACTGCAACACCAATCTATAGTCGCTTGTAGCTGCGCATCCGTCGCTTTATTATTCGCCACGCACCATTCTCCACTATTTTCAGCAGCCAGCGAGAGGTTTCTTGTTGCTGAGGTCCCGGAGACGGTAGATACGATGAGGAAGAAGACGAGCGTCGTCGATGATAAAGACATTGTTGTAACTGTGACCATCTTTGCTTTGTAGATGATTGGATGATTCAATGTAATTGATTTTTTTTTGTTCAAAGTAGGGTGTACATATTTTGGATACCTAAGTGGAGCGTTTTATAGATAGACTATAGTCAAAGGGTACTTTATTACCTTTCCTCATTTCTAGCCTCATACATAGTACATTACTAAATTTCCTTTTTTTGATTTTCGTTTTTCTTTTTATTTTTAAAATTATTTCTCCATGCATTCCTCCCGATTAAAAGGGATATCATTTTGAGTTACATCATAAACCCACGAAAGGGTGAAGAATTAATAATATATAGCGAGTGCAAATGGAGCTGAGCATGGGAAGAGGAACCACAATCTACATAGTGCAAATTACATCTTTTGTTTTATTTTATTTCCTCATAGTGTCATACATTATTACGTTTCGTTTCTTTGGTTTCAAAAGTATAATCTAGTAGAGTTAAATGATTCATTTAAGAATTCCGATTTTATATATTTTTTTAAAAGGATCTATCGTGATAAATAGGACAAGTGTAAAGGTAAGTGCGGTAAGCATGCAACAAAATGACGTTTTGCATGCAATTAATTATATTGATCACAATTCTCAAGCACTTATATCGCTGGTGGTTGTGACGAGCTGGCCCCTCCTTATTGAGCCATGCACCACGGCGCCGATTAGACCTTCCTCCTTTATCTTTCTCTTCGCTCTACTATTTTTTCTTTCAACCATGCACCACGTACGTATATATATCTTTTGATCCTCTTCTCTTTAGATACTTCTCAACCACCTCCTTCATTTTTCGTAAAAATGTGCTGGAAACTATCGCAAGTTAAACTTTCAATTCTGGCAAGATAATCCAGCGATCGAGCTCTTTTGAGTCCGAATCCACGAAGTAACTACAAACCATTAGACATCATGTCATATATGTCATCGAAAAGAGTTCAAATGATGAGTTAAATTCACCATGTATAGATATGACGATTTGTATGGACATATAGAAAACTCTTACAGTCTTACTTCATATATAGATTCATGATCAATTGGAAGTTTATTTTTAAAATGGATAACAAGTCAGGTCAAGATAAGATCAACATAATAGTTTGTCAAAAAAAAAAAAAGGAAGATAGGATTAACATATATGCTCACAATATACCTACAAAAGGCTTTGGGTAAGCTTTTAATTCGTATTCTAGAAATTGGTAACAAGAAGACTTGCATAAGGCACTATCTGTCAAAAAAAAAAAAAAAGGACATTGAAGTGTCCAATTTCAATTTCTATTATTTAGGGCGAGTCAAGATACAACTTGAGTCTTGAGGGTTTAATAAAAAAACTGAAACCCTTAGACCAAAAAAAAAAAACTGAAACCCCCATGGTAACAATAATGCGTTTTTTTAACAGAAATAACAGAAAAAAGAAAAATAACAGAAAAAAACTATCAATTATTACACTTTTGGTACACAGTTTCAATACGATTCTCACTTATGTCGGTTGTTTTTATTTAATTTTTTAAACGTCAACTTGGGTCTCTTTCGGAAAGGACAAAACTACCCATAATGAGGAAACAAACGCGATAAAACTGAGATTTTTTTTTTCTTCATCTTCGTCTGCATTTTTTTTCTTCACCGTGTTTTGATCGGTGGAAATTAGGGATTTCTGTAAAATTGTAATGTCATTTTGAGTAAATCATGAGCAAGCCCGAAGAAATTCCCGACCCGAATCCGGCCACAACCGATCCAAATCCACCGTCTCGATCTTCTTCCGACAACGATCCCGTCGCCGATCGGGATCCGTCTGATCTCAATCACGTTTCCGAGGAGCTAAGTGATCATCTCAGAAATGTGGGTTTGGAAGAAGCTACGAAAGATCTGAGTGTGCCGATTAGTGCCTCTGAAGGCAATAGAGAAACAGATTCGTGGGCGTTGGGCAGCGAGAAGAAGAATAAGGAGGAGGAAGAGGAGGAGGAGGAAGAAGCAGAAGCAAGAGATGGGAGCGAGCGTGAGAAGAGAATGATCGCGTATCCAGTGAGACCTGATGCAGAGGATTGTTCGTTTTATATGAGAACAGGAAGCTGCAAATACGGTTCGAGTTGCAAGTTCAACCACCCTGTTCGAAGGAAATTCCCAGTAATTTTCTTCTACCAATGATCTCTGCATGTTTTGTTATTCCATTTGTGATCGAAAATCTCAGGTGTTTTTTTTTTTTTTTTGGCTCTCCTGACATGATTTTGATTCTTAATTGATGCTAGGGTAGAAAATATTTTTCCTTTTTGTTTAATAATGGCGAAAGGATAAAACTTGCCTGTCTGTGTATATAAATTATTCATTTATCTACTTCGTTGCTGGAACGAAATGAGAAAGCTTGATTTAGAATTCTGTTCTGGTATTATGTTTTAGTTTTGAGTTTGATTTGTTTTCTATTCCTCTGCTGTTTTGGTTTGGGATCTGAAGTCTTTAGGGAGTATAAGAACGAAAAAAGGGGTTAGGCCTATGCTATTTAAATGAAAAGGACCTTTTTATATCTCTCTTTTTGCTATTCTAATGTTTCGTTAATTGGAAGATTGGTAGGGAGAAGGTACGGGAAAGGGAAGAGGATGTGGAGAATCCCAGGCTGATGGAGTGCAAGGTTAAATACTGTCTTTTCTTTCCTCTGTAATGGCATAGCAAGATTAAACAATTTTCATTTTGTGTTGCTTTCCCTTACCGGGTTGCAGTACTACTTCAGGACTGGAGGGTGCAAATATGGAGAGTCCTGTAGATTCAGCCACACTAAAGAGCAGACTTCTTTGACCTCTCGACCAGAGCTTAACTTCCTTGGCCTTCCTATCAGACCGGTATTCCATTAACTGGTCTAGACACTTCTAGCATTCTGTTTAAAACAGCCTTTTGGATAAGCTATAATAGTGTAAGCTATTGCCAGGGAGAGAAAGAATGCCCTTTCTACATGCGAAATGGCTCCTGCAAGTTTGGAGGTGACTGCAAATTTAACCATCCTGATCCTACGGCCATTGGAGGAGTTGATTCTCCCTTGTTCCGTGGTAACAATGGTGGATCCGTTGGATCATTTTCCCCAAAGGATGCGTCCCAAGCAAGTTCCACTTCTTGGTCTTCATCGAAACACATGAATGGTACTGGTACTGCTCCTTTTATTCCAGTTATGTACTCACAGAATCGTGGAGTTTCACCTCAAAATTCGGAGTGGAATGGGTATCAGGTAAGTTATATTGAGCTCTGCATTACTTATTTTGATGCGTTTTTCTCTTTATGTTGAGAAAGCTATAGTACTTTGCTTTTGAAGTTTCTCATTCTTATTTGTGTAGGCGCATTCTGTCTATTCATCAGAAAGGAGTGGGCTTCCTCCTTCCACATACCAGGTGAACAATTCATTGGCTGAAACTAGTTCATTCTCACAATACCAACAGCAGATGCCTGTTGAGGAGTTCCCTGAACGTCCGGATCAACCAGAGTGCAGTTATTATGTTAAAACCGGGGACTGTAAGTTCAAATATAAATGCAAATACCATCATCCGAAAAATAGATTGCCGAAGCAAGCTCCATCCTCTTTTAATGACAAGGGCTTACCCCTAAGACCTGTGAGTTAGTTTTTCTTCCATGATGTTCTTGTTTGACTTTAAAATCGTAAACTTGTATTCTTTTGCTCCTTTTAATACTAAAGAAGATGACCTTTCTGGTGAGCTTTCTCAGAAAAAAAAAACAAAATTTTCTGATTCACAACTTATTCCCCTTTTCCTCTCTTAATTATCATTGATATTCAGGCTTTTTATTTAAAATTTTATTTATAATTTGCAGGATCAAAACATGTGCACACACTACAGCCGGTATGGCATCTGCAAATTTGGTCCAGCTTGTAGATTCGATCATTCAATACCGCCTACATTCTCGTCCAGCATCTCCCAAACCGTAGAAGCTCCTCAAGTCGGCGACAACAGAAATGACAATGACAGCTGGAATTGACAGCATATGTTCATAACTTATGAATCATAAGCCTGCTTTAAAGGGATACTTTTTTTTCTTTACCATCAAAAGCCTCTCGGTTCTTAGGATCAAACTCTGTTTCTGGTTTCGGAGTTTATGAAAAACAATTAGGTAAAGTATAGTGTCTCTAAACTATATCTATCTGGCAAGTCAATGCCTGTTACACAAAATTGTCACCAATTAATTTTTGTTCCGGGTTTAACTGTAACTAATTTACTCTCTCACTCTACGGTTCAGTCTAATGGAAGCCTACCCTCTCTTCTGCTTCTGTTCTTCTTCGGTTGGTTGCTCTTCTCTGAAATTACTTTCGTCGATTTCTGCCTAGTTTTGTTCATATCTGAATCATAAAAGTAGTGGTAGAATCCAGAATCAATCTTAAAAGAAGTGCTAGAATCCAGAACCATTCTCAAAAGAAGTGCTAGAATCCAGAACCAGAAAATGACATTGTATGAACAAAGATACTTTTGCATACTTCTACGTCAGTGCACATGTTCCTGCTATGATTGTCTGGTGCAGTTTCCCCACAAGTTGTATCTCCAGCATATTATTTACTGCAGTTTAGGCGTCAGCTCTGAAACCACAATCTATCCTTGTAGATTTAAAAGCCCGCGACCTCCGAGTGCACATTTATAAATGTTAACTTTTTTTAGGATTTAAATAGTTTAAAGCTGTTGGAAGGCTGTACAGAAACCAAATTATAGTCTCGTTTTGTCAAATATGAAATAATAGCATTCTCTGAGAAGGACTTTGTCTCTAATCTTATTTCTTAAAAAAAAAAAAGATTCTTTGGAGGAGTCAGGAGACAAATGTATGCTCTTATATCCATTGTGGGAAAATTGTTGGCAAACAAAAAGAAGAAACAATAAGTATACTGAACAAGTATTATATCAGCAAAAGACAAGAAGAAGAAGACGAAAGCCGAGATGTATGACTGCGTTAGATATGTCATATGGCTTGTAACTCTTAAAGCCAATTTGTTTCACTTTTTGTCTGGGATCTCTCTGCTAACTTCTTTAGCTTCCTAATCCTCGGATTCTTCCGAAAAGTTAACGGAAGCAAAGCCATTTCTTCTGCTCAGAAAAGAAAAAAAAACATAAATCAGGTAAGCAATCTGTGTTCTTTTGAAAACCCATCAGGAGGAGAAAGAAGTTGAATTTTGATGAGAAAAAGTGTATGACCTTAGCTTTTGGGTTTTGAGAATCATGGTGATTGTTTTGATCGGAGTTTTGGTTTCTCTGAGGTGAAACCAGAGTATTAGGACCTGCGCCGGATGCTTTCTTGGTCTTCTTCTCGTCGCTAGCTTTGCTGAAAATGACTGTGAATCCTTCGGCCGATGCGGGATTGTTCACATCCCATTCACCAAACTTTGGCAATGGCTTCCCTTTATTTTCCTGCATCAATCAGACAGAGAGTATTCACTAGAGATGAGAAAAGGTAGATACTTCTTTTTTTTTTGTTTTGGGGATAAATAATGATCATCAACGATTGATCAAAAGAGAGAAAATCTAAAGAGATGGGTGTTTGTTCTTACCTTCGCCATTGTTGAGATCAAAAGCAAGAGGAAATATCAAGATCTAGAGAGAGAGAGAGAGAGAGAGAGAGATGGGAGGAGAGAGAAGGGAAAGAAAGCTGTAATACATATATAGATAGAGAGAGAGGAAGGAGAAACAAAAGAGGGAAACACGTCGTCGTTGACAACAGCATTAACCAAATCAACTTACCTTTTCTCCTTTCCCGCGTATTTCCTCAACCGTAGTACCTTAAAAAATCATTTTAAACCAAAAATTCCGAGAAATGAAAAAATCAATAAAAGAAAAGTTGTCAAATATTTATTACATCATTAATTCTGTGGAAAAAAAAAAACAAAAACAAAACAAAAGAGCGAAAACAAGTTGTGAGAGCCCAACACAAGATGGGTTCCCTTTGTAGAAAGTGAAGCGAGTTGGGCCTAAAAGTAAATATAAAAATCCCTTTGTTTGGTTACAGTGATATCTCCATTCCCCGGTAGCCTAAATCGAGTATGCAGCCGAAACAGCAACAAAGTAGAAAGATCTTCGGTGACTTGCGTCTCTTGAGTTCGATGGGAAGAGTAAGGGAGTCAATTCTCGTGATTCTTCTACTTTTTCCTCTTCTTCTCCATCAATCACTCTCTCAGGTACTCAAACATCACCTCTTCTACCTTCATCTATCTATAATTCATATTCCTTTTTCTTCTGATCTGTGTATATAGTCATTGAATCTTTGTAGTTTTTCTCTCTGTAGGTGTTCGAAGCATCTAAATCTACTAGGTGATTCTCCATAAATTCCTCTTAGTTTAGCTCTCTTTTCTCTGTACAAACCAACAAAAAAAAGCTAAGCTGACTAGTGATTAGCTTGTGTAGATTATTTTCCAATTCAGGCTTGCGTATATTTCTAAGCCTCTGATTATATTTTTGTGGGAATTTAGATTTGTTGAGGAAGAAGTGCGAGGTAATGCTCCAGAAATACATTGTTCCCGACATAGAAGTCGAGCAGCTTGGCAGATTATACAAGATGTAAGTTGAGAATTGATAATGTTTTTGGGTACTAGTTTGGATTTTTGTTTGAATGTTTTTTTTTTGTTCTGCCTGATTTTAGCTACGGAGCAGATTTTCTGATGGTTTTATAATTTGGATTTCTGCAGTATTTGACCCCGTTTGTGGAACGGGAAGGATATCAAATATCAAAGAATTGTAGGCTTCATCCTGATAATGATTTATATAGAGATCAGGAACTTCATAAGATTCACGTTGATATCTTCGAATGGAAATGTGGTTACTGCAAGAAAAGTTTCACTGAAGAGAAATTTCTTGACCAGCACTTCGTCACTAGGCATTACGATCTTTTAAATACGGTATGTGAATTAACTGTTGCTGTGCTGTCTGTTTCAAAGTCACCAAGTGTGATTTTTCAGATGTGCGTTACGATTACTTTAAGGCTTCTGCATTTCAAAGGAATTCACTTGAGCTGATACTAGAAAACTTACCTTATTGCTTCAGACTGGTACAAAGTGTTTAGCCGACCTGTGTGGAGCATTGCATTGCGATTTTGTATTGAGCTCCAAGAAACCCAAGAGCAAGTGCAACCCTGCAGCTATTGCCAAAAACCGTCATCTCTGCGAGGTTTGCTTTCTTGGCTTCTCTTTCAATTTTCTTTGCCTTGTCCTCTCTGGATCCATGGCTTCTTATTATTCTTCTCCTTCGATACGATTTTCTTTGCCTTTTCCTCTCTGTATCCATGGCTTCTTATTATTCTTCTCCTTCGATACAATTTTCTATGCCTTGCCTTGTCCTCTCTACGATTTTTATTTGTTGATGCCCTTTCTTGTTTATGTAGAGCGTTGCCAACAGTTGTTTCCCAGTGAGTCAAGGTCCCTCAGCTAGCCGTCTTCATGGTATGATTCCTAACTTAGAAGCCTTCCCAGTGAATCTTTGCTCACCGAATATTAGATGTTTCTCAAAATTACTTCCTTCAAGCGTGCCTAAATATATGTTCTTTGTTTTTGATTTTTTCATGATCGAAGAACATTTCTTGCGACAATTCTGTGATGCTCATACCTGCACTGGAAGAAATAAACCGTTTCCTAGAGGAGGCAAGGTAAGATCTGTTAAAGCCGTCGCAGTTACTTATGTGTGCGAAATGACTAACAGTTATTTCTTTAAGCATATATGTTATCCCATTTGCCTCTTTTGACCATGCTTTATCTGTTTTTCTTTTGTGGAAACCAATCATATGAAAGCGATCAGTTATCCTTTAACATCCGAGAGTCTATGCTAAAATTGTGCAGAAGAAATCGGGTGTCTTCTACCTCGCCATATCAATACTGACATTGATGCTACTCCCTCTCTTTTATCTGCTGGTTTTCTTACACCAAAGGTACCTTATGATGTTCTCTATGTTTTTCTTGTTCCCTCAGTGCTTTGTTCCTCGGGAGTCTTTGTTCACGTTGTTTATATTGTCCTTACAGAGAAAAGAGAAGCGGGACACAAGAGTTGCGTCGGATTAAAAAAGCTGGGAAAAAAACAAAACCATCGTAAGATGGTAATCCTTTCAAACATTGGCTTTTTGAATATGTACAAATTTCATTCTCTTGACAGTCTTTGAATCTCGCTGTAGTATATACAATCATATCCAGTTCCTAAAGTCTACCCTTTCTTAACTTAATACAGGTGAGCCTCAAACTGGTCATGAAAGAGCAAAGGGGTGTTTACATCCGATATTCGTTCAGTGAATCACAAATCTTCCACATTGCTTCCCTTTCTCAAGAGCTTTCCTCATTTGGTGTTTATCCTCAAACAAGGTACTTTATGGATTCCCAAAAGAGAGTGTTACTTTGGGGTTTTGAAGCAGGTTTCAATGGATATCAGATGGGTTTCCAAAGACAAATGATTTCTCTGTAAGGTTATAGAAACAGATGATTCCTTTCACAGTAATAGGAATAGTGATCTCTCTGTAATTTTATCGAATATTCATACATATCAATGGTAACATCAGTTTGAAACACAATCGATAACTGCAAAAACATGTACAAAAACAACCTTTCATTGTTAGTTGCGCTTTAAAGATTTTAAGGAGATATGACACCAAACGCTAGAGATATCAACTCGTTAGAGAGGAGAAAACCATCTGGATCTCTCAGCCTAAGGTACCTCACATGATCCTCAATCTTCATTTCATCATTTGCAATCAAGGTTTTGAATTCATCACTCATCACTTCTCTTCTCATATCATCCAAACAAACAATGTGACCACTCTCCACATAAGGCTCATACACCTTACAAATCGAGTTCACTACCTCTCTGCCAAAAGCTTCTCCAAACTCCTTAAGTTCAAGCCCTTTAGATGTTCTGAAAGATAGCATCACGATGTCTGTCGCGACGTCCTTGAGATCAACGTTACCGTTTCCACACCAGTTAGCCGCACCATTCTCCAAGTCAGTGACGTAGTTTGTGTATTCCTTAAGCCTCCTTGGCCTTGAAAACCTTAACCCTCCAACATAACTCGCTGAACCTAAACCGAAAGCATAGAAGGGCTTGTTCTTCCAGTATATCAAGTTGTGTTTACACTTGAACCCGTCTTTCGCGTAACTGCTGACTTCATAGTGATCATAACCTGCACCACGGAGCATCGATGATGCTGTTTTATAAAACTCTGCAGATTGTGTTTCTGAAGGAAGAGGAGATTGACCTGGAGTGTACCTACACAAGTTCATGATCATCATCAATTCGTTAAAGTGATCAGGTTACAGTAAAAGAAATAAAAAAAGCAAACTTGGATTATATAAATACTTACACGTTTCCAAACTTGGTGCCTTGTTCCACTTGCAGATCATATACAGAAACATGATTGGGCTGTGATTCGATAGCTAATCTCAAACTCTCTTCCCACATCTCCAGTGTTTGGTGAGGCAGAGAAGATATAAGATCCATACTCCAATTCTCAACTCCACATTTCTTAACAAACTCGATTGCCTCATATACTTGAGATACACCATGAGCTCTTCCACAAGCTTTCAAGAGCTCATCTTGGAATGCTTGAACTCCTAAAGACACTCTGTTCACTCCCAAATCCATCAATTCTTTTAGTTTCTGAGCACCAAATGTGCCTGGATCCATCTCCATTGATATCTCAGCATCAGGACTCAACCCGAAATCCAAACTCAGTGTATCGAGAATCAAAGCAACAAGCTTGGGAGGGACAAGAGAAGGCGTCCCTCCCCCGAAAAACACCGTCTCGAGATTCGGTTTCGTATCAAAACCCGCTCTTGTCGCTTTTATTTCTCTAACGACCAAATTCACATAGTTTGTGATTCGTGGGTCATCTTCTTTGCCTTCCTCGTAGAGATTAGACGAAGAAGAGGAAGACCCTAGAGCCAAGATTGGGAAGTCGCAATAATGGCAGCGTTTGCGACAGAAGGGAAGATGAACGTAGGCCGAGGTTGGAGGGCCTTGGTGTAACATGGTCAAGTTGGTTGACGCATTTCGTCGAGCACTTGGTGGAGTATCCTCAAGAACGGCCTTACAAGCTTGAAAAATCAACCTCGAAGCCTTTGGTTTACCTGTAAACGATGAGAAAATCGGAGAAATCGTTGTTTTGAGCATAATTTACCAGAGAGGGAGAGAAAGAGAGAAGAGACTCAGAGATGTTTCAAAGATCAAAGTTTAATGGTGTCGTCTCTATATGCTCAAAACGTCATCGTTTTAGCCAGATTCTTAATTAGTAGTATTAATCACACTGCTAATCACCCAAACTAATTACAAATATTAGAGCCAAAAATGAATGTTCACTTATTCAGAGGGGAAAAAAATGGCGCTAGAAACGATGGCTTCCCTCTTCGACCTCCTCTCATGTTTTCTCTCGTCTTCTACTCCGCCTAGTCTGAAACCTATCACTAGATCCTCGCCGTGTACACTTTCATCTTCCATATCCGCGAACGCGAGACCATATCAGCAGCTTTGGATGACGACGAAGTTCTTCCTCAGAGCCAATCACGATGACGTCATCAATCGCGTGGCGTATCCTTCGCTGGCGAACGCGAACCTATTCTTCTTCAAGTCCGGATACTACAACGTCGAGGTGGTGCCTAAAGACGGCGAATCGGAGGATCAGCTGTTGAACGATTTCAAGAGATCGGTTTTCAGAGCCGGTGTGTTGCAGGAGACTCGGAGACGACGCTTCTTCGAGAACTCTCAGGAGAAAAGGAAGCGTAAAACCAAAGAAGCTGCGAAGAAGAATCGTAAAAGGTCAGATTCTTCAGTCTTTCTTCTCTCTTCACTCTCTCTGTGCTAAATTAGTGAAGCTAAGCCGATAGATTTTTATTCACAGGAGGCCAAACCTGAAACCAAAACCACATTCAACTCCAGAAATCCCCAAGAGCAGAGATGTTGAAGAAGACGATAAGTGGGAAGTTCCTCCGGAGGAAATTGAGATTCCATATACCAATCGGTCCTAGAGATAAACCGCATTCTCATTCCGGTTCAGTGATTTGAACAGTCTCAATCATGCATCTGCAATACGTATATCCACTCTTCTGTAGGTCGTCTGCACATTCGTTCTCCTTGATGTTCGTAGCTTAACTTCCCAACAAAATCAGAAAATTTTCATTGCTGAGTGTAGAGAGAAGATGAACTCCTAGATCTTTATGTAACGATGAACCAAAATGTGGATGAATCTATAGCTCATTTTGTTACATAGGAAAGTTATTATAAGCCGAAAACTGGAAGTTGTATTGCCACCAAAATCAAGAACAAAACAGACCAGAGCTCATTCTCACAACATCAACAAGAAACAAGTAAAGAAATTTCCTTTTTAGACCATTATAATCGAATCTGTCTTCTCAACGATCACTCCCTTAGCCATGAGGCTAGAGCCGAATCCCACTCGCATAGCTCGCCTTCTTTGAACCACAAAGCTGTGCCACAACCACAAGAGCCAAGATGTCAGCGGACGAAAACCAATAGAGAAGCTAACTCAATGAAGAAGTAATTCGAAACCGTTTTCATGATTGTATATATATATTAACCAAACAATATGAGTAGTCAAGTATGTACTAATATCGCTGTGTGTTCAAGTTTGATAGAAGAAAATGAAGTCGAACCACCTTTGTTTGCATTTCTCAACCAAGTTTCAGTAATGCCACTAAATGGAATGGACATAGTCAATGATGAAACATGGGTGACTGATTTAAGAAACAAGAAATCTCACCAATCTCACGCTTTCCGTTTTCAGGACTATCACTACCATGAACAATGTTCCTGCAATATTGCATAACGTAAGCATCAAAATCATCAGTTATAATCATCTTAAACGCTTAACTGCAACATTTATAAAAGGTAGTGTGGTAAGATTCAAACCTTCCGGTTTGTACAGCAAGATCTCCTCTTATAGTACCAGGTTCAGCTTGAAGAGGATCTGTTTTCCCTATTAGCTTCCTGGCTGAAGCAACCACACCAACACCTTCCCAAGCCTTTTACAAGAATTGAAACATCACAACCAATTAACTAGATTGATAATCCAGGAAGACCGGATTGGAGTTATAATAGTACGCCGACCCGTACCATACACACAACTGGGCCTGAAGTAATGTACTCGATCAGACTAGGGAAGAATGATTTGGCACTAAGATCCTTGTAATGTTCCTGGAAATTGATGTACTACTTGTCAATGACTTAGTTATACATCAACTTGAGAAGCATATAAACATTATATTGCTAGTGAATGTTATGAGTGAGAGTCAAACCTCAGCCAATTCTCTTGGGCACTGGAACATCTTCAGTCCAATCAGTTTAAATCCCTTCTTCTCAAAACGAGAGATGATTTCTCCAACCTAAGATAGTTTCAAGGTTCACACAAGTTATTACCGAATAATTAACGGTTCAAAAGGGAGAAATATGAACAAGCAAAGAAGCTTACAAGGCCTCGTTGTATGCCGTCTGGTTTCACCATAATGTAAGTCTCCTCAACTTGTTCCTGAAATAACGATCCTAAAGCTCAGTAGATTGCAACAAGTTTACGAGACCATTAATTCCTAATTTCGAAGCTCAATCAGTACTCGGTGAATTTTTGAAGTAAACACGCATTAACGAAGGGGAAGCGCAAACCATAGAAGCGACAAGGTGAGGGAGGAAGATTCCAGACTCGGCGGAGCTGGAAGCGCAAAGGCGGCGGCGGGACGAAGAAATGCGAGAGAAAAGACGGAACTGAGGACGAAATGCGGCCAACTCAGTGCGTAAGTTAACAGTAGTTGGAGAACAGTATGAATTGCCAGTTGCTGAGTTTTTCCCTGGAAGCGATGAAGAAGACGACGGCGAAGCGACACAGAGTGCCCATTGACCACCAGCCACTGACACCATTTTTCTGCGCTCTGTCTCAGCGTCTCACTTCCTTCGCTTCATCTAATAAGAACAACGCTGAAATGACATATTTACCCTCTATCCATCCAGACTCGGTAGAGAATTGGGTCTAAATAGATCAATCAAAAAGTATCTGGGGGTTAAAAGTTAAATATGACAAAGAGAGTCTCGTTAACGAACACGATCTTCCGGTACAATTTTTTTTTTACTTATTTACCATTTTTCACATTTCAACAAATTAGTCTCAATTTGGCTGCTGCAATACCAAATTCAATTTTCCGACGACATCTGTTTTTAAGCAAAATTGGTTTTTCTTTGTCTCTCTTTCCCAGAAAAAAAAAAAAAGACATCTCAATCAATTTCTTCTTCCACAACTTCATTTTCTTGCTCTCCCTTGCCCACAACATCAGAATCTTCTTCTCTCTTGTCTAGAAGTTCAGTTTCTTGCTCTCTCTCGTTGACCACTTCAATCACTTGTTCACCGTTGTCGACAACTACAGTTTTTTGCTCTTCCATGTCGTCAATTTTAGTTTCTTGCTCTTGCTCTTGCTCTCCCTTGTCGATAACTTCAGTCTCTTGCTCTCCCTTATCGACAATTTCAGTTTCTAACTCTCCCTTGCCCATAACTTCAGAATCTTCCTCTCTCTTGTCTAAAAGTTCAGTTTCTTGCTCTCTCTCGTTGCCAACTTCAATTGTTTGCTCTCCCATGTCGTCAGTTTTAGTTCCTTGCTCTTGCTCTCCCTTGTCGATAACTTCAGTCTCTTGCTCTACCTTGTCGACAACTTCAGTTTCTACCTCTACCATGTCGACAACTTCTCTTTCTTCCTCTCTCTTGTCTACAACTTCAGCTTCTTCATCTCCCTTGTCCACAACTACAGCTTCTTCATCTCCTTTGTCCACAACTAAAGCTTCTTCATCTCCTTTGTCCACAACTTCAGTTTCTTGTTCCCCCTTGTCCTCAACTCCATTTTCTTGCTCTGGCACATTCTCCGATTGTTTTTTTCCTTCGTTTTGGCTGATGAGTTTTTCATCTTCATGATGGTTCTCATTATCCTGTGCCTTTAGGCTTACCACTTCTTCTCTCCCTTCCCTTTCACCAACAAGTTTGTCTTCTCCCTCTTCTCCATGGGGTCTAAGTGGCACATTGCCCATTTGTTCTTCTTCCTCCATTCGGTTGATGGGTTTTTCATCTTCTTGGCTTACCGGTTTTTCATTTCCACTAACAAGTAGGTCCTCTCTCTCTACTTCATCAGGACTAAGTGTGCGTCTTTCTTTTCTATCAATGGACTGTTCATCTACTTGGCTAAAGTGGGGCTGATCTTCTTCATCATCCTCATCCTCATCCATTTTCATGTAGAGACCTAGCTGTTCTAATGGATTACTGTTTCCTTCCATCTTAAAACTACCCAGCATATCCTGACTACATTTGGGGCTCATCTCTTCCATGAAAGTCGGTAATTGATCACCATCGGTAACTGTAGCTCTAAGCATCTCCAGGTCTTCCATAAACCGCCTACCCTCGTTTATCTCCACGGTCTTTTCCATCTGCAGCCGTCCAAAAAAGTCATTTAGCATGATTTACAACGTAATAGACCTTGGAGAATCGTAGAAAACTTGAAATACGTTTGTAAAGCCTGTCGTGCAGCATCCTCTCTGCTCTCTTTCCCTCCTCGCTTTTCTGCAGCTCTGCTTAGCTTTTCTCCTAGCCTCGTCAGCAGCTTTGGCCTCGGCTTGTAACCGAACTTTTTCTAATCAGAAGAAAACCGCAAGAATTAACAATAAGCATTTAGTAAGGAATTATGAAGTGCATAAGCACACTCAGTTCACTACAATCCAACCTTGCCTTAGCCGTTTCTCAAACTCCTCTCTTTCTATCCTCAATTTTTCAGGATCTCCTTTTTCACCCTGAAAATTGATGCGTCAAAAATTGAGATTAAAACTTTCCAGATATTCAGACGAGCTTTTTCGTCATACAGCAGGCACTTAAAAACTCAACCTTAGTAAGGGCCTTCTCTCGAGCTTTCATAATGGTATCAGCAAAACGATTCTTCAACAAAGCCGCGCGGTAACGCTTTTCTGGATCAGGTGGAGCAGTCTCCTCTATAATAGCCAAAGCATGACAGGTAAAATCATGATCTGAAAATTAACAGCTATTCATCTCCAACCTTCCTTATTTCATTTCTTACCCTCTGGAAGGACCGGTACTGCATCCATGGCGGTTGAATTTTCCCCAACATCATGCTCAACTAAAGAATCTACAGAGAACAATAAATTAGTTTTGGGAAGACTTCCATCCGAGCCCTCCAACAATCTTTTCTGCTTATACCATCAATTGAAATGAGACTAACCATTTACAACAATCTTTTCACCGTTGATATTCTCGTCCTTTCTGTTTATACCAACTCCTGGTTCCTTTTTATCCTAAATTAAAGAGAAGACTACACTTATTCTACGGAAGTAAATGTCAAATTTCTGATTGTAGACGCCATGACAATAATGCAGAGAGTATATTAAGGAATCTCGCGCAAATAATTAGAGAACTATCAAACACAAAGACTCCATAACAGAAGAATTCCACTATCAAATATACCTCTGTATTAGTAGGATTTGAAGCTTTAATGGAATCTGTTTCATTCCCAGAGGAACTAAATGAATCAGAATCTGAAAGATAATCACAGAAAACATCAGTACTAAAAGCTCTTCCTAAGAGGGAAAATTAAACAAAGAAATCAGTACTATAATTCATCGAATCACGACGTAAGGCATAACTCCTTTGTCATAAGCTAATAAACCACAGATACTAATACAATATTCTCTATAGCAAGTGTACAACCACACTTAGTAGAGCAGAACACACAGAGGGTCAGTTTTACACTAAGACCCATCAGCAGGATTACCACAGTCCTAATGATCATCAAGATTTTTTTTTTTTTTTTAAAGACGGGTAGCAGCTGGCGCAAATACAAACCTGCCTCAAAAGTCAAATACTAATCACTCGAATAGAAAAGTGATGCATCTAAGAAAAAGAAAAAAATACTTTATTTTCAATCTTAGCTACTCTTACATACTGTACAAATCAATGCACAATTTACGAGAGAAAAATGAATGATTATTCTAACGAAATAGAAGAAGGCTCGCATAAACACGAACCAGTAGATGAAGAGCCCGATTCACTACTGGAGCTACTCAAACTACTGCATTCATTGTTTCTACATGCAGCATCTTTTTCTATCTGAAGAGGAGGATGGCTTGAAACAGGGGGGTCATTCCCACCAACTATGTCAACATCCTCGTCAATTAGCAGATCACCTGTGATCAGGAATACATCAGACTACTGAGAGAAATCATTTTTGACATCAAAAAAAAAAAAAAAAACTTACCTTTACTAGGTTGCAGAGAGGAATTACTGAATCCAGAGTCATGAACAATCTGTTAGAGAAAAGATAAACCAAAAGTCAGATGTCAACATTTCCTGGCGCACACAACAATCATTAAAAACTGATCAGAGAGATTCTTTACCTCCATCTCACAAGGTTCACTCTTTTCCTGGGACTTCTTTTTCTCCCTTAGATAGTCATCCAGGAGTTTCCGAACCATGAACAAGATTTCATCAGAAAGCGTATCTATATCTATCTCAATCTCAACTTCCCCAGATTGGCCATCAATGCCACTTTGCTCTCTCAGGAGATCAACAATGTTTTGTGGGAACTCTTCTTCTAACGCCTCCAAATCTCGGCTTAATTGTTTCTTCTCACCATCTGTCATGACCAACTTCGCAGGTTCCACCCTCAGCTTGCTCTCGTTCACTGCAGCTGCTTTCTTCCTTGGCGGTGCTACTTTATAAGGGATTTCAGCCTCCAGAGAAGCAGAACTGGCTAAGGGCATGACTGGTGGTTCAGTCACAGGTATTTTTTTCTCTATAGCTTTCCATCTCGACTCAAAATATGCGCTGAGATCGCGAGCCATTTTATGGTATTGATTTCCTGGTGGGTTGTAAGCAATAGAATTCGAAAATGTAAGACGCACATCTGCTGCGAAGTCCAAAGGACTAGAGTATTCATCGTTACGCAGTCTGCTTCGTATGGTTCCAAGATCCATTGGGTGCTTAATCACAGTAAAATAATCCGGAATATTCAACAAAACTGGATCAACTGGATTGCGAAATGCAAACCCCAACTTATGTGACCATACACGATCGAGTAATGTCTGACACTCCTTCATCACTGAAGCAACTGTGGAGCTTGTTGCTACATCTAATCTTGCAGACTCAGAATGCCGAGATGGGCCTTTCTTAGTCCGCTGCTTATCATTGCGCACAGGGCAGCGCTTTTTCCCCTGTGTACCAACAAATGTAGCAAAGTTTTCTTGTGGTGGCCTCTTAGATCCATCACTGTAACTACGAATATCCCCATATGGCGACAACAGAACAGTGTCTGAACTAATACATGCAATCCTCTTACGAAGATCCCTGACCTGCTCAAGCTCCATCTTCAACTTGTGGACTAAATTCTTTCTCTCAGACCTCGACATCTTTGAAAAAGATAAAACCTCTTTAGGAACACCATAGCTATCTCCATTCAAACTAAAACGGCTCCTTTTCAGTGCAGGGGCCTCCTCTATCTCACTATCGATCCCGTGTGGGTAACCAAATTCATCAGGCTCAATCATGGTCTCAACAGCTTGCATATAATCAGGAGCAAAGCCCGATGATTTCCCTCTCAAGTGTTTCCGTGCTTTACCCATCATTTACAAAGACAAATTGGTTCTCCCTGTCCCGCAAACTCTACTACCTTCCAGTGCCTACACATTAACTTGAACCATTAGCCTTATCCCCCTCAATCCTTATAAATGAGAAAGCTATCAAATTCTGGAAATCACAACTCGAATTAGAGAATTCAGAAAACCTACCTAGTATGCTTTAATGTCCCTGCTCCAAAAAAAAAGCTTGCAGGTATATGCTTCGACAATGAATTTATCATAAACCCTTGATTGCGTCTTAGAAACATGCGGTGATCAATCCGGGATGTCAAATTTCTTGCCTCAGTCCCTTCCACGATCAGCCCTCGTTGTTTTAGAGTCAAGACCGCAACTCGCCGGAATATATCACAAAGATGCGATTTACCAAATCAATCCAATGATGAAATCCTATGAATCACACGTATACTACACTGAAATCCATATCCGCTCTAAGCTCCTTCCTATTCTCCGTCTAATAACCCTCAGGTCAAAATCACAAGTCCTCGGCGGAATGTGACCGAAGAGATAAACGACAAACTGGGTAAACCCCAAAATTGAAACCCTATAAAAACCCTAGACTGAGTAAAAACTACCAAAATCGATCTGAAAAACTTAGATCCAGAGTTTCCAGATATCGGTTCCAAGGAAAACAAGAAATCGAAATGACGAAAGAGGTGAGAGAAAGAACAAAATAAGAGAGGAGAGAGAGAGTCTTACGTCGAATAACGAACTAATTGGCTTCTCTACTTATAGATCTGAATAGATGATCGGCCCGCCGTCTTTAATCGAATCTAAGCCGTCAATTACAGCCAACCAAAATCTAAACGGCTAGAAATATTCGTTCATTATTTACCGTCGAGATTAGATCCAACGGCTGGTAAGGATACGGCGCCATCTAGTGGAATCAGGATCTCTAATTATTTAAGAAAATATCTCACGCGCGTGAGCACATACATTCCCGGATTGGACGGTCATGGATACACTGAGTGATTGACACGTGCTAGGAAATCGCGTGGCATGGACGCGGCTAACCGGTAGACATTGTCACCACCACTTTGACTATTTACCAACTTAACGCGCCTTATTAATCGCGTTTGAATGACACGTGCCAATACTAAAAGCTTCATCTCATGAATCTTTTGAAGGCCCTTACAGAAACTCAAGGCCTATAAATGAGTGTCATGAGGCTGCCCTTTTATAAATTATTGTGACTTTTTATGTATGGGCTTTCACAATTATGTAATTGTGGTTTTTTTTTTGGTGGGCTTTCACAATTATGTAATTGTGGTTTTTTTTGGTGGGCTTTCACAATTATGTTAAACACATTTGCAAACGAATGTGGACGATTGCCACTTCAAACTTTGTTCAACATTTTTTTTACAGGCCTCTTCATTAAAATGGAGAAATGTGAAGAAGAAAACCCTTACGATATAAAAACGCATACATGTATAGCATATAGTATGTACAATTTTCTTTAAAAATAAAAACACAAATTTGAGATTAGCAATTTAACATCATAAGAGAAACATAAGAGCATATTAAATACAAAATCGTAATCAAAGAAAGAAGCAGATTAAAAAAAAAAAAAAAAAAGAGAAACATGCATATGTTCAAAGTAAAAATTAAATAAAGCAAAGTTCAGCAACTTTTAGTTCGCTACGAAAGCCATGTGATGTGTATACGATCGACACTAATCACTATTGTGAATCCGAGAGTGATCAATACGAAGTCACAGGCACAAAGCAGCCTTAACGTCAAGCCTCCACGCAAAACCACCACCGTCCATCCTCCACACGTCACAAGGCACCGTCACCGATCCTCTTTCGCGATTTTGACACGTGTACTGTAGTTTCACTCTGCATGTGAAAGCCGGGTACGTTAGCATCGGCCTATCCTTCATCACCAACCGTACGATCACGTGAAAATGATCGTAGCTTATATCAGCAGGTGCACCTTCCTCCATCGGAATATTAATGTCTTCTTTAGCCATCTTCCTATACGCCTCATTAGTCCACGTGACTCTCCCTACACCGTCGGATATAAACCCTGGACACGTGTCTCTCACCAGATTCATCTTCCTCTCATCATCTGTCTTCCCCAATCCGTAACCGTCGATCCAAGCGTCAGTCACACGCTCAACCGTCACGCACGACGAAACAACCACCGTCCTTTGAGATATCTCCCTCGTATTGTACGGTGTTAGAATCCCACCGTCGCCGCCGCTGAAACTCAACCACAATGGACCGTTCGGCTTCTGCTTCTCCACTACATGCGGAGGAACATTAAGATCTGGTAAAAGAGAAAGCGTAGCCGCCGTTGTGGTAGAAGCATCGCCTCCGTCGGAAGTTTTCGATCTCTTCTTCCGATTGCATCTCCGGGAGTTAGCACCTGAGCTCTCTTTCTGGTACTTTCTCTTTCCTCTCCCGATTTGACCGGAATTTTCAGAGCTGCCACCGCTCGTTGTGGTGGAACCATACTTTCCGGCGTCGCTTGCCGGTTTAGGAGCGATCGGACGGAATCGAAGCATGATTCGATCCGCTTTGGAGAGACCGTAGCGAGCACCGTAACCGCCATATCTGGCTATGCAACAACCTCCTCTCCCGTCCATTATATATATATATATATATATATATATCTCTCTCTCTGTGATTCTCTCTGTATAGAAGAAGAATGTAGAGAAAAATAGGTTTAAATGGAGCTGAAAATGGTGAAGAGGTGTGAAGACTTTATATAGGACTCTGATGATGACAAGTGTTGGGTCGATACGCGTGTGTTTCTCTACAGTTCGACGCTTATCACCATTGCACATGGGTTCTTTTCTCTCTCGCCCTTTACTTTATTTTTTCCTGTTTGAACAAACTATTTCAATTACTTTCTTAATACACTCCCATTATATCTTTTCACATTACCTTCAAGATATGTATGTATTTGTTTGTAATCATTTCAAACTTAAACTAAATTAATCTTTGTCAAATTAAATATACTACTAATTTTTCTATAGTTATTGACTTTACTAATTAAGTATTTTGTCTTGATATCTTTCAAAAACTCTGTAATTTTTTTCTTTTCGTAAAGTAAGCAATATTGTAATTAATCTAATGTTAACATATATTAGTCGAATTTAAAATTTCAAAATTTAGAAGTTCAGTTATAGTCAGTATAGAACAGTAATGAGATTATTTTTGACATGGCAATATATTTGATTTATCAGACAAAATCAATATAAGGCTGTATTCTAATCTCGATTTGTTCAAGTTATAAAGCTAGGGTGAATATGATGTTAGCAAATTTTGTCGGCATATGATGTTAACAACATACAATTCGGATTCGAGACTTTTTCTAGTCACGCCTACCTAAGGAATGGTAACTGAACACATAATTTGGTCTACTCATATACTCTTGTAAAGTTGTAAGTAGTAGTTGGTTAGTTAAAACTCACTTTGATCCTTGTGTTTACTACTCACATCTTTATTAGGATCTAGGCACATTCGTGTATTAAAAGAAAATCATATCGAACATTTATACTGCTGAGTTCCAAATTTCATAAGATCCAAAATGTAGTTATTCTTTTTTTCTTTATTGGGTAAAGGTAAACCCTAATTTAGTTGTGCTTTCAAAGTCTCAGTCATGAATAATTACTAAAATTCGATCGGTTAACATTAACGTATATCCTAACGAAAGAAAAAGGTAATGTTAGGCATGGTCCAAGAGATGAGGATTCCTACATTATCATTAATTGACCATTTCTCAATTTAATTTAGTGGAATCTAATTTAACTAAAGGTGATCGTGACTCTAGATCTCAAATCTTAATTGAGGGGACAAGATCGATGATCTCATGCCTAAAGACGAATTTTGTGCCAATAGTGTTAGGTCACCTCCTTTTAGGAATAGAAGGAACATTATATAGTTAAACATTTATATAATTTAATCTTACGTAATACTTCTTCTGTTACAAATAGTTTGTGATTATATAATTTCTTACATTATTTTAAAATTATGTTTTTGTTATCACATTCAATTCTATTTTACCTCCTGTAAAAAATTTAACAAACTTTAATTTCAAAAATTGATAATTACTGGATATTAAATAAGGGTAATCAAGTTTGTATAGATAAAAAAGAAATAAAATTGAGTGACATCGAGTAATATTATTACTAGAACGAGAGAATAATATATAGATAAGTTAGCTAATGCTATGTTTTGTATAGATATAATCAAGTTTGTATAGATAAACAAAAAAGTTTGTTTTTGACTATGTTTCAATTAAACTCTTTTACAAAGGCCTTCCTTAGCTAACCAATAGCCTATAGACAAAGTAGGATATATAACATGGGTTTTCTTATTCATGACATATGGTCACATTGAACGGCGTATAAAGAGAGGAGTATTAAAATTGCAAAACGGTGCATAATACATAGTGGTCCTATCCCCATTCGGGAAATTTAAGGACATAAAATAATAGTAGATTCGGATGGGAGCTCCAAGAAGCGATAGCATCTAGAAAATATAATGGGTTTGTGTTGCGTTGTACTTTGCATGGTAACACGCAAGGGGACACGTAGAGATTTGTAATTAGCTACAAACAAACTGATTAAATTAAGTAACCTGCAGGCTTAATAATTAGTCTACGGTCGAACTCTACCCTATGATTGTTCACATTGAAAGTGGGACGAAACTGATGAGAGATAAACTGATGACCTGAGAGTTAGGTTGGATTATTATAGTTAACAACGTTCGATCTCGTCTTCCATTCCATTTCTTCATTGTTTTATTTTATCAACCAATAAACACGCATACTCACATTAAACTTATTTCTCCAAACGTTGAGAAATAAAAATATATCCGTAGTCATTTATCTAGCTAGGTTAATAATAATAATGTGCATGGTTATTTAGTACAACTTATCCGATCCTTTAGTTAGCGACACTATTTTGTTTACTGATAGATCATACACTAAACGGGAAAAAAGTGATTATCTTAGAATCTACTAGTTCAATTCTTCAATGGTATATAAAAATAAATGAGTTAGGTGCTTTCACTTTACAGACGACGTCCGTCACGTCCCTATACATAGTAAATGGAATTATAAAGAACATGCCATGCTTTCTAAAAGAAGAAGGCTGCACACATCTAATCTTTTTGGTTGGATCAGATTAATTATTGCAGACATTGATTAATACGTATTAATAAATCTTATATTAAATTAAAAAGCATTGATTAACTTGCTCTCACTCTCACCCTGCTGGTTGTATACCTAATTATTTAACTACAATAGCAAAACCTTTTATTTTTGGTAACGAAACAATAGCAAAACTTGCCAACAGATTCAACATAAACCACCATCTAGACATGTTGCCGTGGTTTTTTTCTTTTTCAAAACCATAATATCTAAACTAATTCAACTTTTCTGATCTGAGCTTACATTTCTTGTTTTTTTTTTAATAAAACGGTAGTAGGTTCCATATTCTTTTTCGGTAATCTAAAAGGATGTTGATAATACGGCTAGTAAAGTATTAATCACCCATCCCAAATATGGTTAAACTAATGACCTTGAACACTTATTTTCAAAACGATTAAATCATTACCCGTTTTTTTCCCTGAAACTAAATCATCAACCACTTGCTAATGTAGGACATTTTTAAAAAAATGAGCTTCGTAATAATAATCTTTCAATAAAATTTAGTTGAAATACATTTGGTACATATCAAAACTTCGTAATTTATTTAGAAATCTAATAAGACTCTAATAGCTGATGGAATCGTGATCAACGTAAGGCATTAGTTAATGCCGTGCCGTGACCACTGAATTAGATTTTCAACTATTATAAAGTATTATCCTATGATTTATTAAGTAGATGAGACAAATCAAGCTTATCCGTTAAGGCGTTAACGACTATATATCCCCTTTTCTTGATAATTTGTTCTATATTAGTAGTATTTTCTTACAAAATTCAAACAATCTTTTTTTTCAGATTTTTTTTTTCAGACAAAATTCAAACAATCATATGACAAATTTGTCAATTTATTCATCAATTAAAAATAATAGGGATTAAAAACTGTAAAAAAAAATCTGCATTAAAAATATAGAAAGAGTATAATTCAATAAAAAAATACCACAAAAATAAATGTATTCCGAGTTTTATTTGGTTGCAATTCCTAATAGTGCTGACTGCTGAGCATCTAGATCTATTTTAAGGTGACGAGTTTTATTTTATTAAAAGTAGGACAAGTACTAAATCCTATCAACAAAACAAGAATAAAATCAAGCATGTTCCACCAATCAAAATTTGACAACACAAGACAGATATATACATATATAGAGAGCTGGAAGACGCGAAGAAAAAGGTTGGACTGAATCACCACAAAGTCACAAAACCATGCCTCGTAAGAACCCTAATTTAGAAAAGTGGCTAAATGGGTTTGTGCCACGTGTGGATTTGTTTGTGTCAGAGTCAGTAAAGTAGGAAAGCAACGGGTGTGATGTCTCAATAAGGGCGTTGAAACTGGTCGTTTTGTCTGTGACACTTGTACATTTATGGAAAGAGGAACCATGACTAGAGCACTCCCACTCTTTTCTCCCCCTTTTTTTGTCGTCACTCTTCTTAGTTTATCTGTTTTTTTTATTCTAAACTTACGAAAAAGAGTAGTTTACCCTAAAACAATTTAAGTTTCACACCTTATTCTAAATTTCTGTGTCGGTTGATACATGATATATCAATGTATCTCATCACAAATTTTTTTTTTTTTATTTTATATAGTTTATATATAGTTTATGACTAATTACCTCAGAAAAGTAATATGTAGAAGTCAATGCTTGCATGTTACTTAAACTATTATGTATGGCGGGAGCGAAGCAATCGCATTAACCAAAACGGTTACACAACGATGATTCTCCTAACTCTATTAATCGATACAAATAGTAAAGAACCGCATAAGCTTTCTTAACTTCCATAACGTCCCCCACTCAGCCACTCTCACGATTTGCTTTAATGATGGTTTGCAACTAACTACTGAATAAATGATCTCATAGATTTCGAATTGGCAATCGTAAATTCGACAACACCTTGTTACTCTCAATTTACATCTTGTTACTCATAAAAATGCGTTTGTTTCCACATACTGTATGATAACTACTTCATATGACTTACAAATAGCAGAGGGAGTGACACGCTTTATTTATAGCCATTATAATTTAACCATTTATATGTTGATAAGAATTATTCTTTCTCCATTGCCTCTTTGTAACTGATCGGGCCTTTTGAGATCTCGGCCGTTTATACGTTTTATCTCGGTTGCTCTTCTAAGTGCCTGATGATGTAGAGAGACTATAGAGACAAGCGTACGGAACACAATTACTTTAAGGGACAAAGCAAAGCAATAAAATACTCAGAGATAATTTCTCTAAGTATTATTATGCTACAATAAATTTTTGATTCCTATGTCTTTAACACGACTGTCTCGCTAAATGTAAGAGTTTATCGTACTCTACCTCTATGTTTACGGAAACTCACCAGGAAGCATTCTCTTCTCTCGGCCATGTTGACCAAACATAAGCGAGCACCTCAAAGAAAAAGAAAAAAAAAAAAACAACGCGACGAGAGGGATATCCACCAACAGACCAAATTTCATATAGAGCGTAAAGAAGTAATCAAAATAACTTACTGATGGCTACTTTCTTTTCCACGTTTTTGATTAACTCTTTGCGTTTACCTCGTGAATAAAAACAATGCACAAAAAAGTATGAGGACATAAATGATAACCAACGGAACACAATTACTTGAAAAAAGAAACTGAGATCTCTCTCTTCCATTCAAATATGCGAATTTAACTGTGTGTACAGATCTTTAGAACAGTAAATCATCCCACTAGGGTTCTAAAGCAAAAGAGAGGCACACACCTTCTTTCGGTTTCACGGACCAACTCTCATATTTACATATGAATCCGAATAAATGGTACACTAGTATGCCCTGAATCTTCAACGCACCGAGTTAAGAATCAGAGAGATAAAAAAAAAAACAGTCTTTTGAGTAAAGAGGAAAATACCAAATTCAGCTAGTGGACTTCCCTATGCTCAAATATATTATTTGAAATCTTCTCCTCCAAATGATGACAGTGTCTCTCAGCTAGCGCTTTGGAGGAAATGTCGGCATGAAATCCTGTGACTTTGGGAGAGGTACTTCATGGAACCAACCATGGTTGAGAGCTTCTTCCACTGTTAGACGTTTCTCAGGGTCCAAAGTTAGTAAACCATTCAGCAAATCAAATCCACGTTCCGAAAGAATTTGACCACCTACAAATGATATAGCTGGAAACTTCTTACGCAACAAATTGTACCTGAACAAGATAAAAAAGATCAACAACATTAACATTAACAGCCAACGATAGTAAAGCAAGAAACGACATCATAAGCACAGAAAAGAGGTACTCACGGTTGTGTGGGAAACTTGGCTTTGGCATTGGGCAACGATGAGAATCCAGGCCAGATTGCCTCGCTTGGCGTTCCAAGAACCGCAAAGATCTACAAAAATACAAGCGAATAATTACAAAAGGATTAGGTACTTGATCACAGTATAAACAAAGATAAAGAAACTTAAGAAAAACAAAATTACCTTCTGAAGTTGGTCAAGTTCACTCTTGCCCGGGAACAAAGGCTTTTGAGACAACAGTTCCGCCATAATGCAGCCGATTGACCACATATCAACTGCTGTAGAGTACTCTTTTGCTCCTAAAAGAAGTTCAGGTGGCCTGTACCACTGAGTAACAACCATCTGGGTGTAAGGCTTGATAGGGCTCCCATATTGGCGCGCCATCCCAAAATCACATATCTTTAACTCCCCAGTGTTATTCATTAGGAGATTAGATGGCTTCAGATCCCTGTGGATAATCCAATTCGTGTGAAGGTATTTCACACCCTCCAATAGCTGCATCATCAAGCACTTGACCTCGCTGGTGCTAAAAGGTTGCTTCTTTCTATCCATTAAGCCCTTCAAGTCGTGTTCTAAATGTTCCATGACCATATAAACATCACTATCGGTTTTCCCTCCAACCACAACCTCCTTCACGTTCACTATCGAAGGGTGATTGCATGACAAAAGAATGTTAATTTCCCTCAAAGATGTTAAAGGGAATCCGTACTCTTCTTCGTACTTATCTTCCTTCATCTTGATCTTTTTAAGTGCCACAATCTCCTTTGTTATCTCATCCCTTGCTTTATAAACAATTCCGTAAGTTCCCTCGTTTATCTTGTTTAGCTTCTGAAAGTTATTCACAGACCTGCTCCCTAGCAGCATGTTCATCCCTCCCTGAGCTGAAGAAGCTGGTTCTTCATTTTCTAACTCATCATGATCAGAACTACAATACTCACGATCAGAAAATTCATCAGCACTGAGCTTCTCTGAGCTGTGATGTCCGCTGCCAGATCCAGATGAGTTGCACTGCTGTTGATCAGTCACCACTAACTCCCCACACTCCGGAGTCAAACTGCTCCTGTTCCATCTGCTAGTCCTGGGAACATTATCAGCAAGAGATATTAACTCCTCCTTGGGGGAAGCTAAAACCGTAGTACCCCATCTAGATGTATTAACAGGTGGTGTCTGCATCACCTGTTCTTCCTCCAACTGACCCTCCTCCAAATCATCAACAGGATGTTTCCCAGAGAGCCGAGCTTCTAAAGGCTGCACTGGCGTCAGATGACCTGGTTCTGGTGACATCACAACACTGACCTGATCCTTTGAAGAAGCCTTCCTGGTAACACTTAAATCAACATTCTGATTGGGTACCTCATTTGTAGTCGGAATAGTGAAAGGAGACTTGGTCTTCTCCCTAGACGGAGCTTTAGCCACTTTAGCTTCAACATCCCACACGATGGGGGAAAACTTCCTCCTTTTCTCAGGGGGTCTCTGAACCTCCTCTCTCTCTCGTACTTGTCCTTTCTCAGAAGCCAAACGTGGTCGGTGACGCTCGTCATCATTCCTCCTGAGACCTTGGTCGTTGGGTCGTTTGATTTGACGTCTCTCGCCATCTCTACCACTCTGTCGTAAATATACATCACGAGTACCATTCCTGTAAAAGTCGTAGTCTTTTTTGGCTGCAACAGAACTTCTGGAGACGTCAACTCCCCCTGCCGCCATCGTATTCTTCTCAATGAGAAATTGATCGAAAGAGAATTAAGAAAAACACCAACCCTAGAAACAACCCCAATTAACGAAACCCTAGGGAAAATCCTAGAGAATCAAATCACGATAAGCAGATTCGATAAATTGTTCAATTATTTTTCAGCAATCGAACCAAAAAGACGATCGATAAACCAATTACGAAAAACACTCGACGAAATCAAAATCAGAATCAGGGAAAAAAAAAGAAGACCGATGAGAAAAAAGAAACCCTAAACACTCAATTTCCAGGAACGCGATAAGTTTTCCCCTTCCTCTCTTCCGATTCACACAAATACCGGAAGGTCTTACCGGACGGCGAATTAAGAAACCGGAAGACGGGATGGTGGAGATCGATATCTGAGCCGATGCGATTGCGAGATCTCGCCAAGCTTTCTCTCGGATACACAGAAGACGCGTTTTCTTCCAATGGTCTTGCGCCTATTTACTTTACCTTTTATTTATCAATAAGGTCGGCTGCTCCAATAATTTCCTTTTCTATAATAATATATCGTTATACGGTGTTTGCGGGTGTACGCTGAGCTATAATTTAGGACCGTTAGATTTAATCAAGTCCACGACGGTGTAGAGCCGTTTGATTTTATGTAAGGTAGTTTTTTTTCCGGCATGTAGACCAAAGAAAATTTATTTAACATTTGAGGACAAAGGGACATCACGTGACGTCCAAAACTTATAAGAGATTCACATTTGAATCCTGGAACGATTTTGAGAGAAATTTGATGTGTTGGTCTTATTAATGTCTCTTTTATACATCAACTTATCAACAAGAACGTGAGGAATAGAATCAGCTCCATTTGGAACACGGGATACACCACACACGACGAGAGAACCTTATAGTTTTCCACTCGACCACCGTGAAGAGCTCGAATAAATTATTTCAATCCTTGTTATTGTAACTCTCTAATCTTTTTCTACTCTTCAAAGCTTAGATGCATTGCCATCTACAGCGAGTTTAGTAAGCTCCCGACGCAGAATCTTCCCAGCAGGATTTTTTGGGATCGCGTTTATGAAAGCAACTCGTCTTACCTTTTTATACGGAGCAACCTACACAAACAAATGTACTATACATAAGCAAAATCCAAACATATCAAATCTTATAAACCCAAACCAACTCTTCTGTCTCTTTCCTAAGATTCTAACAAGAACACGACTTCGGAAATAATGGTTGCGAGCATTACTTGTTTAGCTACGAAATCAATGACCTGCGCCTCATTGAGATTGCTTCCAGGCTTCCTCACTATGAAAGCCATTGGTATCTCTCCTGCATCCTCGTCCGGAAACCTTGAATCGATGATCCATATCGGTATCAGAAAAACAAAAAATTTCAAAAGTTACAAAATTTGAGTACAGAGATTCTCTTTATACTCACGGAACAACAGCAGCATCAACCACGTCTGGATTAGACTGAAGAATCTGCTCCAACTCTACCGGTGGAACCTATTACGATGCTTATCGATTAATATAAAGGACTCCAAAAGACAAGATCTTCTTCTTCTTCTTCTTGAATTTTTTTTCATTTAGTGTCTATATAATTTTACCTGATAGGCCTTGTATTTGATCAGTTCCTTTAGCCGATCAACAATGTATAGAAACCCCTCGGAATCAATGTAACAGAGATCACCGGTCTTTAACCACCCTTCTTCTTGATCTAATGTCTCAGAAGTCGCTTTCTCGTTCTCCACATAACCTGTGCTCTCATCAATCACAAACGTATAACCAATCAATACACAAGCTCAGAACAGAAAGAGTGAAACGCTCAAGCATTGCAATACCTTTCATGATGACTGGTCCACGGAGCCAGAGCTCACCGTTCTTTCCCGGTGGCAAGGCTTCTCCGGTGGATGGATCAACGATCTTGGCTTCTATATTCTCAGAGATACGACCAACTGACCCGTATCTCACCGTCTCTTCCGGTCCAAACGTGGACGAGACTGGTCCGGAGCTCTCTGTCAAGCCATAACCCTGTGAAACCATCACAAAAAAGTCATATCTGAATTTAAGAAATTAGATTCCAAAGAATCATGAAATTGGGTGCAGTCCAAGATTATTCTATATATTAGTTTTTTTACACCACCTGAATAATCTCCACGTCTGGGAATTTCTGCTTGAACCTCTCGGCTACGTCTTTCCCGAGCGGAGCGCCGCCGCATCCAAGGGAACGCAAGGACCGGAGATCGTACTTGTACGTTAGCTCCGATTTAAACAACGTCACAATCAACGGCGGAGATACAGGCATACCAGTGACCTTGTATTTCTCCACCGCCTTAAGCATCGCTCCGAGCTCGAATCTCTCTAGAAGCACCAGTTTCTCTCCGAGCGAGATGGCTCGGATCATCATCCCGAAACCAAACACGTGGAAGAGCGGTAGCGAGAAGAGCCCAACGCGGTCGTAATCAACCGGATCTTCGAGTGAGCGTTTGTGAGACTAGTCGTTTTCTCTTTTTAGTTGATTTCTTTAAGTTTTGCTATTAGGTCATTTTAATTCTCGTATTTTCCCGTTAAGATTAGGGTCCGATTGGTTGACCCGAACCTGAATCGGCTTGACCGATGAAGAATCCGACCGAGTTAACCAGGAGAGAAACTCAGGCGAGTCCATCAGAACGATTCCGAGAGGGAAAGAAGAGGAACGAAACTTGTGAACCGTCTGCGACGTCGCGAACGCAATGACTGGTTTGCTGACTTCAACCTGATGACTCACCTCCGAATCAGATCCGATTGGGTTAGCCGGTGAAACCACAGCGCCAATCGACATTAAAGCCAGGTAAAGCACCGGTACGTCCAACGAAGCTGGGGAGAGGATAAAAGCGACATTTGTGGACGAAAGAGAAGGGAATCGCTCCCGAAGAGACACGGCAAGGGAACGAACCTTAAGAAGAAGCTCTCCATAAGTGAGGCTATCTCCAGAGCTTGCCTTGACAAGGTAAGTAATGGCTTTAATGTCTTTTCCGGCGGTGGCGGGTGGCGAGGACTTGCGGAGGAGAGAAAGCACGAATTCGGTGGTGGATAGAGGTTGATCGATAGGAGGTAGAGACAAAGAGGGACGAAGGCTGTGATAGATTCCTGTCCGTCGATCAAAGCCGGAACTCGGGTCAATCGCACGGCTGTCATTGTTTTTCGTCTGCATTCTCGACGGCGGTTAAAGATATCTTTTTCGTTGGCGGAGGAGCGATATTTCAATTATAAGCAATTCAGTATGAATGATGAACAGCCAATCAATTTTTTATTTTTTATTTTTTCTAGAAGAAACACAAAATAAATAAATAAACTATAAACCCGGTCAAAAAATCTGTACGCCACGAAACTAGTTAGGACGTGTCTCACTACAATTTGTTAGTAGTTACACTTACACATGAACAATATTATTTTCTAATCTCACTTATTACAAAATGTAATGATTAACGAACGTAATACTGAACGACGATCAAAACTAATCCTGTACATTTTACAGGAGAGATATATGTACACGTGTCTAATAACGATTGGATACAGCTGGACAGGCGTTGCCTTCACGAGCAAGGGATCTGAGCTAGAAGAAGAACCCTTCAGACCTGAATATTGTCTCAAGCATTGCCCTGAGGAGCAAGGAACCTGCGCTAGAAGAAACCTACAGACCTGTGTTTCCCATGACGGCACATACACTCCGGGACGGGATAAGCGACCACGTCACGATCTCTCCGCCCTCTCCGTGACTCAGGATGGCCTTGAGACTTACGGTGAAGCTTTCGAGTTACAGAACTGAGCTCAGATTCCGAAACCGAAGAATTCTCCATCAGAGGTAGCATCGCTCTCTTATTAGGCATTATAAACTTCCTGTGTCCTACATAAGCTCTGTTCCCCTGGGAGAAAAAGTTATTAAAGAGTTAAAAAAACAGATCCATCAATGATATTAGTTTTCAAAAGAGAATATAATAATAATGTGTTTTTTTACACCTGCATAGCTTTGGCCATGTTTCCGCCATGGGAAGGAAGGAAAACATCGCTGCTAAGTGAAACAATGTAGTCAAGAGCTGCCAAAGCCGAAGATCTATTGGTGAAAGGCAAGAGCTCGCCTTTATGAGCTAATGTCTCCTTTGTCACCAAATTAGGAAACTTTTTAACGAGTGGCTCTATCGCTCGCGAGCCACCAAATGGCTCACCTCCTGCGATATATATCGATGCATTGTTTGGTGCTCCCAAGGCCTTCAACAACCTTGAAAATCCAAAAAGACTCAAGCTTTAGGTTACCATCGAACAATTCAAACGGTCAAATCCAGTTTCTCATGCCTACTTCTCCTCTTTTTAAATTACCTTGCAATCTCGTATGCATTGAGAGGACAAAACCCAGCAAGCCTACGCTCTGTATAGGTCATGTTCAGTCTACCAGTGAGGTATCGAGGCTGAGCCATTCGAGTTTCTGCTATGATCCGATCGAATTCTGAGCCTAATCCAGTGAGACAACCGGTTCTTACCCAGACATCTTTCTCTAGCCTTAAATGGAGAGCTATATACGGACCTTCGATCCACATTCTCCTCGCGAGTCTGTTCCCGAGATTCTCAATCGGTGCTGCGAATCTCAGTGCATGGAAAGCAACCTATGTGAACCAACAAATTAAAACCAACAATATCTCACAGGATTTTTCAATTAGTAACCCAACAGATTATAAAGAAAAGGGTGTGTTTGGAAACTGTACCTTGCATCGGAGTTTCTGCAGATCCGGAGGGAGATTCTTGGCTAGTCTTGAGTCTAATCCTTTCAACACCAAAAGCCCTTCCTCATCCAACTGCATTTAGTAAACATTCAAAATCAAGAAACAGAGAAAGAATAAACTATCAAAACCAGCCAAACAGCAGAGAGAAAATTTTACCTGTTTGAAGAATTTTGCACGGATCCAAACCGGTGAAACGTCCCACGGAATCTGATTCTCAATCGTCTGTCTAGACATAAGATGCGTCGACGGTAGAGAAGAAACGATACGCACATCGGATCTCAGCGTTTCCTTGAAATGCTCTACATCGAAAATGTCTGAGAACTCACTGAAAACGTAAAGAAGAAAGAAAGAGATTTCCAGTCTTGGATCAGTGATTCGAATCAAAAACCCATAAGAGATTTGATAACAAAAAAAAAAAGTTTTCTTTGTTTGTACCTTTCGTCTCCCCAGACTCGATTCACCTGCAAAACGGGAACAACAAGAGCAGCTTCGAGAATCATAGCGATTACGACGGCATCAACGATTTGATTCCGTTGTTGATTAAGTCCTCCAGAGACAACGACGACGAGGAATCGTTTCTTCTCCTTAGAAATTCTTGCCGATTTCTTCCTGTAATCCAAACTAAAATCCAAACAAGGCGTGTATCCTTCACCGTTGGGCTGTTTCCAAAACTCCCTCTCCTCCTCCGTCATATTCCCTGAATGTCCTCCTCTCGCCGGTAACGGATACAATGTGGAAGCGCCGGAGACGGCGAGGGAAGTTACGAGATGACGAGGGTCGTCGGAGATGAAGAAATTGAGAGAGGAAGATGGAGAAATCGTGGAGACGCAAGTGGACCCATGGTCTAAGGACGATGTGAGAAACGAAATTCCCGAGAAAACGAGAGAAAGTGAGATGAGGAGAAGGAAAATTTGCGGAGGCAAGCATCGAGTTTGGTGATGGTGGTTTAGAAATCGAGGACTGGATTTCTTCGGGGGAGAGAAGAAGAGCAGAGAGAAATGGAAGAAAGGAGATGGCGGATGCGACGTGAAGAAAGGATTCCTGATAGTTCTCATCGATTTCGCCATTGAAGCTCTTTCGAAGGAGAAGAAACTTTCTAGCTAAGAAGGTTTTAGTTTTCTGAGCAGAGAGAGAGAGAAGGAGAGTGGTTGATTCAGTTACAGCAGAGCCTTTTGATTCTTGTTTTCCCGGGAAACTGAACAATCGAGAAATTCCAAATCGACCTCTATATTTATTAATTTGTTATGAGTGAGGCCTCAATAAAGTTTGATTATCAATTTACCCCTGAAATTTGTTTGTACTCTAATTTCGAATGGACTTCAAATACCGAAAACGGTAATTATAGTATTCGATCGGTTCTCGTTTCGGTTAGTACTCGACCGGTCCGGTATGTTTATTAGCTCAATATCATATTCCGAGTTGACGATTCGATCATAAATTACTTGTTTAAGAGAAAGAGGAATGTAAAAAGAGACTGCGAATATGCAGCAAAACACTCCTGCGCTAGACAGGAGACAACAGAGAATATTCAGGATCGTTTCGATCCAAAGTATAAAAATTATTCTCCAGATTTTTTTTAAAAACTAGTCAAAAAGGCAAGCGCCGCCAAGACTAAAAAAAAGGGGGGTAATTCCGCAGATCAGTGATATATAGATTTGTCTCTCTTGTAGGAAGCAAAAGAATGGATTCTAACCAGAGGAGATGATCTCTTGATCATGAGGACAATGCTTTTTTAACCTCTGATGTAACTTCTTGAGGAGGCTTCTCGGCATGGATGTTTGTAAGAACAGCCTTTTTCGCATAGTAATCGATCACCTGTGGAGAAGGGGAGAACATGAACATCAAGGTGCTCGCAAGGAGTCATGGAGAATGAATTTCGATACGAATCACATGAAATAGGAATCAATACCGGTTCAGTTTGGCTGTGGAAAGCTGCAAGCCTCGACCTTAGAACTTCTGCATTATCATCTTTGCGTTGGATCAGAGGCTCTCCAGTAATCTGGAAAAGAACCAGTTGTTTAACAGATGTTTGGGGAGGGAATGCCAATAAACAGACGAAAAGTTTCAAGATTTATTGGGAGTCTTACATCATCAACTCCAGGGGTTTTGGGAGGAGCGAATTTTGTGTGGTAGCTCCTGCCACTCGACGGGTGGATCCATCTCCCGGTTATTCTTTCCTCCAAGATTGAGTCATCGATAGCAAAGTTGAGAACTTTGTTGATTTCTGTTCCCCGCTTCTTAAGCATCTCGTCTAGCTGCAAACAAAAACACAATCCGCCAATAAAACAACCAAAAGAGCAAAAGGGGAGAGACAGAAGAAACAGTGATTGAGCAGCACCTTCTCTGCCTGAGTAACAGTCCTGGGAAACCCATCAAGGATAAACCCTTTCTGACATTTCGGCTTGTTCATGGCTTCATCAATTATACCAACAACCAGATCATCAGAGACAAGCTCTCCCTGTAAAAACAATCACAAAAAAAATAAGAAAAAACAACGATCTAATCAACAAAAAGCAATGAGGAAACAAACATCTCTGTCAAAGAAGAAAAAAAGAGAGCTGACCTTGTCCATAGCTTCTTTGGCCTTGACACCAAGAGGGGTTTTAGCAGAAACAGCAGCTCTTAACATGTCTCCAGTGGATAAGTGACACAAGCAATACTCATCCTTCACTACTGGGGACTGTGTACCTTTCCCTGACCCAGGAGGTCCTGCAATTCATCATAAGTCAGAAAACAAAGCATTCTCTCAGCATTCCATCCAAGAAATCACACAGGCGCCATAAGCTGAATCTTGATTACCCACGGAAAGTGACAGCTTATTCAATTTTTCAAAACACAACAAGAGAGCCTTAATAAAATTTCACCATTAAAATTCCAAGTATCTTTTGCAATGGTCTTAAACTCGCGTACCAGACCCAAACAACGAAATTTTAGATCCACAAAGTCTCAGCTCGAAAAGACCAAACAGAACCTTATTATGTCATAATTCCAATAACAAGTAACCTGACTCGGGTTCAAGCTCACTGCTATCATCTTTCAGATCTAAAATTACACTCCCAAAAAGTTTTAAAATTTTACCATAAACAGGATAATTCTCCACTGAAAAACAATCACATACAAAGAAAATACTGGATCCAACGACATTACAACGAAACGCGAGCAATTTAGACGTCGCTGCCAAGTTTTTTTTTTTTTAGAGGGACCGATTGATGACATACCTATGAAGATGAGGCGTTTGTCGGGCTTTTCTGCACATTTAAAGCGTCGTAGAAGCTCGGTCATGAGATCACCAGTATGAATATCTTCCAAATTCGCCATAGCCGATCTAGTTTCGCTTCTGCTTAGCTTAAAGTCTTCGTTTTTCTCGAAAGGGTTTTTGCAATCACACAAGTCAAAGGGATATAACAGTAACCGGGGCCGGGTTTCGCTAACTCGGGTCTCTTATTTTGGGTCGGAGCTCCTGATCTCGTGGATGATTCAGTATAGTGTGACTAACTGACTATAATAATCACATTAATTAAATGACATTATTGGTTACTCACTGAATACTTTGAACGAAAATAACGAAAAATGCTCTTTAAACTAATTGACTCTGTTAAAATTATGAACGAAGTATTTTGTTTAGGCTTTGAAGTTTTGGATTTAATTGTTAAAATCTAGAGTTAGTTCTAAGGGTTTAGGATTCTTTTAGACTGTTTTTTTTGTTAATTTATAAAAAAAACCTAAAATATTCATTGCTTTTGATATAAATTTACACTATTTTCATAAATCTCAATTTTTTATTTTTGGTTAATTAAAGAGATCTAGAAAAAAAAAAGATGGCTTCTGCTTCTAGTGTATTTTCTTTTCAGACGAATAAATGTTATTTATTTTCCCTTTTCAGATCATTTCATAAATAATAGGGGATTTTCATACACAACACCCAAATCTATAGAGCATGTAACAGCCTTTTTTCTTTTTTTCTTTTTTTTTTTTTGTTAAGCGAAGAAAGAGAAGAAGCTATGTACATTATTAATATTGGTCACCATCTTCAGCCTGCAACTGAGAAGCATACTGTAAATTCCACAAAATATCTTCAAAAGATGGTCGACTTAACGATTCCGGCGAAACACATTTGTTCATCAGAGTTATCACTCTTAGCAAAGATCCGTTCCGACAAGTAGCTTGTACTGTCGGATTCACCATTCTCCTCCTTCCTTCCTCGCTCTCCAACGATGCCTGCAAAAGAAAAAGATCACCAACTTTTTTTAGCAAGTACCAAGGATCAGTTCTGGTTTGTGACTCTGATCTTGCGAAAACCGTACCACTTCGTCCCGGAGAAACGCTTCTTCTCTTGCGGAAACAGATGGTCCAACGATCGACTGTAGAAGAATTAATCCGAAACTGTAAACATCGTCTTCTAGTCTTGACATTTGCCATGATTTTGCGATTTCCTGATTAAAAAACTCCCATGTTAGTCAATGTTTAAGATCAGAATCACTGAGCTCAGACCGTGCATTAGTCTTGGTTTCAGTTTAGAAAACCGGTTAACAAAGAAGATCAAAACAAAAAGAGAAACGTAACCGGATAAAACCGGTTCAGAACTGAATTTATTCAAGATATGGTTTTAACGAAATCATTAGGCTAAAAATTAATTCAACAAGGCTTACTGTGTTATGTCTGGTTGCTTCAGAGACAATGGACAAACCATAATCACTCAGCTTCGCAAACCGGTGTTGGTTAAGCAAGACATTGTTAGTCTTGAGTCTATTGCTGAAGAATCCAGGAATAACTCCAGTGTGAAGATAATGAACAGCCTTTGCAACACCTGTAAGAACATTCAGTCTCTCTGACCAATTCATAGCCTTCCCCGAACTATCATCTGCGCAAAACCGAAAACCCGCAAATAAGTTTATTTTTTAATCAAAAAAACGAAAAAGATAAGAAAAGGTTTGAGCTTTTTTAGGAGACTAAACCTGAGATACAAGATTGGAAGTTTCCATTTGGAATGAATTCATAAATCAAAAAGACTTTTTCGACGCTGTAATCATCTTTTCCTCCACAATCTATGCAATGACCCAACAAGCAAACGAGATTCGGGTGTCTAAGCTTCGCGAGCAAATCAAGCCGCAGTTTTAGATTCCTTATAGAGTATTTCTTCGATGAAGGCAAACATCTTATAGCCACTTTTGTTCCATTCTCAAGATTCCCTTTGTAAAGCTGAAAGTATATAAGCAAGTCTCAGAATCTATAGCTAAAGAAGATTAATGATCCTGAAAACACATATTGATTTCATAGAACTTTATTACCGTGCCATATAATGAGCTTTCACCGAGAATCGCAGTTTTGTCGAAGTTCTTTGTAGCTTTAACTATCTCTTCTAAGGTAAACTGTCTACATACCGGTAAATCCTCTGAACCAAACTTGGATGTTTCAGAAATGTACCCTAGTTCACAATCAGAAACAAGAAGAATTGTAAGTCAAGTCTTTTTTTTTTTCACAATATTTGAGAATATTACGGGTTTTTGGGGAAAGCCTTACTTGCATTTGAGAGTATCTCAGAGGAAAATCCAATTGATGGATGGTTATCATGAACTGTTTTATGGCTCAAATGCTTCTTTGTTACTCCTTTTCTTCTAAGCAATATGAATACACCGCAGATCAGAACCAATATCGCCATTGATATACCAACGATCAAACCGACTAAAGCTCCTTTCTTCCCTTTTCTTTGTCCTGATCCATCTGCAGCCTCTGCTTCAGCCTCTGCTTCAGCAGTTTCCGCCGCGCGAACTTCTTTAACACAAGAAGATTCTGGATGCTGCTGTTTCTGGAGAGATAAACAGTTTCCATTGAATCTCACCGCCCAGACTTGCTTGCTGCTTAAGCAATGAGGAACTTTTCCGGTTAACTTGTTGTCGGAAATGTCGACAAACCAGAGTTTGCTTCCACATTTCAGATCATCCGGTAGTGAACCACTCAGAGAGTTTGAACTCAAATCGATATACTCGATTGTCGACACAGAGAGTAATGAAGAGTGTAGCTCTCCAAATAGCTTATTACTCTTAAAGCTAAGAACTTTGAGATTCGAGAACGAATCAAACCAGCTAGGTAATTTGCCATTGAAGAAGTTATGATCAAATCTGAAAGTCTCTAGCTTTACCATTGCAGACAACTTTGGGGGTACTGATCCAAACAGAAAGTTATTGCTCAAATCCAAGTACTCAAGTGAAGTTAACCGATGAAGTTTCTCAGGGAGATGTCCCCAAATCCCTAGAGAAGCCAAAGTAAGAACCCTAAGGGATTTTAGCCTTGACAGTGTAGTGACAAATGAGTCAATTGAGAATCTATCAGATAGAGTAACGTTAGGGATGGCAAAACCCTCGAAGCTTTTGGCCTTTTCTGATGATTTATCGCCGAAGATGTTAAGCTCCGAGACCGAATTAGACAAACAAGTGATGTTCATCAACGGTGATGGTTGTAAATAGCAGAAGCTGGTCTTGTGATCGTACCAAGATTCGAGCTGTTTTGGGTATTCTAAGTGTTTTTTCAGCTGGAGAAGGACTTGTGCTTGTGAAGCTTGTAGCTGAGATGAGCCTAAACTGTAGAAACTCCATAGAATAGATAACAAGAAGATGAATTTAAACACACCCATTTGTCAGTTCTCAGAGATATAGGTTTCAGACAAGATCTGTGTATTTGATGAACCTGCGATAAAATAGAAACACAAGACAAGAGGCTTCAGAGATTAAAAATTTTGTGAGTTTAATCAAAACCCAATAGTACCAAAAAAAAAAAAAAAAAAAGAACAGAGTAATCTTGAGAACTGAACTTATCAAATATGTAGAATAAGAGCAGAGTAGTACCTTAAATTTCAGAAGTTTGAAAGACTTCTATTTTTTTCCTCAAAAGGATTAAAGACTGGAACTTATTGATAAATCAGAGGAATAGAGAGCAGGTTCTTTCAGTCACCGACACATATCAGTGATCATGTAAGGAGAGGAAGAAAAGCAAGATTCTTGAACGCGTGAAAGTGAGATTTTTTTTTCTTTTTGTTCAGGCTTTGTGAGTGAGAGAATATGGAAGTGAGAGGTAGCAGTAATTATATTATATACAAGAATCTTTCCTTTCAATATGCATGAGTTAAATTTGGTGGGGTTTCTGATCACTCATACCTAAAGAAAGAGACTTGTATTTAATATATTATTGTTTTATTAGTGTAAAATAAGAATAAAAGACAAAAGTTTCTGCATAATGTATACAATTATCAAACTAGTACTTACAATAATGTGTGTTTTTAGTTCACATATTAAATACTGTTGTCTGGACTGGAGGACATGTAGTACATAAGCTTTTGTATTTGTAGTTATGTAATTGGGACCAAGCGATTCCGGAAGAAACCAAGGGGGAAGATGTTAAATGCGGCGTCATGATAATAATAGTCATATGTAGTTCATTAACAATGACACATATCACTACTTTCGTCAAAAAAAAAAAAAAACAATGACACATATCAATGTGATTTATCAATTTCTCTTTTTAAACGATAAAAGCAATTCAAACAATAAATTTAACTGATATGTCGAAATAAATTATAAAAAAAAAACAGTCGAATGCGTAGAAATATTTATCCTGAATAATCACAAAACTTCAACAAAAAAATGGTTTTAAGTCAATTAATGACATTTGAGTTTTTTTCTTAGATTAAGAAGTGGTGGGTGGAGTTTATAAATGCAAATGGTTGAGGAGGCCTCGGGAATTGAGTTCGTTTGTTTGTTTGTTTGCTACACAATGCTCCCACCCATCAAGTCACAGCCTGTCCTTCTAATTCGAGCGTTTAAAAGTCAAAGTTGTGTACCTTTGTTGACTCTTCTATTCCCACTTTACAGTTTACTTACACTGTGTAAATTACACACATTATAAACCGTAGCAAAATGATTGTGGTGTGTGAATTGTGACGAGTCCTTGATTTATAAATAAATAGTATTAGCGATTACATCAATGTATAGATGTAGTTTGATATGATTGATGTGCTATTATTGTAATATTTAATCAAATAATGAGTTATTCATTTGGATAGAACAACTTTATGTACATTTATTTATTTTTATATCATAGTATATTGTGGGGATAAAATAAAGAATAAATATATGATCAACGTTATTTTCATTATTTAATCAAATCCGTATATAAATGTCGAAAATGACGGTATTGGTTTGCGTATGAATGAGGTATGTGTATTGACATATTATGATAGCTTGCTCTTTCAATGATTTTTCATAGTGAGCCTATCTTCATTTATGTGTTAATAGTTTCAACTTTGATGTATATTATTATTGGTGTCATATGATTTCGTTTAATAAAGCAAAACTTATGTTGACTTGGTCAAGTGGTCCAGTCTTCATCTCTCGACCCGTGTGTAGTAAGAAGTATCATACTAAAAAGAAATTTGTAAATTAGATTAAAGTCGATGAAAGAATTAATTATGCATGTAGCGTGATTTATCTTTTTGTACAAATTATATTGGAATAAATTTGCAGTAGTCTGCAAAGAATGTGAAGATTGACTTCACTTTTAATATAATAATAAGATAATAATTAATCTTTGACAATCTTCGTCAAACATGTTTTGACTTTGACCACTTGTGAGTCACTTAGATAATTGGACATTTTCTAATTCTCTACAGACACTACAAAGAATCAAACAATCGGGCTCCAGATTTTATTGCTACTGTACTATCTTTTTGGAAGAAAAAAAACTGACTTTGAAATATATCTGAAATGTTGTATTTATGAATGAAATATTTATGTTAAGGTCCTCATCGATGGCTTTTTACCTTTTACATTAGATTTTCATAGTGTCTTTCAAATAGGGAAATATGACATATTGCAATGTGACTTTTTTTCCTCAATCTCTCCACTCATAGACTTTTTGGCCTAGCACTCGACTAACCACCCATTGGACCAACATAACATAACAGAGCAGTACACTTCCCTAAATCACATTTAATTTTTTTAGCAACCATAATTGGCATTGCATATTGCTATATCAAGAGTGCAAGAGAAGGGTACAAGAGAAGCCCAAAGTACCATCCCTGATCCATTGAACAAGCAAAACACTGAAACAACTAACTTTCCAAACAAAAATTCATCTTCCAAATATCGAGCCTCTTCTTTGATGGAAGATTATAGTAAAACATGGAAGAATGTGCAATTACTTCAACAACAAACAGATACAGATGGAAGTTCGAATCCTATTATATAAAAACATCTAACAAATTACAACACTTAATCAAAAAAGAGTCGGCATGTCGTTGAGGCTCGTGAACAAACAGACAACTCCTTGAGCATTTCAAATTTTGGAATAAATTTTTCATCAGACGAGATTCTTGCAGTATATAGGCGATGAGCGTTTTCCAAGACGTAAACCGCAACATCTTTCTCTTGTGGTCTTCCCATGTATCCTGACCAGATGAAAGTTTGTATAGTCGACCAAAAACATGCAGGAACAGTACTCGGTCGATTCCAGCTAACCATTTTACTAGCACGACCCTGAGTTCGAGCAGAATAATTGGATTAAAAACCACTATCTGTGCATTAGACCAAATTCAATCGTTTTATCAAAGAAACTTACTAATATTTGAAAGATGTTAAGAACTCGCAAGTTAGGAGAATCTTTGAGCAACCGAGCAAGCAGATTAGACGAACACCTTGTGCAAACACAGAGCTTCAAATACTCAAGCTGGTTGAAGACAAAACCGTTACCATACAGAACCTGCACACGATGGAAAAAAGGAGGACTCTATAAACGAGACCGGAGAGTTTGTAGTTGAAAAATGGAAAACAGAATTTACCTGTGAACATAAAGTAAGACGCTTGACAGATGTGATTGATCCGATGATACTCTTGATGTCAGGGAATCTAACATGTATATATGCTTCTTCCAGCTTAGGCATATCCTCAATCACACAAGATTCATTCTCATCATTCAGATCCTCAAGTTTCAAATACTTCAAAGAGGGAGTATCTATCTCTAACCCATCTAGATAACATTCACGAGGTATAGAGAGCGATAAACTCTGCAAAGACATGACAATGACAATGATCTTTCCCACATTGTCGTCACGATGACAAAAATCCACCGATAGATTCTCAAGAACAGGGCAAATAGATAGAAGCCGCTTAAGAGATTCTCCATCTAAGCCAGTCCCATTTCGAAGCTGCAAAGTTTTCAGAGAAGGAAGACAAACCCTACGAGGAACATCCAAGAGAATATCGCCTTCGAGTTTCAAGACCACAAGCGATTTGCAAGCATACAAACTACTCGGCAATATGCATTGCTTGTCCAAGTAAGAATCATAAACAATGTCAAGCTCGCGTAGGCAGCGAGAAACTGCAATTACAACCCACAGTTTGACATCTTCAGGTTTATACCGTGAGAAAGATAAATCGAGACGGAAGCTTTCCATGACCGAAGCTCTATACAATGGCAGACTTCTGTCAAGAAGACACCGTAAACTCTCGCACTCAGACCTTGTGCAATGGCTGCTAACGAAATCAAGTTTTGGCAACCACATCCAAAGACACTCCCATCGTTTCGACAAAATGCTAGTGGAGACTGCAACTTTTGTTGGAAGAAACGATAATATCCTAACCAGCAACTCATCTGATAACTCACTGATTCTGTCCATATCTCTACAAACCCAAAAGAACTAGAATTTATCTTCCTAAGAAGAAACAAGAAAACGCCGTACCAAACGAATTAGTAACAAGTGTAAGCACAAGCACACAAAGCGAACAGAGCAAAAACCTAAGTTAAGAAAAGCTAGATTGTTGGATGATGAATTTTTTTACCTGTGAAGACTTATCGGTGGCTCGAAGTCTGCTCCGGAACCAGAAATCAGAAGATGAACTGCGAAAGCATCGTCTCCATTGCTCCGGAACTAGAAATTAGAAGATGAACTGCGAAAGCTTCGTCTCCATCGGAGTTAATCGGAGTCGCCCCTTTCCTCCGTCGACACTCAAACACTTTGGGTTGGCGAGTGGTTTAATGCCCATAAACCATCTAAATCTAATTTGCTTATCCGGTTTAGAAATAACCGGGTAAGGAAAACCGGTTTCTAATCAATTGAGAAGGTCTGTGTATTCGTCTCCATCCGATAAGAAAGAAAGATAGTTTCCAGTCACAGAGAGATACTTCTTTTCTCATCTCTCTGTCTCTCTCCATTTCCCGCTTCCATCCTTAAACCCCTTCTCTCTTGGTCACAAAACTCCGTCTAGGGTTTTCTTTTGTTTTGTTTTACAGTGATGAAACCTGCTGCCTCATTGCGAGGTTTCTCTTATCCTTCTTCCTCGCATGCTTCCTCTATCTACTTCGATGTTCGCAGACCAGTTACTTCTACTTCTACACCCTCGAAAATGGCAGCTTTTAGTGCTCTATCGCTTTGTCCTTACCCTTTCACCTTCCGGAAAAGCTCTCGAGTCAGGTCTACCGTTTCGTGTTCCGTCACTTCTCCTCCTGCTTCTGGTGTGTTGTTTTTCCTCTCTTCTGTTCTTTTCTGGGTTCCTGAAAATCTTTGGAAAAATGAGCTATTGATAATGGGTTTGAAGTAATTTTGAATTGGTACAGAAATAAAAAATTGAAACTTTTTCGAGAAAGAAACTAGGCTGATAGTGGCCGAATTCGATTTCGATAAATTTATTCCTGTGATGCTATGACCTTCTCACTCAGGGTTTTATTGATAATTTGACTATAATGTTTTGAATTCTGATAGTAAGTGTCACTCTGTGTGATATAGTGACTCTATTTGTTGAATCTGGTGTTATGTTTGTTTAAGGTACATCTTCTTCCTCTAAGACACCTCGTCGAAGATCAGGTCGTCTAGAAGGAGCTGGAAAAAGCATGGAGGACTCTGTGAAACGTAAAATGGAACAGTTTTATGAAGGAACCGATGGGCCGCCTCTCCGTGTTCTACCCATAGGTGGCCTTGGTGAAATTGGAATGAACTGTATGCTTGTTGGAAACTATGATCGTTACATTTTAATCGACGCTGGTGTAATGTTCCCTGAGTAAGTCTGTTTATCTTGTTAAAAATTGGCGAGAAGTGATTTTATTTGTGTCTTAAATGATATCTTATTAAATTTCTATGGGAAAACTTGTTGTGCAACATTACAGTTTTGATGAGCCTGGGGTTCAGAAAATAATGCCAGACACAGGATTTATCAGACGATGGAAACACAAAATTGAAGCTGTTGTTATAACGCATGGTCATGAAGATCACATTGGTGCGTTGCCTTGGGTAAAGTCTTCTTCCACTCCTTGAAAAAGCCAAAGTCACCCATAGACCTTTTTGAGAATAATGCAGTTCTTGTCTTCTGACCATTGTTGGTTTCTCTCCTTTTTTAAACCAAATACTCTTTTACATGAGCAGGTTATCCCGGCATTGGACTCTAATACACCGATATTCGCATCATCTTTCACCATGGAGGTGATTTACATTACATCTTTATCCTTGCTATATCCTTTTCTGTCTCAATTAGTCTTATGTTTTTCAACAGCTACTAAGCTTAGACGTATAGTTTCGCTTTGAAATGTATGTAACACAGCTTGCGTTTTTATCCGTCAGAATTGTCATGTTCGGGCAGTTAGTTTCCTAGATCGCATCATGCCTCATCTTCTCTTTGCAGTTTTTCTCATGGATGTTTTTTTTCCTATGCAATAGCTTATAAAGAAGCGCTTGAAGGAGCACGGGATCTTCGTTCAGTCTAGACTTAAGACATTTAACACTCGAAGGAGATTTATGGCTGGACCATTTGAAATAGAGCCCATTACAGTTACCCATTCTATTCCTGATTGTAGTGGTTTAGTCCTCCGTTGCGCTGATGGTAATATTCTTCACACTGGAGATTGGAAGGTAGAGTAACCCCCTCATAAACTCTTGCATGCCTCTTTGTATCGTCCTCTTGCTGCATGTGATAATTTGAATAATAATAGATTGATGAAGCACCATTGGATGGAAAAGTCTTTGATCGTGAAGCTTTAGAGGAACTCTCAAAGGAAGGAGTGTGAAACCTTAAAAGCTTTGCAGAGTCATACTCGTGTTATATGCTGAACGCATATATAAGCTACGGTTGAAATCGCTATACGTAAAAAAAAAATTCTCCATCTAATATCACAGATGATGAGTGACTCAACAAATGTATTGTCACCGGGAAGGACAACTAGTGAAAAGGTGGTCGCAGATGCTCTGGTAAGGAATGTAATGGCGGCCAAGGGAAGAGTTATCACAACTCAGTTTGCCTCCAATATACACCGTTTGGGAAGTATTAAAGCTGCTGCTGATTTAACTGGTCGGAAGTTGGTATGTCTTTCCTCTCATGTTGTAGCTTTGATTATTGCCATATATTCCATCGTAATTCTGTATATTTTCAAACTTCTGCTAGTGATTCTAGCTTCCACCTCTCTATGTCATGTCGCCAATTTTTCCTCAAATTATGCAGCAACAAGTTTCATTTCGGAAGTTAAAAGTACACTTTTTTTTTTAGGTCTTTGTTGGCATGTCCTTGAGGACATATCTCGAGGCAGCTTGGAAAGATGGAAAAGCTCCAATTGACCCGTCAAGTCTGGTATATGCACTTTCTCTTATACTGTCTCTTGTATGATGAATTAAAGCCATTAATGATGCATAAAGTTTGTCTTTAAAGTCATAAAGTCATGTTTGAGTTTGATGATTATTACATTCTGTTTTTTGTTTCCAATTTATCTTTCATCCGTTCTAAAAAAACCCAATCTCAGGTGAAAGTCGAAGACATTGAAGCATATGCTCCTAAGGACTTGCTGATTGTCACGACTGGATCACAAGTAAGTTAATCTCTTAAAATTGGGGAGTGGTGCAATTTATTCGAGTTTCCTAGCTAATTTACCTATTTGACAATGACTCTGATCAGGCAGAACCACGTGCCGCCCTGAATCTTGCATCATATGGAAGTAGTCATGCGTTCAAACTTACCAAGGAAGACATAATTCTTTACTCAGCCAAGGTATTTGAGAGATGTTATATGAAAAGTATACATACATATGTTCAAGAGCATCTAATACGATGGAAGATGGGATCACTGATATTTATTCTCGTTCTAATGTGTTACTCAAGGTTATCCCTGGCAATGAATCACGAGTAATGAAAATGATGAATCGAATAGCAGATATCGGGCCAAATATTGTCATGGGCAAAAATGAAATGCTGCACACATCTGGTCATGCCTACCGTGGAGAATTGGTAAGTGGCTGCTTCTCTTAAGATTCTGTTGATACATTCAAGTTTTGTTGCCAGCTTTGCCTTACTTTTTCTTATCACTTCAATAATGTAAGGCTTTTAGCGCATATCTAAAAGAATAAAGTAGTTATTCCGTTTTGATTTTCTTTTGTAAATTGATGAATGACTTACGGAAGAAATTTGTTCCTAATGATGATTTTAAATTTTCTTTGTTTTGAAGGAAGAGGTTCTTAAAATAGTGAAACCGCAACATTTTCTACCCATACATGGAGAACTTTTGTTTCTGAAGGAGCATGAATTGCTCGGGAAGTCTACTGGGATTCGACACACTACTGTAAGTCTCTCGCCGAAGATTTATAAATCATGGTAGATAGATAGCATTCATTATCTCTGAAAAAAAAAAAAAAAACCAACCCTGGTCAGTCAGCTTTCACTGAATGTTTTCACTGTTATTTTTCTTCTACTTCAGGTTATAAAGAATGGAGAGATGCTTGGAGTTTCTCACTTGAGAAACAGAAGGGTTTTGTCCAATGGATTTAGCTCTCTTGGGAGGGAGAATTTACAGGTTGGTTCATTATTGCCGTTGTCTTTGAGTAAATGACTTGAGTAGATACTGAATAAAGCTAGCCTTGCTGCAGTTAATGTATAGTGATGGTGATAAAGCATTTGGCACATCAAGTGAACTCTGCATTGATGAGAGACTCAGAATTGCATCTGATGGCATTATAGTTCTGAGGTATGTCTGAATTATGACATCTTTGTTAAGAACATCTGTAGCCCTTTCTTTAATAATACTCTTTTCCTTGTATGATTTTCTATAACACAGCATGGAAATCATGCGCCCGGGCGACTCGGAAAACACTTTGAAAGGGAAAATAAGAATCACAACGCGCTGTATGTGGCTTGACAAAGGAAGACTTTTAGATGCACTTCACAAAGCAGCACATGCTGCTCTATCAAGTTGTCCTGTGAATTGCCCCTTGTCTCACATGGAAAGAACAGTCTCTGAAGTCCTGAGGAAGATTGTGAGGAAGTACAGTGGTAAAAGGCCTGAAGTCATTGCTATAGCCACTGAAAATCCCTTGGCAGTCCGAGCTGATGAGGTCAGCGCGAGGCTGTCCGGTGATCCAAACCTTGGCTCTGGAGTTGCAGCGTTAAGGAAAGTTGTTGAAGGCAATAACAAAAGAAATCGACCAAAGAAAGCACCTTCACAAGATGATTCCATAAAAGAAGTAGATCGCACTTTGAAAGGTCCTGTCTCTCACACACATATGTAGCTGTATACTCGGGATTTTCGATCTGTAATCTGACATGCTTCACTAATGCAGATGATCTTATTAATAGTGCAAGACTACTAGCTGAGGAAGAAACAACGGCTTCTTCATACACTGAAGATGCTGATGACGTGCCCGTTCGGAGTTCTTCAGAAGAATCAGATGACTTTTGGAAATCATTCATCGATCCGTCATCGCCACCTTCACCTGGTGAAACCGAAAACGTGAAGAAGGTAGCTGGTGCAGAGCCTAAAGCAGATGATAGCGAAAGCAGCAGAGACGAAGATGATCCATCTGATAACACAGATTCTCAAACCAAGTCGTCTGCAAAGCGTGTGAGGAGGAACAAATGGAAACCTGAGGAAGTAAAGAAGGTAATCAGAATGCGTGGAGAGTTGCACAGCAGATTTCAGGTGGTGAAAGGTAGAATGGCTTTGTGGGAAGAGATCTCTTCAAACCTATCGGCTGAAGGAATCAATCGAAGCCCGGGGCAATGCAAATCTCTATGGGCATCTCTTATTCAGAAATACGAGGTTCCTCTCTTAACTAAATACTCGAGAATCAGTAGCTCTTGATTTTGACGTTCGAGTTTATTAGATCAAAAGCTTTAAACTTAGCAACTAAGATAGTTAAAGGCACACTTTATATCTCTCTTTCTACTCGAAACCATTGATACAGTGGTCATAATCAGTTAATTTGTTATTGTCCAAACTTTAAAGCTTCCTCTATATATATATATATGTAGATGTGTGTGACAAATTGTTTGACGATAATTCTTTTGCAGGAGTGCAAGGCTGATGAAAGAAGCAAGACGAGTTGGTCACATTTTGAGGACATGAACAACATTTTGTCTGAGTTAGACACACCCGCACCTAAGTGATGTGATTACATTACATGACATCATCTGACGAAAAGAATCATCTACAAATTAGAAGATTGAACAGAGGCATTCATTATGTTATATATTTATATCATATATGTAACATGTAAGATGATTTTGTCTGTAGAAGCCATTAAAGCAGGATGAATGCCAACTGCCAAGGAAGAAGAAGAAAGCCTTGAGTCATTTTGGATCGCTTCTATTGCTTTGGTTTTAGATCGGTTTAGATTCGATTTGGTTCAAAACACATGAATAAACCGGATTTTTGTTTTTCTTCAATCCTCCATTTGGTTCAAAATACAATTTGGGTTTGGTTGGATTTTGTCTATGTATCCATCCATCGATAGTATGGTTTCCATACAAATCACTGATTGTTTTGTCTAAAACCGGTCCGATTGATCGCAAGTAAGATTGAGGTTTAGTCCTTGGGGCTCCGTGGCCAGCCGGATCCGTGCGCCACCGTGAATCGCCGGTCGCTGTGACCTGTGAGCTATCCGTTTGGGCGGTTTAGGTGATATAATACCCAGAAAATTACTTTTAAACCAAAAAAAAAAAAAGTGAAGGAGATTACAAAAGTGAGAGCTGAGCTCCGACAAATTTCTTGGATCGACGAATTCTGAAGAGAAGGAGAGAAGAGAGATGCCGAAGAGAACGACACACACGTATTCGAGCGAGGACGCGGCGCCGGAAGGGCCCGACTCTGATCTCTTCGTTTACTACTGCAAGCACTGTGGTTCTCATGTCCTTATCACTGGTTCGTTTCTCCGATTTTTTTTTTTTTTTTTTTTTTTTTGAATGAATGTTAAATTTTATTCAAACCAAACGTTTCTCCGATTTTACTCACTGAATAAAGGTTAAGTTGCCTGAAATTTGAGTGAAACACTACTTGCTCACTTTGAATTGGCGTTATTGTGGAAGAAATTGCTCTTTTTTGGGTTTCCAGATACATTGAGTGGGAATGAGGAGGATTGAAAGATTCAGTCTTTGGAACATTAGGCCATGGTAGTTTGCAGTTTTCAAGTGGTGGAAAACTTCTTGCTGTTGGGATGCTTGAGTTTAGGTTAACAACACAAAGTACTTTTAGGTCCAATCACAGATTTTGCATGACTTCGATTTAGATTAACAACATAGTACCTTGGTAATGTTCGTACTTGCTTATGATGTAAAACTTGGAATGCGTTAAGACTTGTAACACTCTCTGTGGCCTTCTTTTGGCAGCTCTTTGCACGCTTCATGTAATTCTGTAGAACTTCTTTATGTACTGATTATTTCTTATTGTTGTGGTTACTCCTTGAGAAAGTATTTTCAGTGAAAAAGCTGTAAGTGACGACACATGTTGTTAATCGGATTAAGAGTGTAACATGAAAACTTTTGCTGATTGTGAAATATATATATATGGTATCCTTTGATAATGGTCTGTATACTAAATTAGATTTGTTACAAGATACCCAGTTGCAGAAGATGCCAAAAAGGAAGACCGACAGATCGAATGTGCTCGACAAGAAGAAGCACCTTGCTAGGTTGAATGTCAGCGAGGGAGGAAAAGTTTTATTAAAACGGTAAGGTTTTGATATAGGGCTAATAAGCCAGTCTTGAGCACCATATTTGGGTTTAATATAATCGACATTTCTAAAAGTTTCTTTGTTTATGTTGATTTGTTGTTACCAGGGGAGAAGGGAAAATGGAGAGACAGTTTAGAATGAACTGTATCGGTTGTGAGCTTTTGGTTTGTTATCGCGCTGAAGAGAATCTGGAAACAGCGTCTTTTGTTTACATTGTTGATGGAGCACTTAGTGCTGTTGCTGCAGAGACTAACCCACAGGTACAATTTGGTTACTCATTTTCTTATAAGATTTTTTTTCAATTGGAAAAATCAGAAACTAGATAACAAATCTATTATGCGGCGTGCAGGATGCACCTGTACCTCCCTGCATTTCACAACTCGACGGTGGACTTGTTCAGGTTGCAATAGAAGTGGAAGACCGTGCACAACGTTCAGCAATCACAAGTAAAAACATAGTCACATGACCCGAAATTTATTTTTCTACTCTCTTCTTTAACATGTATTTGCCTATTCTCTCTGCAGGGGTAAACGCTGATGACGTTCGTGTGACTATTGCTGCACCAGCTGCTCGTGGGGAAGCTAACAACGAGCTTCTGGAATTCATGGGAAGGGTACCAACACAATCCTTTATTAGCCACTTCTAATGATTTGTTCTCTCTAATCACAGTCTCTTACTTCGTATGTTACTGAGGCTTTTTGTCTAACGCAACAAGACCTCTGTGTTATTACTCTTTTAGGTGCTTGGCTTAAGGTTGAGCCAGATGACTCTCCAAAGAGGTTGGAATAGCAAATCAAAACTACTCGTGGTACATTGATCCTGCCTTCAGTTCTCTTGAGAAGCTTATTGGTTGTTTTTTTTAGTTCTAGATAGTAATAAGGTTTTAGTTTTACTACAGGCACAAGGTCCTCCAAAAATTTTGATCGAAGATTGCTCATTGATATGAATTACTCATATTGGTTTATGTTCCTCTGAACCAGGTCGAGGATTTATCTGCTAGACAAGTGTATGAGAAGCTTCTTGAGGCCGTTATACCGTAAAATCTGCTGTTCGTGCGGGTTGGTGAAAGACATTAACTCGAGAGCTCTGCAACCCTTTTGTTAACACTCTTTATTGGTTTGCTGCAGATAAGAAAGGGTTTCATATTTTTCTTGAGAAGATAGATAAACTGCTTTCTTCTTTCTTTGTGTTTCATGCTTATGCGACCACTACTCTTTTAAAATAATCCCCTATTATTAAAGTTATTATAATTGTCTTTTGATACTTTCAAAAGTGTGTCTTTTGAACTATAATTAAAAATCACATCTATAACTTACAGTTGTCACATTTAATATTGTAATTTGGTCAAATGTGTATCTTAATTATTAAACAAGACCTTGAATAGGACCTACATTGATGTGTATCTCATTTCTAAATCCAAATCTCTTTTTTTTTGGCATTTTGGGCAACCAATCCTAATCGTTTCATATCTCGTCTGTTGCAATATCATACTCATTGTTTATAAAACAGAGTACTGTGATCAGAAGTGATGTGTTTCACTTCTATCTCTTCGCTGTATCGAAACAATCGTTACTGTAGCCAGTTTGTAATTATATATCTGCCCCATTCTCTATTTATTTGGACTTAAAACAAAAATATTTAATATATGTCTATCAAACTGATTAATATATTGCATCCACTTCGATGAGACGACAATACTGATGTACATCTTTTTTCTATTAGCAAGCAAGCTGTGTGACACATATTGATTTGATTTAGTATATAAACCACACATTTTACATATTCGTTGGATATTCTATAAGGACATGACATGATTAGTGCTCTCTCCGCTTGATCTTCACCTTTAGTCCACCAGCCATGTGAGCCGTTAGAAGAGGTACAAATACCGGCCGAGTATCACAAACCGGTACAATCTTAAACCGACTCAAAACCGAACCAACCACGAATTTCATCTGCATAAACGCCATTTCTTTCCCTATACAAACCCTTGGTCCCGCTTGGAAAACCGGAAACTTGAACGAGCTGACGCTTTTCAAAACCGGTTTGGTGCCGTAATTTGCCTCTTGCTCAAACCACCGGTTCGGTTTAAACTCGCTCCAGTCTAGTCCCCACACTTTCTCCATCCTTCCCATACCGTAAGGGAAATAAGTCACTTTGTCTCCTTTCTTCACACGTGTCCCGTCAGGCAAGACGTCGTCGTTTGCTGCATGCTTTGAGTCCCAAGCCACTGGTGGGTAAAGCCTCATTGCTTCACAGAGACAAGCTTTCGTGTAACTCATCTCTCTCAAATCCTCAAACCCTAACCCTAAAGAACCCTTGTTTCTCACTTCCTCTACTACCTTTTTCTCCGCGCAATCGTTCTCACTCAACAGCCAAAACAGCCACGTCATCGCCGCCGACGTGGTGTCCCTTCCCGCCATAATAAAGCTGATTACAGAATCTCTCACGGCTTCCTCGTCGTGACCGGCGGCGAGAAACCTAGACAAGAGGTCTTTCTTGTCCGCCACGTCACCACCGATATCGAGGCTCTTCTTCTTGGCACGGATGATCTCAGATACCGACACGTGTACGCTTCTGATGGCTTCTCTCAACCTCCTCTCGCTCCCAACGTTCAACAAACGCTTCAGCTTCCACACGGCGTAAATTGGCTCCGTGGCACGACGAGCGCTAATCGCCGCCGCTACATCAAAAGCCTCGACAAGATCCGGAACGGGTCGGGTCAAATCCAAACAATCCGGATCCCATCCCAACGAAACTTTACAAACAACATCGAAAGCAAAACGTTTTAAAACATCTTGGAAATCCACCGTCCTTCCTCCGTCGTAGTCCGCGGCGGAGGAAAGCACCGGAATGAGACGGTTTTCTACTTCTTCGCGGAGGATCTCGAAAGTGAATTCCCTAAGAGAACGCATTGTGAATTCGTGGCTCGCAAGTTTGCGCTGCGAGCTCCATAACTCGCCGTCAGAATTAAAAATTCCGCCGCCGAGTAGATCTCCGAGGAGGTCGGTGAAAGGTTTGCCTTTAGGGAAGTTAGAAAAATTTGTTTTGAGAATGTGCTCGACGTTTTCTGGATTGGCCGTGATGATAGTCCGGCGACGGAAGAGGAGATCGACGGTGATGGTTTGAGACGGAGAGAGACGAAGAAGATCAGTGTACCATTGGAGAAGACGGTGGCGGTTTCTGTTGAAGGAGAGGATAGATCCGATGAGTGGATATGAAGGCAGATTAGAGGATGATGTGGTTTTGGGTTTTAGGGTTTTCGTTGAAAACGAGAAGATTAACATAAACCCTAGAAGTAGAAAGAGAATGAGAAATGCAGTGAGCGTTACCATTTTGGAACTCGTAGTTTCTTCTTTTGGTAATTTATGTTTTTTGATGTGTGTTCTTGGTCTGTATAGGGAACCATATATATTATCCTATTTATATAGGACAATTATTGAAAACAGAATAAAAAGTTGTGGCTCCGACCACAACAGTCCAGAAAAGGACATAAATCTTTTTTTTAGGACATAAATCTTAAAATACACTATTCATTTCTTTATATATTTACTTTGTTTATATATTTTAAATCTTTTTCCAGCGATGGATGTTTGTTACTGTTTAAAAATAGGTTTACATTTATTCAGCACTGTCTCAACCCTAATATTTGATTAACAGAAACAAGCTCTTTAAGTAGATGAAAATCTGCTAGATTCCTTTAGCAAAAAAAAAAAAGAACTGCTAGATTAATTTTCTTTGTTCATACCATTTTGCTACATGGCATGCATTTTTTCAAACAAAAGGAACGAAAAAAATGTAAGGTTTTGATATAGGACTGTGATTAGAAAAAAAAATGTAAGGTTGAATGTCAGCGAGGGAGGAAAAGTTTTAACAAAACGGTAAGGGTTTGATATAGGGCTAATAAGCCAGTCTTAAGCACCATTTTTTTTTTCAAAAGTTTAGAAAGAAAAAAATGTCACTTCCAAAGAAATACACAGCAAAAAAAAAGTTTCAGCTCGTTTTTTTATGGCTAAACACCTAAACTACTCTTAAAGATAATTTCGTCAAACTCATTTAACCGTTATATAATCGATTTTTAAGAATTTTGGTTTATTAACAAGAGAAACAGTCAAATTGAATTTTTTTTTTTACTTCTAGATTTTATTAAGAAAAAATGCATATAGATAAAAATTAAACTTTGTCAATAAATTTTAATTGCATACTTAAACCATTTCTAACCTTACTCCATATTTCATTTGAAACTAAAATTTAGAGCAAAATTCTTTCTAATACTCCTCTATATTTCATTTCAAAATAAAATACTCTATTTTTTAGTCATGATTTCATTTTAGAGGGAAAAATAGAATATAGTTGGAGTAAAATATAATTTCATTTTAGAGTTATTCTAAAATGGAGTAAAATATGAAGTTATACAATTGAGATGCTACAGTAAGTATCAAGCTAGCTGACAAAAGAAATTGCAACATATTTTTTTCATAAAATGTCGACGCCGCAGGACTATCACACAAAAATCAAAAAAAGGAGATTAATGTATTGATGTTATCGACGTGGACAAGGACAAGTACCACAACACTTGTGGCCAAATTTCCGGCCGAAATCGATAATAAGAAAATATAGACACGACTCAATCGCTGAAAAAGCAAAACATTTTTTCTATTTCTTAAAAAGCAAATCTAATTATATCTAATACTGGAATAATAATAAATTTGGGCTCTGATAATAAAACTTAAGTTTGGACGGTCATTGCCAACAAAATTTTTGACGACATGTGTAAGAAAATTTAAACAGTTCATAATTTGAAAATGGATGAAGGATAGTGATCGGATGTCTATCTATTTTATTTATTTTAATGCTCTCTCAAAAGTCAAAATTACTCTCGAGTGTATAACACAACAAAATATCCCAATTCTACAAATGTAAACTAGAATAGTATGTATAGAGATTCTTCGTTCATTAAATAATCTAATATTATACAAAGCTGTATGTACGTGATGACATAAGTGAATGATCTGTGGGTTTTGTCAATTAATGAACTCTGATTCTTAGAAGATTCTGGGTATATGTTATATAATTTATATATAATCATATTGTAATTCAGTATTTGCAATACGCATGTTTAGTATCTCAAGGACTTGGTCGGTAATCGGTATATATATGCATATGCCACTAGTGACCAGATACCAAAATAGAGATTTCATCGGAAGATATTCTCTTTTCTTGCCGAAATTCGGATTATATATATATATATATATATATATACCACTAGTGACCAGATACCAAAATAGAGTTTTGATCAGAAGATATTCTCTTTTCTTGCAGAATATATATATTTAACCATACTAGAATCATCTCTGTAAACAATTAATATTCAAATTCGAATCTTACTGTCAGAACGATATTTTTATTGGGGCTTTAGACAAAGTCTTGGTTCGAGTATATCCCAATAGCTTTGGTTTTCTCTTTCAAAAAAGTATATCCCAATAAATATGCATGTGTCGGGTAAGATCGAGCACGTTGACGAAATTCTTCAGCCGAAATTTAAAACAAATATTTGCACAATAATTAACTGGATGAAGAAAAAACAATAAATATACACTTTTCTGACTACTTATGGAACTCATTATTAGTTTTTTTGCACGTTTTTCTCGTGGTTTGACAATTGAATCAATCTCATCAATAAAATCTCGGAACTAGTTTCACTGACTTCTTTCTCGATGCTCGTGTGTCCCGAAAATGACTATGAATGTCTTAGATTTTCATGTTTTCTTACACATCTAATACTCCTTTAACAGAATTTTCTTTTTGTGGTATAGAATAAGACTCACAACTCACAAGTGTTTACTGTACAAGAGAAAAATAAACCAGCGAGCATATTGTTACATTATACGTGAAATGAGAAAACTAAAACCTTCTGATAATTAATCCATATGCAAAACATTTAAATGAGATTGATATGAGCCACTCCCCTTGGGACAAAAGACGGCGCCGTTTGGAGAATTGGGGCCATTACGACAAGTTTCCTCTTATTGAAATTTGTCCAGAAGTATCTCCAAATCATTCTCTTATTGCTTTGATTTGACAGACAATTTGTCTTATAGAATCAAAGTGCTTTCTCTCCATTTTTCGATCTCAATTCTTTTGGGTCATCTTCACCGTCCAAAGAGGCTTAAGGTTTTGTCCGTTTTAAGTGACACCTTTTTTTTTTTTTCATTTTAACCAAACTCTTTTTGAGAGTTATGATGCTAGAAATAGAACTTATTGTAATAAACAGCTGAAAACAAAATTAAAGAGCAATGACAATAGAGTAAATTTTTGTATAAAAATGATAACTTAGATTTATCTAAATTAATAAATCTAAACCCTACAGTTATCTTTTTTATTTAGAAGTCTTTGATACAAATAACTGATACTAACCAAAAAATAGAATCAAACAAATGTTATGTTATTTTGTTTTTTTAGGTAAGTTAAATGGAATTGGAGACTTTATTTTCCTCACTTTGCGGGTCAAATCTTGTTATTTCGCCCGCCGCATATAAATATTATCTTCACCACAATCCAAATTACAACATTACTCACATGTACAATACATATTATCATTATTAATAGTATTTTATGATTATTAATCTACTAATAATGATCATTGTATTATGCTGTAGTAGCCCAAAAGGCGACCGTAAATAGGTCAAACTTTCCCATTAACGAAAAGCGATTACTTTAACAGATTTGTTTTTTTTACTACGACTGTGGTTTGGATCGGTTCAGAGATCAAAAGATGAAATCCATGTAAACTCGATCTAAAACCCCTTACACATGATGAGTTTACATATTACAAATGTCGCTAAATCTTTAATGAAAAACCAGTTTCATAATTTAGTACACCCTAATGCCTGATAACCAGTTCCCCAGAAGAGATCAAAAGAACAACAATAAGTTTCTTCACCTTCTTGCCTATCCGAAAACCTCTAAAGATACATATATTCACCTGAGCGTTTTCTCAATCTTGGATTTCTCTATCTTCAATTGGCATTCTTCAGACGCGCAATGAGCTCATCCTGCGACACCAGTCAAAGTTTCTTAACCGATCAGCGAAACAAGATAAACAAACCGGAAGCAACATCATATAGTGTAAGACAAGTCCGGGCAAGCAATCGAACTCAATCAAGTAGTTTTTTTTTCAAGATATTATTGTGAATACAAGATTGAGGTGCTTAAAAAGAGTTGTAATGAAGATTTCAAATAGAGAACAAAGGCACATGTTTTGACTCGCCTTTCTTCCTTTCGTCGGAAGGCCTCTCTCCTTGAGAAGGGCACGGAGCTTTTCGACAGTCAAAGACTGAAAGTCTCTTTCCCCTGAGCGGCTGCTCGATCCTTCTGTACAGAAGAACACATGGGTTTAAGTCCATGGAACCAGTGAATTTCTTGAAAAATTAAATCAGGAAGGGTCGTAGTATAAAGAGCTAACCTTGTCTAGATACATTAGCAGCTCTTTTAGCTGAGCTTCTGTCGTCCAGAGCCCTATTCGCAGCCCTACGATTTGTGGACAAAGCGTTGAAAACATTAGGAGGAATCAGACAGGTCAGTTGATAAGGTTAGCCACGCGAGAGAGCCAAGAACTAATGGAGAAGATGTGGTTATTACCTCTTTTTAGGACCATCTTCCGCACTTCCTTTGGCGTCTTTGGAATTCGAGTCGCCTTTTAGCTTCTTTAGCAAGAGAGATCTGATTAGAATATTTTGCTGGTTTGTTTTGATTTCTTGACCTTCTGGATAAATGACCAGTAGCGAGTTAGGATCTTTCATTGGTCATACAGTTAAAAGAGAGCAAAGACTCTAAAAAAAAAGAAATGGAGTTTAAAGAAAAGAAAATACCCGGGGGAGATGTGTCATGTTCACAAATGTAGACCCGCAAGCTTCCCTGCAATCTTAGAGAAAAGAAAGTTACTATATGTATATGATTTCAAGATTGAAACTCGAAGCTACTGCTACACTTATATAGCAAATAACTTCACGGAGAAAAACATTCACTAGCCAAAAGACCAAAGTCATCAGTTTCATATAGTTATCATCACACAATTCGATTACAGATCCAAGCATATATATATTTCCATAGGACTCACAAAATCCAAGCAAAAGCAGAAGTCACTTATAAATGAAATCAAACTGACATAAAGACTTTCATTACACAGCCCCAAAAAGAAGCGCATAAAGTGTGAAACCTAAACCCAATTCACAAATATAACCAATCAGACAAGACTCATCTGATTAAATTCTACAGAAATCAAGCATTCAACGATCAGGACCTGCAATCGATTGGGAAATATCAGTTTTCAGCAGCATCCGAGTAGTCGCTACGACTGATAGGTTATCCATTTCGAACAAATAAAGCCAATCACTTTCTAAAGCCCCAAAATTTTCAAACGAAGGAACCCAAAATAGGCCTTAAAAATTACAGACAACAAAAGGCGCTAATGTCTGCAAAATTACCGGATTTGAAGAGACGACGGTTGAAGACAAGAAACCGCGAGACGGAAGGTCGGAAAGGAATTTGGAAGCAGACTGATCAGAAGAATCAGAAGACCGAGAAGATGAGGCCTCCATTGCCAAACCACTGATAAACCTTAACCAAGGAAGACGAAGCGTAAGAGAGGAGAGGAGAAAAGAGAATAGAGGAGATCGCTAAGGCACATAGACATAGAAACCGAGCGATTGCGTTTCTACTTTATAGGAAGAAGATATGGGCCTCTGTTGGGCCGTATGTATGATATTAAGCTCTAAACTAAATTGAGGAAAACATATAAAATTAGGTTCATATCTTATTATCTCGTAACAATTATATTTCTTATGTGTGTGTATAAAACCAATCAAATTCCAAACATGTTCTATTTTATTTCATTTCCATGCGTGCCCAACCCTTGATTGCAATTTCGCAGTAATAATGTAGCTCATATGATTAGCGATTCCAAAACTGCCATCTTATATTTCTACCCCTAAAACATGAAATGTACGATCTAACCCCCACAGAGTTCACTACCAAACAGAAGCAGTAAATCGGTAGAAACGTAAGGAGTTGAGCACAATATACAAGCTACGCCTAAATCAAATCCATGCATACAAGCTTTTAAATATATATAATCCAATGATCAACATATGTTTACAAGCTCTACAACTTCTCATCTTTGTTCCTTAAAACAACCCTAGATGAACTCTATATCCTCGTAAGTGTTCTATTCATTACCAAGAAACAAGAGTAGGAAAATAAAAACTAAGCATAGATTAGAATCTGCACATTTAGATTATATAGTTAAAGCAAGTCTGCAGTTTTGCTGCAATAACTTATAAGTTAACAGGACGAATGAAAGAGTGCTTTTTTTGTTTTGTTTGTTGTCTCTCTTCTCTCGAGTAAGTCATAAAATCACAAACAGGCATAAGAATCAGACACATGCAAAATTCAAGGCAGGGTTGATGATGAATCTCAGCTTCTGGTTTCAAGACAGAGGCAGCATCTGAAAATCCTTCCAAAGCTCAACTGCCGAACATGGTACAAAAGTTTGAAACAGGTTAGTCAATGAAATATGGAAATCCATGATTGTAACAATTTGTTTATGAAGCGGAAGAAATGAGCCGAGTTTATTTATAAAAGAAAGTCTATACAGTAACTGAGAGACAATGGAGAGACTAAACATTAGTATTATTAGCATATTTGATGTCAATGTGATTGGGTTTATGAACAGCTCTTGAAGTTGTCTAATGACACAGATGGCAAATCCAAACAGCAAAATCCTCTAGAAATTAGGATTTAGACTCAAGCAAGCTCATGATCAATCCTAAAACTTTAGATGATCGATTTAAACAAGGTACATTGCAGTAAATTCGAATTGGGAGGTACAAATTTTCGTGAATTTACCTTATCCTTGGTTATCGAGATTTCCATGGCCGCTACTTCCTCCGCTTCCGTAAGACACATCATCTCCGGCGGCTGAATTCTGCCAAACGCTCTGCCATGCCTGAGATGGAGGCTGAGCATAAACTCCGGTAGGATCCATCGCCGGCCTTCCGATCATCATCCCTCCAGGAACCGCCGGCTGACCCATCGGCGGATAATAATAAGGAACGCCGCTCGCGGCGGGAGTCACCATACCTCCGAGAGCCGCCTCTTCCTCCTCCTTGATCTCTTCCCTAGGAACGATATCAACGAGGAAATCGAAGATATCGGTTCTAGTAATCGCGGCGGCGATATCGTTTTTCTGAAGCGTACGGCGTTTATTCTCTTCGGCGTGAAGCCAAGATCTGATGGTAAGCTCGAGGATGAAAAGCTCACAGGCTTTGGCGAAGAGGATCGGTGCTTCCGCGGAGATCATACGAACATCCTCATCGGCTTTCATGATTTTTTTGATCCGAGCGAGAGGAAGCTGATGGTTTTTGAAATCGTTCACCTGCTCGATCTCTTGTCGCTGGTAGGTCCAGAACATTTGGAGCTGTTGCAGCTGTTGCTGGAGGAGGTGGTGGTAAGACGCTCCTCCTCCTCCGCCGACTATCGCCGTGGATCCAGATGGAGGAGGAGGGATTACGGCGGCGGCGGAGCCCGAAGGCGGAGGAGGATAGACGGAGGCAGGTGGTGGTTGCTGGTTGTTGTTGTTGTTGTCCATTGGATCTACGCGTTGTGATTGGATCAAAGAGCCTTACAAAGTTTTGTCAAATGGTTTGGAGAAAATAGTGGATAAGGTGGATAGCGATGTAGCTGATTATTATTATTTTATTTTTTTCTTTATTAGCCTTTTTTTTTTTTTATTACAGCTTGATAAAAACGACGCCGTATTAAAAGTGTTTTCACTGTGATGGAGAAGAAAGCTGTCTCTCCTAGTATTGCGATTGCATCGAAGATGACGACGACACAGGAGCTTGCGATGGAAGGGGAAAGACATTTGGAAGAGACTATCGAAGCGGCTTATCAGATAATTTCCGCCATGAACGATGAGCTCTGCAATCCTTCCTTGTGGTCTACATCAGCCACCGCGAGTTCCACCGCTCAGACGACGACGACGACGACAGGTTCCAACGGAGCTGCTCTCGTTTCCGCTGATGCGGCTGCGATTGATGGAGCACCGCATCAGTCGGAATCCGGTGCTGGTGGAAGCGGCGGAGGAAGCGGAAATAGCGCTCTCGATGAGGCTAGTCTTCGCTATAAGAACTCCGTGACTTCTCTTCGTGCTGTTCTTGCTGCAATTCCAAATTCGCTGAAGGTAATTATGTTACTAACTATTTGAGAAGACTTTTCTTCTGAGGTTTGTTTCTGGACTGAGGAAGTTTGAATTTCTAGGGCTTCTTGAGATGTTAGAGCACTATATCCTCGAATCAATAAAGTAACAAGTTTTAGACATTGATCCAAGCGAAGCTCTAGTTGCAAATATTGAGCAAGATTTGACCTATTACTTGTTGAATATCTCTTGTTTTACACTTATTTGAGCTAATTTCAAATCAGAGCTTTTGATTATTTTCTAATTTTGATCTTGTTCATCTGTTACAGACAAAAGCATTTGAAACGGAAAATGGATTCGGAACTCCTGAAAGTGAAGAAGAAATCGAAAAGTTGGAAGAGCAAGCTTTAAGTCTCAGAAAGGTAAGATTTTTGCAAAGATTTTTGCAATCTCTACATCTTTTTTGTTTGATAGTTCATCTTTCTATCAGAATGGAGCTATATTGCTTCGATTTTTAGTACTCTCGATTTCTATAGATTCCAACGTGAATTAGCACTGCATACTCTTAAGGCTTTAAATCTCACCAACATTCAAAGATTGAGTACTTAAGGCTTTAAAACTCACTTCAATTCAAAGATTGAGTAGGTATAAGAAAATATGATTCACATTTTGTAGTGAATCAAACTCACAAACATTCAAAGATTAAGTAGGAAAAGAAAATATGATTCTCATTTTTTACTGTAAGTGCTGTAACATTTCCTTCCTTAGGCGGTTCTAGAACCATGAAAATAAAATGACTAAAGCATTGAACGTTCTTGAATACAGGAGATTGCTAAGAGGAATGTTCACGTCAAAGAGCTTATCGACAAATTTCGAGAACTTATAGCTGATATCTCTACATGGCAAAGCCCTTGTTCTGTTTGAGTGCCTCAGTTGATGTGATGTATTAGTTTTAGATATTTTCTTGTTTTGATATCGAGACAAGACTCTTAGATAGTTCTTGAATGCCTCAGTTGATGTGATGTATTGTTGTTTTGATGTCGAGACAAGACTCTTAGATATTCACATTTTGTAGTGAACCATTAATATCTAAAAGATGACATTGTATATAAATTTTTTCAGACAAAACCTTCAAAATCAGTGTCTGTTTTCCATTGCATGGCACTTTTTTGTTTGAATTGATCTGTAAGAGAACTCAATTGTGTATATTTTTGAGTGGTCAATGTCCGAATTTTTTCAGATAAGCCATAAAACCAAGACCAGCTACTAATGCTGCACCAGCCGCAACTCCACTGTATGCAGCAGCCCAAGCGTCTTTCTCTACATATTCCAATGCTTCTGCTGATCCTGCTGCTCTTCTTCTCCTTCTTCCTTTGCCTTCTCTTGAATCATCCAAATGTAATCTCAGACTCTGCAATTTATAATGATCCAATCAATTTAAGATAGCAAAAATTTCGTAAAGGTCATAAAATTTTAACGTTGGTTCTTAATGTTCCTTCATTTATATATACTTTACCTTCCAGCCAATTGATTTTGCATGGTCTATGGCTGCTTGAAGGTCACTATCTGAAGCCAACAACACTTTATCATGGTCTTCATCTTCATACTGCAGATTATAACCATCACTCTAAACATTTTCAGGGGTGACGAAAAAAGAATTGCATCATTACCTTTCGCGAAAAAAATTATTTACGTACCAAAATTTGGGGTAAGTTGTCTGGATCGATATCATTCCCTACTCTCTGAAGGATCGCGGTTATCACTTCTGTCAAACTACGAGTGTCTGCAATTTAAGAACCAATCCACGTGAGTACACACACAAGATTGAAAGTGTTTGCTTGGGCAAAGACAAAGCTATTTGCTCACCGCTTATGAATCTGTGCATTCTGTGCTTCTTGTCTTCGATCTTGAAAGAAAATGTATTTGCAAAAGGGAAAGATTTCCCTGTTTCAGCTTCAGAAGCAACTTTCAAGGAGCTCTCACTGGAAAAAAAATTGTTTCCCATGTTACCAACAAAGTCAGCAAACCAAAGCTTAATTCAAAAAGAATACGTTTAGCGGTTTAAGCGAGTCAGGGTAATGACCTTCTCGTGTCCTCGTCTTCCTCATTAGGAGACAATGCCATTGCTGAATCCCAAAACTTTTGCATCATTGTATTTGTCGCCTCATTTCCTATTCCCGCAGTAGTTCCAGCCTGATCACATCGAAAATAAGCACACAATCGAAAACACGTCTCTAGAAAAAATAGAACCATGTATTTGTTGTAATCAAACACAATTTACGGAATTTTCAAGAAATGGAACTTACTGTAGCAACAGCAGCATGAGTAACGTGGATTACATCGACAACTGCAACTACATCTCCGTCTGCAATCAGAAACCCTTTCATTACTTACATACGTCTGCATTTTCAATTATCATAAGACTTATAATCTAATAGGTAACAGAAGTTTCACCTTTGTCCGTAACAGGAAGGTGTAAGAATTTTCCCTCGTGCATGATGTGAAGAGCTTCAACGATTGGTGTGTCAACTGTCGTGGATTCTGGATTCTGAGTCATAACCTATGCATCAACGAATAAGAACTATTTATCAAACTCAAGAAAATGTAAGGGAATCTAAGACTTGAAAGTTTGATCCGAAGCTTAGAACTAGACAATTTGAATAATCCAAGACTCTGTAAAGGAGACTAATCTTTTAATCCTCTAGACCTAAGGGACAAAAAATCTTTTAATGCTACCTGCTCCACTGTAGTCTCAGATGGAGGAAGATTTTCAGCCACAACCCGCATCAGTATATCCTTGGAACTAGATAAACGAAAAACAAAACTCTTAGAAGTCAGTGATAACTATTCACAAGGAATACAAACGAGTTCAGTCAGCACATAATCTAGTAGACAAGTTAGTTCAGAAAAGAGAAACTCACGTAAATATCCCTCGAAGCTTGTCCTCAATCATCACGACTGCACAGCTTGATTGAATTTCAACCATTTTCTTTGCTACAGTCAACACTGTATCGGTTGGTGAGACTTTCAAAACCCTGAACAAACATCAGTGTTAACTTAAAATAACGCAACTGATGGGCAGGGGGGAAAAAAAGTCACTCAAGATTGTAATATGAATTTAATTAGAAAAACAAGAGATTACCTACTTTGTATCATCTGGTATAATCGTTGATAAAGAAGGTCTAAACATCCGGTCTCGTAGCGTTTCGATGAAAGTGTTGGGAACTACATGAAAAAAAATAAACATACTCGACATTTAAAACCCCAATAAAACAAGAGACCAAGAGAAAATGAGATTCGAGCAGGAAAGATTCAGTTCCTCGCCCACCTGAAGTGTTTGTTCCCCAACTTTTTTCAACACCTTCAACAGCAGCAGCTATTGCCTTACCTTTTTCAGCTGCCCTCTCCATACGAGCAATCGCATCATACAGACACTTCGCTATATCCAATAAAGCAATAACTTCGCCATTTTCAACAACAGGCAGATGTCTGAATTTTCCTGTAGGTATATAGCCTCATTAAGGATCCATACGCAAGGATTAGAACAAAAAAATCAGGTTTCTCTAACTTAAAGCAAACACACAAACCTAGGACCATCTTTTGGAGGGCTTCAACAGCAAGCGTTTCTGAAAGAACGAACGTCGGGTTCCTAGTCATAACCTTGGATACAGGTGTTTCCTCGACATTAACTTCTTGTGAGATCACTCTTGTTGCTATGTCCTGAAAACCCATAAAGATGATGAAGTGATAGTGTTTTAACATTTTAAACATGCTTGGCGCAGTCATGGTGGCATACCTTGTCTGTAAGAATCCCACAAAGCATTTCGTTAGAGTCAGTTAACAACAAGGCATCAACTCTACGAGAAGCCATCCTTTTACAAGCTTCATATATAGTTGTTGTTGCTGGTACTGTAAGGGCTTTCGATAGCCTTAAACGTTTAACAGTTCGCTCGCCTCCTGTCAAACCCCTGCTTCAAATCCCAAATGATGATCAAAAGTTAAACCAAATCACAATAGGGGAAGAGATAAAAACTAGAACCAACATTACAAAGCTAATACATGTAGAAGAAATCTGAGGAGCTAAACGTTCTCGATTAATGCATTGAGACCAAGAAGGGACTTACAAAGGGGAACGAGAAACAGTAAAAGATCTCCGGCCAGTGTCGAGACCTCGTTCGCCGATTTCCATGGATTTCTTTTTTCCGTGCAATGACGAAGTCGTAACAGATAAGCTCCGTCTCGATGACCCGCCTTGGCTAGCCATTTCTACTGTATGATTTAGAAGAAATCAAACCCTTGGAAATCGTCAACGCTTACGAAAATCGATTTGATTAGATGTTTAGCAAATTAAGGAAAGCTTTCAGGAATCGTAACTAATCAAGCAAGCGTAAAAGAACAAAATACTTTTAGAATCATAAAAAGAAAAAAGACAAACTCGTGAAATCAAAGCTATTTTACCAGCTGAATTCGTCGTGTCAACAAACGGATTACGGGGTTGAAAAATCAAAAACTGAAGCTGAAGAAGTTGGGATTAGTTCCGTCGCAAATGCTCTTTCTCAATTGTTCGTGAGAAGGATAACGGCAAGAGAGAAACGACGATTTTACCGAGATTCTCCCGGGAAAGTGATGGAAAATGAAAGAAATTAGAAAGAAATATGTTGTGATTTTCTGAAAAACGTTTTTTCTTTTCTTCCCCCAATCGGATTCTTTGATTCCGATGCTTTTGCAACTGGGCGATCTCTCCCTTTTTATTTTGGGCAATATATTGATTTCTTATGTCTGAAAATTTCCAACTTTACCCTCGAGATTTGAGAACTAATGACGAGTGAATCAGAGATTTGTTGCCAATTTCACAAAGGGTTTTATCGTCATTACCTATTTATGGTCATTACACACGAGTTGATACATTCTGGATTTTTTTTTTTTTTTTGATTTGTCTTTACTCATTCTTTCTTTTAGCAATTGGGATTTGTCTCCGACAGGAAATTAACAACCGCTTTTTTCCTTCAAAAAGATTATTTAATTAGGAGATTAATATCTATGATCTATCTAGATAAACTTGTAGACGGAGAAAAATGAAATTAAAACTATGAGTTTTGTTTCATTTAAAATAATTAATTAGTGTATTTGTCGATCCGTCGTTATGAAATTTTTGTGAACGAGGAAAAAAAACTATGTACACTAAAAATGATTAAATCTAGAGTAATTCATATATAAGGAAGTTTGTTTTTTTCTTGTTCGAGAATCAATGGAAATGTTTAAGTTCTTGTATTTATAGAATGCGATCAGTCGATCACTATATTTATTTGAATCAATAATCGGTTTGGATTAATTTGACAGTAGTTTTGTGATTTTATTTTCTCGAGGCGAGCTGGGCCGGAAATTCAAAGCCCGCGTTAGAAACGAATTGTGTTATAAAAAACCGGTTCGAACGCAACACGCCAACACCACACCACAGTATGACGTCCTTCGAAATATTTTTTCTTTTCCCCAAAAATAATTGTAAAAAGTATATCCACGTGGAATCCAACAGTTGGTTGATTCACCACACCATTTGCTTTCACATCACACGAGAAGCTTCGTCTCCAACAGAACAAACCAAAAACTCCAGCTCCCTCCCCACTCTCTCTCTCTCTCCAATTTTCGTTAAAGTTTCGTTTTCTCTCTCTCTAGAACGAGAAGTATGGCGGATTGGGGTCCGGTTTTGATCGCCGTGATCCTCTTCGTAGTTCTATCGCCGGGACTTCTCTTCCAGATTCCCGCGGGAGGCCGAGTAGTTGAATTCGGGAATATGCAGACAAGCGGCGCATCGATTCTAGTTCACGCCATCATCTTCTTTGGTCTCATCACTATCTTCACCATCGCCATTAACGTCCACATCTATTCCGGTTAAGTCAAGTCAAGTACTTCTGGTTTAAGAGAAACCTTTTCTTCTCCGGTTCTGTCTCAATTTTTATCAAATTCGAGTGTAAGATCTGGATTCGTTTGTAAACATTTTTGGATTTGTGAATATAATCAAAATTTCATATGATAAAAAATCCACTTTTGTTTTGGATCTGGTATCAAGTTGTGAAGATTGTTTGGTATCTGGTTTAATTTGGTTCCTTGTTCATAAGCATCTCTCCAAAAATTTATGGGAAGTTTTTTTTTTAAAATGTTACTTGATAAATTACATTCATGATTCAACTAAAAAAGATTTGTGAGAAAAGGATTTTGTCATAAAGATGAAGACCACCAACCATAATGATTGAGGATGTATCAAACGACGTCGGATTAGTCATTATTGGGTTTATAGAAAACAGGCCCATTAAGTCCAATATGTGTCATTTTCAGTTTCAGCTGAATCTCTCGACGACCTCTCTCTCTCTTTTTCCTCTTCGCAAATCCTTGAAGAATCAAAAATCCATAGCAATGGCGACTTCAGTAGCTCGATTTTCTCGGAGAGGAGTAGCTTCTAACCTGATCCGTCGTTTCTTCGCTGCGGAAGCGGCGGTGGCGACGAGGACGGAGGTGCCGAAGCCGAAATTGACGGTGTCGCCGTCACCGGATCGTGTGAAGTGGGACTACAGGGGACAGAGACAGATCATTCCTCTGGGACAGTGGCTTCCGAAGGTAGCCGTTGATGCCTACGTGGCACCAAACGTTGTGTTGGCCGGCCAGGTCACAGTCTGGGACGGCTCGTCCGTCTGGAACGGTGCTGTTTTGCGCGGCGATCTCAACAAAATCACCGTCGGATTCTGCTCGAATGTACAGGAACGGTGTGTTGTTCATGCCGCGTGGTCTTCACCAACAGGTTATTGTTCCCTCCATTTCGGGGAATCTTTGGTCTGATTATCCAATTTCTGGGATTCTCGCTGGTATGAAATCAAGATATAATGTTAATGGAGGTTTAGGGGATTTCATCGTTCATTTTCTACTATCGAAAGCTTACTAAAGAGTCAAAAACTTATGAGAACTCTGACACATGATTAAACTGGTTCTATAGTGTGCTCCTGAGTACAGATTTTTTTGCTTCAAGAATTTTTAATAATGGTGATTAGTGCTACAGGATCAAGAAACTTACAGAGTTGAATAGATTAGCACGTTATATACTACCACACACAAATCATTCATCATTGTGTAGCATTAGGAAGTTTCCTAGCAGAGGTTCGGGAACAATGTCTCAGTAAGGGTTTTTGGGCGTTTGAGAGAATTCTCCAGGGAATTGGTTTTCTGTTTACTCATGACTCTGGAAGTGGGATTCTATGATGATTTAGCTGTATCACATGGATATGAGCTTGTTTTTGCCACAAGGTTGAGGCAAGGGTCCGTGTCAAAGTTTTAAATAGAGCAGCCTCTGATCGCTGAAGGGAGGCCATTATGATTTGATCACGCTCTGGATTTTGAGATTGTATTTGGACATAAACACACTAAGTTATTGTTTAACATAAAAGCAGTATCTATTAGTCATGTTTCTGGTCACATTGACAAAACTTTCAATCTATCTTTCAAGGCGAAAACAGATCTTGGTTTTGTTTTGCATATCATACTTCATTTTTACTCTTTTCTTCTCTGTAGCTCTGGCTTTTGAGATGATGAAATCAAATTTTGATTATAGGGTTACTGCCTACTTTGAATTTTCAGGATTACCAGCAGACACATTGATCGACAGGTACGTGACAGTGGGTGCATACAGTCTTCTGAGATCATGTACGATTGAGCCAGAGTGCATCATCGGGCAACACTCAATACTAATGGAAGGTTCGCTGGTCGAGACTCGCTCAATTCTCGAAGCTGGTTCAGTTGTGCCACCAGGAAGAAGGATCCCATCAGGTGAACTATGGGGAGGAAACCCAGCAAGATTCATAAGAACCCTAACCAACGAAGAAACTTTAGAGATCCCAAAACTCGCTGTAGCCATCAACCATTTAAGCGGAGATTACTTCTCGGAGTTCCTGCCTTACTCCACTGTCTACTTAGAGGTAGAGAAGTTTAAGAAGTCCCTTGGAATCACCGTTTAGAGGGCTTCGTTTTTCCGGTTTAGTGTGATATCTATCGTATGAGGTCTCTCTGCATATTGCAATAAGTAGCTGAAGAACATCAAAACAAGTCCGGCTCTCTTTTTTTTTTTATTATTCAAATGTTTGTTTTCTCATTTTTCAGTTTCATTGTAAAATTCCATTTTAAACTGATTTTGGCTGGATAATGTCTGAATGATAATGGCGACTACTTCTGTTTTGTTGCCTGTGGGCAACGAAAGATTTGCTGAAATACATAAGTTCTAAAACATATCAAGAAACCAAATGATTTTTCGTAATTTGGGTTGGATCATGGAAAGGAATATTGTGAAGAAACATAATTACTTGAAACGTTTTACTATCCCTTGGACAGAATGAGAAACTTTGGTCACACAAATATTATGCAGTAGAAATTACACTAAGTGATGGGGAAGTTTCTGAAGTTACAGAATATAGTCAATACTCAATATATAGATTACATTGGACGTAACATTTATTGATCAATTGCATTTGTTATCGTATCTACCATACCAACCTGGACTCGTTCCAATAATTTGAACCATATTTGGAACCAACTCAATAAAACAGGCAAAACTCTTTGCCGAGTTAATCTGTAATCAATCACAAAGAGACCAAACTGATGTAAAAAAAAACAACATTAAGTGGGTCAAAAGACCAATCTAACTTTCACATAATTACCTCTCCGTTAACAAAAACACGCTTCGCATTAGTCATTTCAACTTATTGTAATTACGTTAATCCTAAACGTGAGTTACATTTTGAAAACATATAACTTAATATTGCTCTGTAACTCTTCAATTTATTTTAAAAAGTTTTGTTTTCTAATCCTATAAATTCTAAGTTTCTTCCAATATCCAAAACCATCCAAGCATCTAAAAGTGTAAACCAAACAAAGAAAAAGGTTAAAAGATTAATAAGAAAAAGCCCTAAGAAAAATGGGAAGCAAGGCTTTTGTCTCAATGATCTTAGTTGTATCCCTTTGTGCTGCCATTTTTGTCGCTCAAGGAGAAGCTCAAGTCCAACCGCCACCAACAATTCCAGGGCTTTTTCCACCCGGTTTACCTGTTGATTTGGTAAAATGTTGGTCCTCTCTTTTTAGCGTCGAAGGATGTGTGCTCGAAATATCCAAATCAATTTTCTCTGGCAAGTTTGAAAATGTTGAAGCTGCATGTTGCAAAGTGTTCTCAACCTTAGACGCAAATTGTTGGCCTCAAATGTTTCCATTGAACCCTTTCTTCCCACCTCTCCTCAAGGACAACTGTGCTCGGATCGTTCCCAAGTCACCCGCACACAAGTGAAAAAAAGTCATCTTATAATTCTAATTTGCTTTTGCCTCATATCTACATAGTGAGCTCAATATAGTCAAATGTCTCAATATTCATTCAAATGTTGTCTTTATTAAATTTCGTGGACTTCTTAGTTACAAAATTCATTAATGATTAATAAGATCCGATAAAGTTTTTTTTTTTTTTATCCCCCTCTTTCGTTTCTTAACGTTTAACATATTTGAAAGAACAAAATTTTCATTTACAACAAAAATTTGTTTTCTAAATTTCATGGAAGATCGGCCTAATTTACGAATTTTACACAACACTTAGGTCGTTCATACAAATTATATATCCCTACATTTAACGATATTCCCACAAATGCTCAGGGGTATGCGTAAACGGTGGTAAAATGCATCAGCAAAAATCTTTTTAATGTACCTAAATTAGAAGAAAATTATCCTAGATGAAAGTACGAGTGTAGAGGAAGGGATTACAATATACGAAGTAAAAGAAAACTGCCCTAACACATATGATGGAATAAGAAGAAGTGTATTGAGATTTGAGATGATGCAACTCTAGAGTCTAGATGTGTAAGTCATGTGTTTCTTGTGGAGGAAGTTATTTTCTTCGGCCCATTGTTCCGTCTTTAGCCGAGACACATCTGAATCTAAACCGATGCAAAAAAATTGATCTAAAATGGAGAGTTTCGGTTATTTATTGAAAGCCATTCCAGTTTTTTTTTAAAATACATGTTATTACAAAGATAATTCTGATCTAAAAGCCAAACTGTGCGACACTAAATATAATCCAGTCTCTGTAATCATTATACCGAAACTAAACCTCATCGAAAACTTAATTAACAATCCTTAAGTGGAATAGAGCTGGAAATTAACTTTAAACTAGAGATTGAATTAGCGTAACCAATGTTAATGTAACTGATGGGGAGGTTTATGAAGTTAGACAACATACTGCATACATCTTTGTTTTTGATTTAACTCAATGGACTATATTCACTATATTGTGGACGTTGTGATAGTATCCAACATACCAACTTGGACCGGCGCGGTCAAGCTACCTCAGCCGGATATGGAACCAAATTGCTGAACCTGGATTTTTTTTTTTTTTGTATACTAATTACGTCTCCCGTTTCAAAACTTAAACAAAAATACGTTTCACAATAGTCAAAACAACTTCATGTAAGAATTAACACATGGGTTACAATGTGGAACACATTTATTTTGACACGTTACTCTTAGATTGAATTTAATAACATCTTGTTTCAAGATCCTATAAATGCTAAGTTTCCTTCTTATATCACAAACCATCCAAGCAATTAGAGTCAACACCAAAACAAACAAAAAAAGAAAAAGGAACGTTTAGTAAGAAAGATGGAAAGCAAAGCTGTTGTCTCAATGTTCTTAACTGTATCTTTATGTGCTGCCATTTTTGTCACTCAAGGAGTAGCTCAAACGCAAACGCCACCGACGATTCCTGGAATTTTTCCTCCCGGTTTACCTGTCGATCTGGTGAAATGTTGGTCGTCTCTATTTAACGTGGAAGGATGTGTGCTCGAAATCTCCAAATCGATCTTCTCTGGAAAATTTGAAAATGTAGAAGCCGCATGTTGCAAGGCATTTTCGGCCTTAGACGCAAACTGTTGGCCACAAATGTTTCCTTTGAATCCATTCTTTCCTCCTCTCCTCAAGGAAAACTGTGCTCGCATCGCCCCCAACTCCCCGGCACACAATTGAAAGCAAGAATGATTGTTAATCTCTACACTCATATAGTTAACTCGTTAGCTTCGAATTAAATAAGTTTTAATGTTAATTTTTGCTGGCGAAGCGTGAGGTCATATCTTTAGAGAGCTCTCTATGTAATAGGTTTTTCTCAATAAAGTGAAATTTCTAGCAATATCTATTCGAAATAACTCTTCTTTATAACTGTTATGAATGTGTGAGTAGTCTAAACCAAGTGATCGTGGTTACATGCGAAAACAAAACAAAACAAAAAGATGGAAACCATTGAGAACTTTTTATCCAATCAAAGAGTTTGTTTTCAAGAATTTCTTACAATTGGATTCCTAGATCACCATCGAAGCATAGTGAATGATTGGTCACAACCAATGATGCAAGTGAATTAACAAAAGAAGTAAACTGATAAATCAAATGTCCTCCAGGCAGTAAACATTGCGACTGTTCGACTATGCTAGACAATAATTTGTCTTAAAATAAAAATTAGATTAACTTCTTGTTCTCTAAAAAACATTAAACAAACAAACACTTTATTAGCATTAAGAAAAAGTAAACGAGACCATAAGATACACCGAACTAACAAGGTGAAGACATCTCCGGTTGCTAGTTTCTTCCTTTTCCTCTCCCTCCTCGACGAATAAGCTTCGTCCGATTTCGCCGTCACAGAATATACCGCCAAAAGGTAACTCCGGGAAATTCTCCAAAAACGGTGAGCTTTCCGCGTTTGGACGACCAAAGAAGGAGTCGCCACGCTCTCTGCTTGCGAATACAAAACCTCCAACGAGTTCCTGTTTATTCGGTTTAGACTTTAGAGTTTTAAGCTGAGAAGAAACAGCATTTAGTGATGCTTCAGCCACTTTAAGATCAGGGGAATAAACTTGGAAATAGTCGCCCGTTTTGATTCCGGCACCACTGACTGAGAGATACTGTTCGTCGGCTCTGAATAAACCAAAAACAAACAAAGCTTAAATGGGTCATAGGGAACTGATTCATGTAATGAGAAATTGTGAATCATCATTACCCAGTAATTTGATGAAATACAAGTGAGGCCATGATCTTTGGCTTCTTCTCCAAACCAACAGAGTACTTTCTTCGTTTTACTACTCCGATAATGTATGGATCAAGCTCCGAGATATTGTTTCCTAACTGAATTTCAAATCACTTTAGTAACACAATCTTCAGAATAGATAAAGAATGGTTTCAGATGCGTACCAAATTCTCTATGTCATCTAGAATTTGTTCGCCATTTCGAACCTCTGCTTCTCCTCTTCTTTTTGCAGTCAGAAGTGTACAAGGCCATATAGGGAGACTAATGGCATTAGCCACCTTGTACCTCAGATCAATCGATGACATTCCTCTTGATATTGCCGTGTGAAACTGAATTCTTCCAGCCTCTGCTTCATTTAGGTCATCAAATTGAGAAACACTTGTGTACGTAAACCACAACTATGAAAGAAAAATGTGGTGATATTTAAACAAACAAAGTAAAGATCAAGTGTGTCTCTTGATGTAGCATTAGCTTTTAGTAGATGATATTAAAACCGCAAACACTTACGAATGGGTTTATGTCTATCTCTTGCAAATATTAGACCTGCGAGAACTTTGCTATTGTCTTTGTACAACTCAACATTTCTTGATTCTTTAGCACGTTTATGTAAAAACTCGCCCTTCTGATCACCCACGATAATAGTTTCTGCGGGCATTACATAATCTGCGATGCAAACATATTACATTACACATTGCAACAAAAGAATGAAATGTTTCAATAGATCAATAGATAATCATCTTCTTTGTGCTGTGGAGCTCAATCTCAATTGAGTAATTCCTGATGATGAATTTCTTTACTCTTAATCAAGTAAGCTTGTCACAAAGTAATTATTCGAAAAAATGTATCATAAGGCAGTACACATACCCAATTTTCGAATGATAGGTTCGGTGGCATGAGTATCCTCCTACAAATCCACCAATGCAGCATAGTAAACATTATTATAGGGCTGAATACAATCCACAAATATAGCAAAACTGGTAGCCAAAAAGTATAGTTCACCCCAAAGAGTATAAGACAGGCTGGTGCAGCATGGTCTGAAACCACAGACACAAAATTTCTGATATCCATCACAAATTTGTCTCCAATTGTCGCCTCAGATTCCTGATATCAAAAATACCACTCTATTAATAAAGAAAAGGATTATGATACATGGATAGTCCACTAAACAAGATGTTCACTTGAATTGTAGTTTTTATTCTCTGTGTAACTATGACTTCGTTTCTTTACTTCTTGTAAGCAAACGAAGCAAATTCAAGGAAGACAAGAAGAAAAAAAAATCATAAAGTTCAGGACATTCATTCTGTGAAATATTACCCCAATTGCTTGAGTTACAGGAATAACGTCGACTTTCATTCCTGGCAAGTAGCCAATCGTCAACAGTATAGCAAAACTTGTATCGCCTTGTTTGACCTGTAAACATGATAAGGTGAAAATATGCCAAAAGTTTAGAACAAAAAACAAAACAAAAAAATCAATCACTTCTTGTGGACAAGAAAAAAATCAAACCTCTCCAGCCTTATCATTGCACACTTCTTTTCCCAAGATTCCAGCAACTAGAGAGACAATAATAGGAACCCTTGATCCCACTCTTTTTGTTATCTACAACATGTGAGTTATGAACAACATTAGAAACCAATGAAACGAACTTAAAAAATAGACCTTTAAATATTTTAATTTTGAAAGATGTGGAAAGGAAAGAAGAACCATACCAGTCTCAATATTCCATCCATGTTCCCACATGTAATGTTTGCGATCACAAATTCTGGTCGAATTGGCTCAGACAAAATCTTATCAAGTACTTCTTCTCCACCTCTCTGTTTATCAAAGTAAAATTTGTGTCATCTTTCGGGAAAGAAGACTTACAATACATCAGAAGCGAACATCAACGCACTTTATCCCTCACAATCCTCTTCTATTCCTTTTTATCATTTCCTTTTTCCTTAGCTATGGCAGCTCTAAAACCACCTTTATCACAATCTCTGCTTATCTATTAAATAATTGCTCTCACATATGTTTTACACTTGCAACATTTCCAATAAGCTTGAGAAGAGCTCTAAGATTGACTCTAAGTGCCATGAAGATGAAGAGAAGAACTTATGGTTTCTCAGCTTCCATGATTTCTGGGAAGGAAAATAACTTACAAGTTGATCAGGATTTCTAGAAAAGGCAGAAGTCATTTTGGGGCGAGACAGGATGCGATTGCAGACGATGTTCCAGGATCGGTTCACACAGGAAGCGAAAGCAAACGATTTCGCTGGCAACCTCGAGAGAATTTTATGGAGAAGGTCTTCGTTCATGGAGGCGATGAACACCATATCAGCCATGTCTTTCTTCTTCGATTCCTCGTTTGGCATCTCCTTCTTCTTCTTCTTCGTCTAAGATATTTCCGCCATGGGATGAAAAATTTTGCTGTTTTATTTTGGCGAGTTTATTTGGGCTTTTTGTTTTTTTGAAAAAAACTTTATATTGGGCTTTCAAAAAAACAATTGGGCTTTCAAAAAGCACGCCCAGTATCTTAAAACGAGTATCTTTTAATTTTTGAATCAGTCGAAGTATATATGTGTATTATTCTCTTGCCTATTTTTGGATTAATTGCATAATTTTCACGATTTCGGCTTCCATTTTTTTATATCCAGGTTTAGATTATAGTTTTTGATTCAGATGAAGAACAGAAAGAAATCGACATCACTAGTAAACGCATACCATACATATAAAGTTCTACTTAAGCTAAAATATCTTTAGCAAAAGCAAATTATTTTAGCAAACCATACAACTACATAAGACGAAATATTCATGATACTTAAGCTAAAAATATTTTTAGCAAAAGTAAATTATTTAAGCAAACCATACAACTTATATAAGAAGATGAAACATTCATGATGTCTTATAAGACATGAGTAGATGCACGGTGTTAAAGGCTTGCATATTAAACCTATTCTCTTGGCTCGGCCATTCCTCGTCTTCCAAAACGGGAGAACGTCCAATAGGTTCAAAGCAAAACGTTCCTCCAAATGGTACTTGAGGAAAGTTCTTTAAAAACGGCATGCAATCCGTCATGGAATTTCCAAAATACTTCTCTCCACGGTTCGAGCTACCAAACAAGATCCCTCCAAACACTTTCTCTCTGTTGGCTTGGTTAGCTGAGATTAACTGGCCCAATACTTGACGAGGCGGCGGTTCGGCCAGAGAATTAAACCGGTTGTAAACATTGGTGCTCGAACCCTTTGCAGTTTCCATATCCGAGTGATAAAACATACAAGCATCGCCTGGATTTATACCCGTTCCCGCCACTATAAACATGTTTTGTCGTGTCCTGTTGTTTATATAATATGGTCATAGTTAATTAACCACAAACAAAAAAAAGAAAAAAATCATTTCTATCAGTAAAAACATCTAAATTTACTGAATCGTATGAATATGATGCATATAATTAATATACCCGACAACTTCATGAAACGATGTATATTTTATGGACGGTCCTCCCTCTTGCGGTACGATTTCTTTTATAACACCGACATATAGAAAATAACAATTATCTTCAATCTGCAATATACGATCGTATATCCCATTTAGTAGATTTTATATAGACACTTGCATAAGTTTTTTTTTTTTTTTTTTTTAACAAGAGAACGTAGAGATATTACCAATGCATGAAGAGATGTAAGGAGATTAGAAGCATCAAGAGGGAGTTGTTCGTCTTGTGTTCTAGCGATTAGCCATGAAGATTTGTCCTCGTACTCTAAAACGTCGAGTATCTCTAATTTTGGACCAATTGGGATTATCCCACTTGAAATTCCCACGTGAAATTTGATTTCGACTGCATCACACACATTCTCCAATCAACATATATAGTTTTAAGTTTGTACCCTTTTTTCGAATTTAAATTCTCAGCCAATAACCTTTGTGTGGTAGGATATGTGTACCTTCATTGTTTTGGTTATCTCTCGCGAAAACAAGTGCCACCGCGTCTAGAGTGTATAGATTGGTATCGACATTTAATATTGCAGCATTGGTACAAACGAAAAAATTGTGCACATCACCGATCATAATGGTTTCTCTTGATATTTTTGTATCTACGAAAAAATGAAGAAAAGATTAAATAACGGATTACAAATATGCTTGTTATGTATTATATTTATGTTGCTGATAGGATTATATGTAAATCAATATGCTCACCAATTTCGGCGAGGATAGGTTTGACATTCCTACAATGATCCTAATAAAAATAAAACTACAAAAGTTAGTTTTTTTGTGACAACAGGTTAGTTCCAAATTAATCATGGAAAAATAATTCGAATGGATAGTTAGGGGTTTGGTTAAAACGTATAATCGAAAAAGAGTTTAAAATAAAAAAACCTCACCCCAAATAGCGTTATACCAATCGGATCCCGGTTTGCATCTCCGGAGACCGAAGCCGTAAAATCTCTTACGTCCGAAATAAATTTGTCGACCATTGTCACTTGTGGTTCCTATTGATTGACACAAATAATTCAACATTCAAAGTAAAATAAGTAAATAAGTCTGGTTTTAAATATATCCGATATAAACTCAATCATGTTTTTTTTTATTGATTGACATAAATAATTCAACATTCAAAATAAAGTAAGTAAATAAGTCTGGTTTTAAATATATCCGATATAAACTCAATCATGTTTTTTTTTTAATAAAAAAAACGTACCGATTTGGTACGTAGCATAGGAAAGACATTGAGTTTCAAACCCGGAACAAACCCAATAACCAATGTGATTCCTCGGTACATGTCATCACCTGTATTCGGTGCATCACCTTCATATTCCCAATTCACCTATCAAAATAAATTAACAAAATTTTATTGAGGATTCAATTTAGTTATATATGTTTATAGTCATACAAAAATAAGAATGTTTTGATTTTAATTTACCTCTTCAAGTTCATTAGTAGTCGAATCTACACCGATGATTCCAAGAGCAGCACTCGTAATTAGAAGGGTGTTTGCACCGATTTTGCTTGTAATCTGAATATTAGTTGTATAAGCCAACACTAAAAGCTAATCGATATTTTCTCTTTTGTAACAGTTAAAGGATTAATTGTACATTGATAACTAATTACCCGGTTATGCATCTCTTCGATGGGAAATTGTAAACCGACAAAGGCAATTGCAAAATGTGGCCGAATTGGTTTAGATAAGGCCATTTCAAGGGCTTCATCCACGGCGATCTATGCAAAGCGTTTATAATGTTACAACCTCTAATAATGAAATGAATATTCACACATTATTGATGTAATAGTTATGATTTCTTTTACTTATCCGGTAAAATCTTGATAATATATTTGAATATCAGTGTGGGAGCATTGATTATAAATACAATATATTTATTTTTCTTACTTCAGGAGATTCGGCAACAGAAAGACCGGAAGCAAGACGCGGCCGCGAAAGAATAAGATCGGAAACCCTATTCCAAACATGGTTAACACAAGCGGCAGCTGCAAACGATTTAGCCGGCAATCTTGATATAATATTACCTAAGATATCATCGGATACAACGAAAAAAGTACTCATAACTAAAAAATAATTTTACGATTTAGTCAAGAGTATCAACTGATTTATAGGCGTATCAGAATAGTTTAAATTGACAAAAATTTTAAATTTTATTTTACTAGCCACAAAAAGTGAAATATCTATTTTTAATAATATCATGTGTGCCATTATTTACTTTTACTGCAAGAATAATCCTCCCATTATGCAATTTATAAAACAATTAGTTAAATTATGAAAAAAAAATAATTACCTATTTTAAAATTTACTAACATGATACATATGACTAGGAAATTTGGTTTATAAGTTTTCAATAAGAAAATAATCTATACCTAAAGAATATTCAATGAGAAAATATTCCAACACATTTTTATTAATTTATATTTGAATAGAAGAAGATTTTGGTTGATTTTAAGTGAGATCTACAAACATTAAGTGCATGATTATTTAGAGTATTAAAACATACACCATGTAGACAGCTAAGAATAAATTTACAGCCTTATATTGATGTAAATCAATTTCAAACATAGTAGGAAATCTTAAAGTAAAAATAAATTATAAGCAAAAAAAATGTTATTTTAAGTATGCTGTAATATGCTAAATAAATTTTCAAATTTTCCACAATTTATCTTCCATTTTAGAAAATAACTTATAATTTTTTTTTTAAAGTATTTATATATTGTGAAAGAAATGATATATTTACTACTAACTAAACTTATATAACGCTATAACCACACTAAAAAGGTATTTAAAATTATAGCTTTTTATTTACAAATAGATTTGGTTTTTGTTTTCTTTTTTAAACAACTAAACTTACAAGGTATAGAATCTATGTTTACGATGCTAACTTGTGTTTTAGTAACTAATGCAATTACTCACATTTTGGATCTCTCTATGCCGTTTAGTCTAATGTTCTTTTTTATTACTTTGATTTTTTTTTAAAAAAATTATAATATTTTTATGAAAAAAAATTTTTGATAAAAAGTTATATTCATTTTTCAAAATAAAAGAGTGTATTTACAGTTTTTTAACAAAAATACTTAAAATTTTAATTAAAAGAACCAAAGGAAAATAACGACAGACTTTATTAACAAAAAAGGTCAAAATCTTACTGGCTACTTTCCCATTTCACAATCAGTATATAGACTAATGATTTTGTTTTAAAAAAGACTGCCAGACTATGAATTTCGTGTAAATGTTAAATATGAAATATGAAATATTTAATTTACTCCAACTTAAATCTAATAAAAATGCAAAATATAACACAAATTCGAAGGCCAGTTTTCCAGGAAGGATATAAATGAACATTTAACATGTGTTTTCTCATTCGTGTGAAGCTGTCAAAACAAGATTTGAAACGAAGAAAGTATTTGATTATATAATTTGATGAGATTTGCTTATAGAGTAATAGATACTGTAATCAGTAATCAATAATACCACGTTAAGAATATCTTAATAGGCCATTAAGAAAATATTGATCAAACATCCTACATTCCGGTCTTTTAGTCGGTTATCTACAGCCTACACTGCTCGTATCACTAATTTGTTAATTGGAACTTATTCGGACATCTTTGACAAAACAAAAGAAACGAAGAAACCCACAAAAACTGAGATAAGAAATCTTATCTTTAATATGTCACACTGTACTTGTTTTGGATGCAGACACAAAGTATCTTTGGTTTTGTTCATTATCTTTAAGTTTTCTTTTCCTTTTCCTGAAAAAACGAAGAATCTTTTTTCCAATCTCAACATTTGTTTCATTAATGCGTTATTGTTTTTTTTTCATTTAATTTGAATTGATTTTTTTTTCTCTAAAAAGGCGTTATGAAAAAGCGATTGCATGACTTTAAATCATGACTGCATGTTGGATGGTAGTATTTCATTGTATTTATCAAACTTCAAATCCGGTGACCTATGTTTACTGTAAGAATATACTTCTCAACTTCAAATTTGGAGTCTGTACTAATGTTTAATCTACGCTGCACACTTTAAAATGTTTGAGACTTATGGTTTACGAGTTGAAAATATAATTTAAGTTTGATAACAGAACTCAAACATCTATACTATACCTTCTGATGTCTAATATTTTTTTTTTTTTTGCTGACTTTAACTAATAGTTAATCGGTGGAATAATTATTTATTAATTAATCTTGATTGAATCTTATTAACTCTACCTATATCATTCAATATTTTTATACCTCTCACAGTTTTCAGTTTTATTTTTACTTTTACTTGGATATGCCGCGGCTAAAAGTTGTTCGAATTGTTGTTTTCATGTTCAAGTTCGATTGAACCAATGCCATTAGATAATTTTTGATGTTTAAGACAACAGAATATTTCAAAACATTCAATAGAAAACAAAACGATCAATAGTTTTTCAGAAATTTTAACATAAAATAAATTTTGGTGATCGATGTTCAACGTTTGTTATGCGATAATTTTTTTTTTCTTTTTTGTAACTTGAATATCATACATTAAAATCATCATGTGATTGTACAGTATTTAGTACAGCGAAACCACATTTTTATTTATTTTTTCGTAAGTTTTTCACCCATATCTACAAGGTCTACATGACTATAAAGTATAGTGATTAAATTCATGCGACTTTGCAACTGGATCCGGTAGATGAATGAATGGAGATTTCTTACCACACAGTACACTTATTTGTTTCTGGTAAAAGGGTATTTTAGGTAATTACAAGGATTTTCACTAAAACGTCTGTTAGACTTGACGCCAACAACTTACGCCGTTAACTTCGAGGTGGGCACAACGCAAGAATGATGTGGAGGAAGAAAAAAACAAGGGCCAACAAAAACGGTCGTTACGTCATTATTATTGCTGACGTGTCTGCGTCAGCTCTTGGATTCGTTTGTCTCTGCTAAAAAGCATTTAATTTTACCAGATCTATCATTTATATCACTGCCATAACAGAGCGACAAAATCTCAAACTATAACAGAGCTTTTTTTTTCGACTGTTAACAGAGCTATTTTATTTCATCAAACCGGATATTGAAAATATTAGCACACCGGTTCCTTATACCAATTGAGGTATTGGTAATATAATTTAGTTTTATTTTCTTTACAACATTTCTCTTAGAAAAATTAAGTTACCACAACAACTCTAGGTAAAGATTCTAAATTATAGAATTTTCAACGAAGAATTTGGAATCAGTTTAGAAAAAACTTCTACAAAATTCGGAGCCTTCTTACAAGTTTATTTTATAAGAAAATTGCATTCCTTTAGAAAACAAAGACATAAAAACTGAATTCTCATTCTATTACCTATCACCTCGAAATTTTGAGATCTCTTGCAGTTTGGATTAACAACAAGGTTATTAAGTCAAAGAATAGTAACTATAGGATAAATTAATAAAATCTGTAGAATAATTTATATACGTAAATTTTCGGTATCACAGTGTTGATGAGCACCAGTTTTTACTTTTTAGCATATAAACATATAAATTTGTCAAAGAGTCAAGTTGTAATTTCACTATTTTATCAACTGTATTAACTACACCATTTGACTTTTCACTATTTCACCGGTACCAATAAGATTTAAAGTTAAAAAAACATACTGTCTATTTCTGTAACTTTTGCTATTTATAGATTTCCGTAATATTTGTTTCAGCAGTTTTTTATGTTAACTTAATTGGTTTGCAACGTATTTAAGTTTTTGTGTACTCTGTGATTTATAAGTGATACTCTAAGATTCATAAGAGGGAGAGGGAAAAAAAAAAAGAGGGAAAAAAAAAAAAAGGGAAAAGAAACGTTGGTAAGATGGATACCCTTTTTAAGTCGAGAAAAGAGAAGAATCCAAGTCGGCAAAAGTCCATGTGTAAGCCTCGGTAATACAAAAATTTGTCTCACAGTGCGATCTAAAGTTCCTGCACCACACGTGTGAAATCCTACCTGGCGCCACGTCAGCATTCAATGCATGGGAGGTGATAATATTATTCTCTCTCGATTACTTCTTGAAAGTCACTACTAGCTCGAATAATCGATCGGGGTATTACTAACTACTCTAGAGATGAACAAATTTTCACGATACAAGTTACATTATATACAATCCATTATGATTGGTTACTGAGCTAGAATTTTGTTTTTAAAAAAATTGAATTGGTTTGGATAAACCGTTTGCGGAAATCTAAATCTGAGAAGAAACACATACTGTGGCACTAAGACGTTTGCGAATAACACAACTCATTCAAAACGCATTTGATTTTAAGTTTGACCAAGGTAACCAATTAACTATCATCGCTCACTTTTATATAACGGATGTTCACTTAAGTAGCTAAACCCTAATTAAAACTAACTACAATAAGTATACAGAATCTTTCTGTATACTTATATAAAAAATAATTATATAAAAAATAAAAATAAAAATGTGTACTTAAGTTGAGGTAAATAATCAATTCGACAACGTGATCTAGGTTATAATAGAACCCGAAAGATAATAATGAAAAAAAAGAATGCAGAGACAGACTAAGCTATGATATATAAATATGTATGTTAAATTTAATGGAAACATATAGGAGTTCTAATCAGTGTGTAGTATATGGATTACGGGTAAATATCTGCAATTAATTATGTCACCATTGTTCTTCCTTTTGTAGAGTGATTTTTATAACACAACTTCATTGGGTACTTAAGATTTAGCCAAAGTCAGAGCCCAGAGGTATTAGTTGTTATCACGAATGCGATGTTTGCTCACTTCACATGTTAACAACATGCATTTGATTCCACTAGTATATAAGATTGTATATTTAGAATTTTGAAGGGGTAATGCTCTCTTCTCTCTGCCGTCACTCGAACTCCTAGGGTGGAGCCTAGCCCACAAATCTTATAAGCTACAGGATCATGCGGAATTAGAGTGTTCTGGAGATTGAAAGAGAGTCACTGTTGTTTTTCTTTGCAATACAAGATAGATCATAGATGTATCATGTATTTTGTTAAGGAAAACAAATAGATGTATTAAGTATGGTACATTTGTTCTTTATCATTTTTTTATACATATTGGTCTGGTCTTTATTTTACCTCTAATCCATAGCCATACGAAGATATAACTTTCAAATGAAACATCAAAAGTAATTTTCACCCACTGTTTCGAAACATCTATGACTGAAAATACATTAAAACCTGCACGGATATTTTCAATTAAGAACTTTCTCAATGTTCGTTATATTTTAAACGAGATAAAATTTTGAATTTATTTCAAAATAAATTAAATCGGTTTCCACAATGGTAACGTTTAATTATACTAGTAGATTTCTAAAATGTTGACTGAATACAACCCCATAGTTTAATAAATAATAAATCACCAACCAAAAATGATGAGTTTTATTTAAATTTTAAAAGATATGTAGAAAGTAAAATAGATGATTGGACAATCCATAAACTGTCAATCTCGAGAATTAGAATTGCGTTTTGACAGTTTTATCTATATGAAGAGAAACGCATATTGCGTGAGTACTAATTAGGTGTATTTTGACTGATAAACAATTGAATAAAAATATTAAATTAGGCATCCAAATAATAAATCAGTTAAATTATATTAGATTCACGTATAAGTCATGTTTAAAGGGCAAAAACAAAATAATTTACAGTTCTTTACAGATCTTGAGGTCCACAGTTCCACCTTCGTACCAACACCCAAGTGGTTCTTTAGAAAGAGAGAGAAAGAGAGAGCGTGAGAGAGAGATTTATAAGCTTCTCTTTGGGTTACAACTTTTTTTTGTGAACATAGAAACACTCAAAACTTTAAAAAATGGGAGAGGTTCAAGAAAATCCCAAACTCTAATATCAGCTTTTCAATCTCCATGAATATATAATAATAATAATTTTATTCTAACTTTTTTTTTGGGTCTCAGGAGGAGAAGAAACCAGAAGCAGCAGAGGAGAAGAAAATGGAGGAGAAGAAACCAGAAGCAGTAGAGGAGAAGAAAGGAGAAGAAAAGAAAGCGGAGGCTGATGAGAAAAAAGGAGAAGATTCTGAAAAGAAAACTCAAGAAGGAGAATCGACTAAAGACTCCAAAGAAGATTCTCCTCCGGCGGCGGCGCCGGAGGCTCCAGAACCACCTCCTCCGCCGCAAGAAATCGTCCTTAAGGTTTACATGCACTGTGAAGGCTGTGCTAGAAAAGTCCGCCGTTGCCTCAAAGGCTTCGAAGGTATGTATGTATAAAATACAGATATATGTAGAAAATACATATTATTTCTATGTAATTTGCAATAACATCTACATGTATTTTTTTCTTAAAAAATATACATTTTAGTATTTCGTAGAATAGTTTCACAAAACCCAAACATTTGCCGTTTGCTTTTACAACGAACAAAAACACTGCTTAAGATGATTAATGTTGTGGGATTTTTTTTTTTTCAAACTAATGTTTTGCGTTTCATTTGAAGAATACAAATAAAACAAAATATTGTATATATTTGTTTTTTAACAAATCACATACTCAACAAAGCATGAGTTGATCTTTAGCAAAAAAAGAAGAAGCAATACATCTTATTTCTGTCAACTACAGTTTTTGGTTAATCTCGTATATAGTTAATAATCGTTATACATTTTGTCTGTAGGACCACAGAAAGTTTGGGTTATGCTTTTAGTTATAATAAATAATAAAACACTCAAAAGGAGAATCTGTTTTGGGTAAACATGGTAAGCTCATGATACAACTATATAAAATATGAATTAAATTTTGGTTTAATTTATTAATTAGGAGTGGAAGATGTGATGACTGATTGTAAAACGGGGAAAGTGGTGGTGAAGGGAGAGAAAGCCGACCCATTGAAAGTATTGGCCAGAGTTCAGAGGAAGACCCACCGTCAAGTTGTGCTTGTTTCTCCGATTCCTCCGCCATCTCCGCCGCAGGAGAAGAAAGCAGAGGAGGAAAAGCCTAAAGCAGAAGAAAAGAAAGTGGAGGTAAGATTTCTTTATTGTATTTTTTGTTTGTTTATAAATTTGTATGAAAGAAAGAGGAGGTAATTTTTTGGGGGTTGCTTTTCTGGGGGATAATGAAATGAATATTCAATTTTTTAAGGGTAATGTTAAATAATTATTACTGAGTTAAAAGGGGAATATTCTCTCTTCGCAGCGATTTCACATGGGGGTGTGTTGGTAGGATTGGTATATTTTTTATTTGATATGGTTTCATGATATAAATTATTTAATTCTTTATTTTATGTATATGGAATTTGGGTTAAGTAGTCGTTTTGTTAAATTTTCGCAGCCTCCTGTAGTGGTTACGGTGGTCCTCAAGGTTCACATGCACTGCGAAGCCTGTGCGACGGAGATCAAGAAACGGATCATGAGAATGAAAGGTTTGATTATTTATTTACTTTTACAATTCCCTTGTCAAGTATATGTATATAATCTCATAGTATCAATTAAGATAAATATTGGACTTTCTCATATAACCATTCATATCGCATTAAGTGTAGCCTATTTTGCCAAAGTTTTAAGACCTTAGGTTTTCTCTGCGGAGAGCAACAGTTCAGACTTTTTGAGGAAATTTACTGATAAGTGATACGTAAATGTAATCATTAAAATGAAAGAAAAAATTAAAGTTTCTTTGGATTCTAGTTTTTTTTTTGGGTTTGTCTATCCAATTTATTATCGGTAGATAAAACGTTTCAGTATATTGCCAAACCATCCACTTGTTTAGTACTTCTTGTCACCAACTTTATATTATGTTTCGTTAGTTCTTTAGTTGTATCAAATTTGGTCCATACAATTCAAATCAAGATGATATTGCTTCAACTTAAAAACACATACACACGTGTTAATTTTCTATTCATAATTATTTTATTTATTGAAAGCATATATGTAACGTATCATATGATTTTGTTCCAATTCATTTTATAGTTTAATTTTTAATTTTCTTATCCGTTTTTTATTTGAAAAACAAATAACTTTCAGGAGTGGAATCTGCTGAATCCGATTTAAAGGGTTCTCAAGTGACGGTGAAAGGAGTGTTTGAACCGCAAAGGCTAGTAGAATACGTTTATAAGAGGACTGGCAAACACGCTGCGATTATGAAAATTGACCCACCGCCTCCACCGCCACCGGAAGAGGGGGCGGTTGCGGCGGCGGAAACAGAGAAGAAGGAAGAAGAAAAAGGAGAAAATGGCGGAGGAGAATCCAAAGGCGAGGAAGGGAAGGATGAGAAGGCAAAGACGGATGAAGAAAAGAAAGAAGGGGAAGGTGAAGCGGCGGAGAATGGCGGAGGAGGAGGAGGCGGTGGCGGTGGAGAGGAAGATGGAAAAGTTGTGGAGGTGAGAAAAATAGAGAATCCTTATTACTACTATTATTACCAACCGCCGCGTGTGGCCATTCCACCTATGGAAATGCCGCCGCATGCTTATCCGCCTCAAATATTCAGCGACGAGAATCCAAACGCATGTACCGTAATGTAACAACGAAAACCGCAAACGCTATAGGGTATAATGGGGAATATTTTGAACAATTTTTGATCAAGTGGATACATGCGGCCTTTGCTGTCTCTCTTTGCATGTGGTTTTCTTTTCTTGCGTTTGTGCAGCTTTTTTTTTTAAGTGTAATTTACATTAAAAACTCGGCAATTACGAATTTTTAATGGATATAATCATATAAGCAATAAACAAATAATTGTAACTAAAATAGTTTATATTATAATTACTTAAGTAGACAGTACATAAAGTTAATCTTCATACAAAAAAGTAGAAATCAATCTCAACGAGGCTAGATAGAGTATAATTTTTTTCCCCTGACTTGCACCAAACTGGAAGTAGTTTTTTGTTGTTAAACATATTTACAAGTAATTTTAAGTGTTAGTTACTAAAAAGTTCGCTAACTTCCTTCTATACTAGTTGGAGTGTTTGTTACAACACTATTCCACTCCGATTGCAAAAACTTGTGGAAGAACAGTAAAGTGCATATTTATAGTCCCTTTTTTCATTGATGTTATAAATAACCTTAATAGTATCACCTACTATAAACCTTTTTTAAAACTTATCTCCATAAAAAGAAGAACCTTGTTGAGAGTTTATCGTTGAATTATTATTAGTTAGGTGAAACACTATTTTCTTGCCTCTACAAAAAAGGATGGTCCATTTATTGTACGAATAAAGTTAATGAAAATGCTGCCTTATCTTAAAATGGCCAATGGTGTTTTGTCAATTGTCCCATGATTATTTATTTTCTTTATGTTAAAATTTTATGATTATTTCTTCTGAATTAAACTTGTGGCCATCATGTGTTGTTAGAACTTAAATGGTGGCACGTAGTATCAATCAATCATTAAAAAAAAACTAATTAAGAATCCTAAGTTTTATTTTTCTTTTTGAGATAACAGCACTTCTAATCGAAAAAATAAATTTCCCCCATATGAAAAATAAAACCCCCCTTACAATTTGCGATGAATTTTGGTGACCCAAATTATGATTTTTTGTTATAATGTGGATGTCTAGTAGTTTAGTTCTTAAATTATGGATAGTAGGAGTATTCATAGATATATCAGAGTTATAAATATTTTTTTGTTATATTCAATCTCTTCAACAATTTTAATCTCTATTGAATTGCAAATAAATGTCAAACATAATACCTTTTCTTTTTGTGCTAAAAATGTCAGATGGAATAAAAATATTTTTCACATACGAAATGCAAAAGCTATCAGTTCGCCGCGCGTCAATGACACGTGCAAACAGCTGGTGACGTCTTCGCGTCGTAAGCAAAAGAACAAGGAACATTCTATTCTAGTGAAGTAGACTCCAGAAATCCGACGCGCCTCAGAAGCGCGTGGAGCGTGAAGTAAACAGAGCGAGCGGGCCGTGGTGATGTGAACACGTGGACCCCACGTGATGGGTCCGTGCCATCTCTGAGGACGTACAGTTTTATGAATGAGCCCACGTGACCCGCCACCACCTCCTCTAAACCTGTGCTTTCGTACTCCAACTTTTGTCGCTTCTTTTATTCTACGCACCGTTTTTTTTTTTTTTAATTCTATTTAAAATTATATATACTCGATTCCTCTCCGAAACAAACAAAATTTAAAGATAAAATAGTACGTTACTCTTTGCATTTCTTTACTAGAAAAATTAACAATGACAAGAATAAACCTTAGCACATAGAAAAAAAGAATAAACCTATCCATTTTTGTTGCTGTCGAGTAAATTACCCTTTCTGTGAGAAACTATTAGGAAATTACTTTTAAGGAAAACGGTAAAAATATATACAAGGATTAACCTTGAGCAAAAAAGTTATTATCTAGTGTCGGTAGCTCTTTTGATTTTCTATTTATCATTTTTTTTAGGAAGATATACTATCAAGCTGGTTTTTTATAAATTTAAATTTATTTTAAAGTGTAAGGAATAGACATCAAATCAAAACGTTTTGATTAAACATAAAAATACTTATACTGTTTCACAAAGAATATTATTTTCACATTTCAAAAAAATACTTATAAATATATCGACTGATCTTAATCATCTTCTTTCTCTTTTTTTTTCAATTTTTTTAAAAACTACTAATACAACTTTATAGTTTTAAATCACTTATTTTTTTTATGTTTGAATCATTAGTGATTTTTTTGTCTATCTAGGGAGAAGAAACTATTTTCAGATTTATCTATTATTTTGAGAAATTAAATGTTTTAGTTATCTAATTATCTTCCGAGTATTTAAAATCGCATTCAACTAAGATTTTCCTTCTTTAGCAAAAACTTACACTAGCATTTCACTTATTAGAGAAATAATTTGTAAATTTTTTTGGTTTCTACTTGATGATGATGTGTAATAGATAAAATCCTACTAATAGAAAAGTAGAGAACAGGGTAAAATAGGTGGATGGGTTATAGCATTGATTAATTTCGTTGGTCTTTTTTCTTCTTTCTGTTACCTTTGGGACCATACCTTCAACTATGTCGAAATCATGTTGCCACGTAGAGACATACATATACGTTACAACTTACAAGTTACGTGTTATTTTCATTTGGTATATATACGTATACATATATTATATACGTATACATTCATTAATTTATGTATTCGAAACCTAAGCGATTGTAGAGTTATATAACAAACAAGAGAGCATGGCCAGGCAGACTTCGGTTAATTTATTTAAGAACGTTTTTTTTTTTTGGTTTAAAAAACATATTTAAGAACATATGTTGCACTACAAATAATAATTCCCTTAATAAAATCGATATATCTTTCTTTAAAAAATCGCTAGGTACAGCAGCATACTCGACAATTTTTTTTGTCATTTAAACAATAAACAAATTGACAACAATCATTCTCTAAATGTTCGTAGTTTAACAAATTCGAAAACCACATATTGGGGTGATTCATTTAATCGTAGTTCGACTCTGATCGCGTGTCATAATGTGGGATTAATAGGTCTAGTGAACCAATTCGAAAAATTAACCAATTCGAAAAATTAACCAATTCGAAAAATATCCGCATTAGTGGTGTCATATTCATATTTGAGTTTAATTTGGAAAAGTACGTTATTTGATTTTTAAAAATAGTTTTAATCTCCAGTCCAAATTAATGTACAGACCAAAATCAGCGGTTTAGTTTTAGGTAAAGAACGTTAATAACAACGTTGTTATAATATTGAGACACTTGACCGGATCTCATTAAATTAGTTTAGGATTGATTGCGACCGAACCGTGACTGATTTCTAAAAGTGTTGGGACCATCAATAGCTTTTGATTCATTTACCTGAATTTCATAAAACTCTAAAACTAGTTAATAGATCCATCCCTATTATACCAATTATTTGTCTCAATTATTTTTCGACTTTAACATTTTTGGCGCCTACTGCCAAGCAATATATTCTCCTTTTGTTATATTATACATACACCATTCTTTCTTCAATTTATCCTCATTTATTTAGACCACGATTTATTTATGATTAATTTCATTTTTTACCACTATATTGAGTGAACAAATGTTTATCGAATGAGAATTCGACTCACGAACTATAACAACAATTTTGATTAGGTGATAATTGATAAGCCAACCTTTAGATCTTGACATATGTCTGACATATTCGAGATGCATAACTAAAAATCTATAGATGAAAAAAGAAAAAATAAATAAAAGAGTAGAGACGTACGGGAAATGTTACTGCAATATTTTTGTTGAAGTCCACTCACTTACCGGATCATAGATTTAATACGTGTAGATAGATTAAGTTTTTGATGGTTTAATATATAATTTGGTCTCTTTTGTTCCTTTTCAATTGAAAATAATTTGGTTTCTTATACACCAACGTATTGATTGTTGTGAACTTTTATGTATTTAGTAAGTAAAACAATTTGTTCATAGCAAACTGATTTATATTTCGTAGACGTAATCGTGAATATAAAATAAATTCTCCTTTTTCGATTGCATTTTGACGTTTTACAAACTACAAATGAAATTAGATTATTACAGTAAAAATTATGGTAAGGTTTAAAGATAAACGCATTATAATATAACATGCAAACTTAAAACAAACAAAAAAGAATGTAGGTCCATAATAAAGATAAACAGAAGATGATGGTACTACAACTGTGTTGTTAAAGTCCACTCAGTTAACGAGTTCTATATGTGAAACACATTAAAGAAGAAATGTAGGTCTGTGACATAAGAAAACAAAGCAAATAAGATGTATCTGCCGAAAGAATAACATGGTACTAACATGATTTTGAAATTTATCAAGAATTTTGTTGAGATTTAGACATGAGCCAAATCTTTTGAACAATCATTTAACAAAATACTTTTAAATTAAAGAAAGTTTAACTTTTCTTGCAAAATAATTTTTTGATAAGAACAAACGAAAAAAATAAAGGTCTTTAAATCCCATCACTTAGTGGGGGTAAAGGCAAAGAAACTGAGATGGATGGTTGAAGATTACTTATTATTTTGTGTGCTACGATGTAGCATTATACCTAGATGGCTAATTTCGTTAATATTTTTGAGTCATTTCCGATCGTTTCTTTTAGGTCTAATGGACTTAATGGTCCATATTTAAATCGCTTTATACTCGATGTAACCTGACTTTGGAAAAAAAAAACAATCTTCAAAGATTCGAAATCGGATGTTCCGAAAATGATTTAACGCATAACTGATTAGCCGAGGTTTTTCCCCCCGTTTTATTGATTTTATATTCAATCAACAGATAAATTAAGATTTGATAAACATATTTGTTTTAGTAGATTTCATCCTATTTTTAGTGAGATGTAAAAAAAGGAGAAGAAGAAACTAATAAAGGACTTTGCTGTATCTTGAAAGGAAAATACCGAGAAAAGATTACGTTACTGTGTGTTTCCCCTAAACAAGACTCAAGTAAAATTCCGACAACCAAAAAAGAAGAAGAAAAGACTCGACACTCGAGTCAAATAAAACTTATCAAATCCCATTCTTGTTTTTTACCCATAATGGACACTCGTTATATCTTATATGAGTCATAAAATCAACGGACAAAAGATGAATAGAACTGGAGATTAAATCTGCAGACCAAAAAGAAAAATAAAAACTGGAAAGCTCACAAATTTTTTTATCACAATTGGCGATAACTGAGACGAGATGTTTGTTTATCCAATAGTTTTTAGAGTCTAAATAAACATTCAGAACGTAAGATATACCATTTTTATTTCTTAAACAAATCACATGGTACAAAAGCTTTCTTTTCAAGAATTCAAAAATTTTGCTATAAAGAATTAACGATAGTAGCAAAATTTTGGCGGATTCACTTCGTTACAAGAATACAAGATTTACCAAAAGCTAATAGACTCATAACAATCTGCCATATATAACCCATGTGATATCCTCTAAATCTATATAATTTTCTCATATAAATACTCCTAATCTACTAGTTATTTTTAAAGGTTACTAGCTAAAAATAAAAGAATTGAAAATACCGTACTTCATACTTAGTTATAAAACCCGGTCTAGTTAAACCAGGAGGTAGTACCTAAGCAGATAAAGATGAAGTGAAGTCACTAAAAGCTTCATTTGACTACTGGATCAAGGGGATAAAACAACAACTGGAGCTATGCGTGAGGATGCTGTTGCAGAAGATTTGATTCTTCCAAAGAGTAACCGAGCATCGGTTGATGAACATCCCTGATTCATTTCAATAGCTACTGGATATTGGGACGATCTGTTCATTTCTACCACCATTATTCCCTGCAGCAACATAAAAAATCGAAAATTTGGACCCCGAAAATTAGTCTGGTTTGTGTCTGCGTGGGTTTTCTCATTCAGTCCTAAGCCACAGTTTCTATATTACACTTCTGTTTGAAAGCAAAATTTGTTCATGTATCTGATCATCGATGACTTTCAACTATAACCACTGGGTACGAAGAAGGTCTACATCAGGTTTACCTCGAAGTCAGCTAGAAACAACTGGAAGCGTTTTAGTTTCTCCTTCATCATGGCATTTACTGTTGTTGATGTTGAAGAGTAAAGAGCATCTGTGACCTCCATGGATGAATGACCTATCCGTTTTTGTACAACCTGCAGAGGGAATAACACGGACCTGATGATGGGCGATCTTCATTCTAACACGACAAAAAGATTTGAGATATGAGAGATGAGACTCACGTCGTTATGGAGCAAGATCTCACAGATGAGACTACCATCATCGACGTAGCATACAAGTTCAAATGTAGGCTGGTGCTTGAACTGGAATTTCTTCACTCCTGTTAGAAAGCACTGCAAAAATATGGATACTTAAGTTTCAAAGACTGTAACCCGCATCGATTGAAGACTGAGTTTTTTTTTTTTAATAAGTGGTGTTAGTACCTTGATCCTTCCTTGAACAAAATGCATGGTATCTTTCATTACTGCCCACTTTTGAGACAACTCGGCCAAGTAAGTGAAAGGCGTCTCCGTATCTGTAGACATGACAGAAGGGATTTCCATATCGACAACCATATTACTGACTTTATCATCTGCTACTGCGCCTGAACCAGAACCATATACAGGATCCGTCGTATCCCTTGCACGACCGTTGTCGATATGCATTTCTCCAACAAATGAAGCCACATTAGATGTTTGTTGATCCAAGGTATTTTCGCTACCGTTGTTGTAAAGAGGTCTTCTACCACTACATCTAGTACCAGCAGAGGATGATGTCATGGGAATGTTACTAGAAGTCGAGTGTAAATCAGAAAACGCTCTTTCCCCGTGCGCAGAAGCCGTATCAATCTGCATATGCTCAACCCTCGGAACAGTAGCTTCTACATTGATGGAAGCAGGAGGGTCATTCATCGTCTGCGGCGGACTGATATGAGTCCTCGTTACATTCAGGGAAATGCCTGCCATACGTGTTTTGGTTAAAAAGAGTTGATAGCCAGTTAGCCACGAATAATCTCAAAAGAAAGTTGTTTTCTCATGTTAATGAAAGTTCTTAATACCTCTGATATAGTTAAGTGAGGAAATATCAGAGTAAACACAGAAAGACTCTGATTCGGCTCTAGTATGTAACGTTTTACGGTATAAACAAGAAGAAGGAGACATGTATGTTTTTTTCTGAGCTAGAAGCTATATGTACAAAAATCCCTACCTTGACCGTTGGCCTGAACGTGACTAGCATTTCCCGAGGTAGAAGTATTTACTTGATTACCAGTATCATTGTCATTCAGCGACCATGCAGCTAGAGTTGCTCTGGTTGCCAATGAAGGAACCACTCCGTTCCTTGTTCTGAAAAAGTTAAAATCCAATAAGAACTTTGACAAGAAGGGTAAAATTTACAACTGCAATTAGAGTAAGCACATAGAAAAGATGATTGGCGGTGAATATAAAATGTGTTAACAGAAAACCATGCATAATCTTTCCAATCCAAATATTAGCCTGCAGGCAGAGTTTTGCAAATGCCAAATTCACTTAAGTGGTGAATCACAAATTTTTTCCTAACCAGTTACTCTTCTCAAAACTAAATAAGCCAAAGCCCAAAGCCAATGATATCGGTGAAACACTTAAAGCAAATTATAGTTCCAACTAAAGAGGCAGCACGACACAACTTCTTAATATGAAGTAAGCAGGAGAAACATAAGCTGGAGAAATACCAAGTTCTAAACAAAGTAAACCATTCTGAATAAATCGACCTTTTTCCTCTTGGAGGTTTATTTACTTCAACAACCAGACGCTTCCGTGCTTCTTCCAGTTCTTCAACCATCCCTCCTATAACTTCTATAATCTCAGGTACTAGCATTAAAAGCCCATGTCGAACTTGTACACTAGATACAACAATCTGCATTTAACTGTCCTTGTCAGCGCTTATACTAAGAATACAGACGTGTATCCACAGATAGAATTCTCAACCAATAAGTTGAGTTGGGAACAAATTTAGGTGATAGCAAACGCACAAAAGCATGGATTAAAAAAGCACAACTAGTGAATTATCCTAAAGACTATACAAATTCCCTTAGAGGCAGATCTCAGATTTTAGTTTCTCAACCCAAAAAGAAACACACACCTTCAAACCAGCAGGAGCCAAGACTTGGAGATCTTTAATAGGTCTGTATTCCATGCCAAAAACGCGTTGAACACCGTCTGTCATGGACAGCTTAAGGCACCTCTTAAGTCCTGCATTAGCGTTTTCATACCTTCCTTTAAGTGGGCACCCGATGTTAACAATCTCATCAACCTGAAGTAGAAGAATTAAGCACAAGGTTCAGTCAATATCACACTTTGTGCATTCGAACAAAAAAGGGAAGTACCAAACAAGCAGATAACCTGCAGAGCAAACGGACCAGCGAGTTCTACAAGATTCATAGACGCAACATTCCGAGGAAGAACCCCACCTCCGCATAGATTCATGTCGGAAAACAGAAACTGCTCGAAGCAATGCTTAGCTTTTGCTGCCACTTCGAGGCGGGAAAATTGTGGAACGGAAACTTCAAGTCCAGCAAGACAAGAGACCCACCAATCCGACTTCATTTTAATCCCCATTCGAGAAAGAACCCCAGCGATCGGCGAGTCGTTGTCAACTTCGGCTTCTGACTCCGACGGATCAATCGGGAACGGAGTAGGAATACTATAATCCGGCGGTGTAGGAGTCGGATTACCAGAGACGTAGAAAATCTCAACTTCCGGTACCGTGATTGGCTCGCCGGGATTAGGGTTAGAAGTTGACGCCGCTGCTGAGGTTTCCGGTTGCACAGAAGTAGGAAGACCAACGATCTGAGCAGAATCACCGATTCCGATTGATCCAATTTCATCGTCTTCTTCTTCACTGGAGCAGTATTGGAGCCTCAGTCGCCGTCTAGGCATTTCGCCGGCGAAAGTTAGGGGTTTTTTTTCCCTCCAAAATCGATTTTCTAATAAAACCTTTTTGCTTTTTTGAAAACAAAATCTTTTTTTTTTTATCAGAATTAGGAACATAAATAGGCCCATTAAGAAGAGGAACTGGGCCCATAATAATGTTGGGTCGGCTTTGGTGTATATATGTGTAGGAGGTGTCTATATATTGGGGTAGTTTTGCCGCGAGCTGATTTTAGTGAAATTTTTGGTGACGAGAGATCCCGCCTTTGTATTCCAATTTTTGGCACCAGAAATTTTGAAATCCCCAAATTTGGTTTTTGTTTCTCCTCTTAATCGTTAGTTTTCTTGATTTAGGGTTTTCGAGTTTCTCGCGAAAACTTGTGAGATCTGTGGAGGTTTTCATGGCGACCGAAACCCTAGAAGAGAAGAGATCGGAAGTGGAATCACCGGCGAAGGAGGAAGTTGGTGTTGGTGATGCCCCGAAGGAGAAGGAGATAGAGAAAGAAGAAACGGATTCGCCCATAAATGACGGTGGGGAGAAGAAGAAAGAGGTAGAAGAGGATGAAGCGAAAGATGGAGAATTGGAGGAGAAAGATGAAGACGAGGGTAAAGAAAGTGCAGAAGAAAAAGAGAACGAGGAGAAAGATGAAGAAGAGGGTAAAGAAAGTGCCGAGGAAAAGGAAGAAGAAGAAGGAATTGGCAGTAAGAAATCGTCGGAGAAGGAGACTCCGACTAGTGATAGGCCTACGAGGGAGAGAAAGAAGGTTGAGCGATTCTCGTTGTCTACTCCTATGCGGTCTACACCGAGCAAGTCCGTTTCAATTGAAAAGGTATCCTGGCTGGAATCTTTGGCCGTCTTTCGTGTTTGTGTTTGTGAGAATTGGGTTGATTTATTTTTATATGATGTTTAACTAGTTCTTGTTTCTGTGTAATTTCTCAGGGTAGTGGAACACCGCTCAGGGAAATTCCAAATGGTACGTATGTGCATCACCTCTATCTATTTGTGTTTCTTGTGAATTATGGTCATACTTGCTGGTTTGAGACATCTTTTAGATTTAGTTGAAGATATCGTTTTTGCATTGGTATGATAATAAATAGAACCATTTTATTAGACACAGTCCTGAAAAGAACAAACACATTTGAAAAGCTTGGGCTTTTGGTTTACATGGATTTTATTACTTCCACAAATTGGATGCTGATAGTCTGACTTTCTGGTGGAATATTTCATCTGGTAGCTATCACAATTAACTACTGTCTGCGATTTGGTTTTAGTTCAGTAGATTTCAATTCGGTTTTATCTTTGATAGCTAACTGTGCTGTAGAGAAATGCTTTGGTGGGAAGATGATAAACTGTTCTATCTTTCTTTCGTTCTCTTGTACGGTTATCAAACTTGAGAGTGGAAAATTTAGTTCTTTTGCCAGAGTCTTGTTTACATTTATTCACCGTTTGAAATATGTGTAATAATTTGGCTCTTTCAGTGGCTTATAAACTATCCAAGAGAAAAGCTGACGACAACCTGATGTTACTACACACCATTCTTTACGGGAAGAAAGCAAAGGTTTATTATAAGTTTGATCACATTTTGCCATGTTATAGCTATCTTTCCCTTTCAAGCTTGTGTCTCTTTTCATGTGATATAGATGCTGTCTTGGAATTGTAATTGTTTCTTTGTCTACTTAAAGATATTTGTGGAAATCGTTCTGCAGGGACAGATGGTTAAGAAAAACATTGGTCAATTTTCTGGCTTTGTATGGTCAGAGAAAGAGGTAACCATTTTGTTTCTGTTTTGTTATGGGATTGAGTATTCTGGTTTTGCCTCGTGTTGAGACTTGCATCCAAATGTTTTCTAGGAGGAGAAGCAAAGAGGACGAGCAAAGGAGAAGCTTGACAAATGCACAAAAGAAAAATTAATCTTTTTTTGTGATGTGCTTGATATACCTATAAACAGAAGTAACATTAAAAAAGTAAGTGATTAGAAGATGTGAACTATCTATTTACTGTATCTTGTTCTATATTCTAAGAATCTCCTTTGTCCTGATACTCTCAGGAAGAACTAGCTGTCAAAGTGCTTGAATTTCTGGAATCTCCCAAGGCATCAAGAGATGTTATACTTGCTGATCGAGAAAAGGTACTTGTTTGATTAAGTACATTAATTTTTCTTTTTGGGGAGTCGATGATTCAGTACATTATTGTTTTACATGTTTATCGTCAGTATTGGAGCATTGAATTTTTTTTTTCCTTTGTTTTGTAATTATATATGTTAGCAAGCCAAGAAGCGCAAGAGCACACAAAAAAGGGGGAAATCTGGAGAATCATCAGACACCCCAGCCAAGGTTTGTATTTTGTTATAGTACAGTTTATATTCTTTCCATGCTACTGGCTGGTGATTGTTACCCTTAGCTCCTTTTATAGTATTAAATTCTTAATGTGAATGGCTGGCTTATATATTTATAAGCATTAACCATGGATATACTTTTTCATCCGTCTTGCTTGTTTTATTGGCTTTTACAAACATCCCTGGTGTGTGTATGTTTTTTTTACTACACAGAGGAAAAGGCAAACAAAAAAGCGAGATCATCCATCCGAAACAGAAGAAGGCAAGGATGAGGGAGCTTCTGATTCTGAAGGCAATAAAGATACTGATGATGAAGATGATGCTGCAGCAGAAGAAGAAACTGACCATGAGGAGACTGAATCTGAAGATGAGAAAGACAAAGCTGAAGATGAAAAGCCATTTGATAAGAGAAGCTCATCGAAAAAGACTGAAGAGGAGAGCTCAGGGACCAAAGGTAAGGAACAAGCTTCTGCCAAAGGTTCTAAAAAATCTGGTGAAAACTCCTCCAAAAAAGGTGCTAAGTCAACTTCATCCTCAAACAAGAAGCAAAAAGTTGACCACGAGGAGTCTTCTAAAGAGAAAAGCAAGAAACAGTCAAGTAAGCCACGGGCTAAGGGATCTAAAGAGAAAGGTTACATTCTTAGCTGCTTCAAAAGCTTAGCCTTGTTTTAATTTTGTTTCTTAAGAATTATTCTTTCTTTGAAGCTTGTTACTTAACTGTTTTTACCTACTATAATGGATTGGATACAGGAAATGCCACTAAGAAAGGCAAAGCTGAGCCCACCAAAGAACAGATGCTTGCAGTGGTTTCCAAAATTCTGAAGGAAGTAGACTTCAATACGGTGAGCTAGTTCAATTTGCTAAACCGATTGACAATTAATGATGTTATAAAGACCTTGCTTGAAGAAATCTTCTTTTACTCATTGTTTTGTCTTAATAACAGGCAACACTATCAGATATTCTGCAGAAGCTAAGTACGTTATTTGATTTTGCTTTATCTCGTAATCCATGTTTAATTATACTTTTCAAATGTTGAGGAGCTTTTTTTTTTAAAACATTTTCTGTTCGTAATAACATCAGGCGACCATTTCGGTGTTGATCTCTCGCATAGAAAACCAGAGGTGAAAGAAGTTATCACAGATGCTATAAATGATATGACTGATGAAGAAGAAGACGAAGAGGAAAAATCTGAGGCTGGAAGTGACAAGGAGAAGGAAGAAGAAAAAGACAAAGAAGAAGATGATGAAGAGGAACAAGCTGAGGCTGAAAGTGACAAAGTGAAGGAAGAAGAAAAAGTAAAAGAAGAAGAAGAGGGAAAGCAAAAGGATTAAGGTAAGTGATTTGTCTTCTCTCGAGATCTGATGTGAAGAGAAGCAAAAGTGATCAACACCTGTGTTGAATAAGAGCAAGTGATAATTAGAGGATGTTGAATCTATACTGTGTGATCTCTATAGTTTCATCATGTATGTGTAGCTGTTACCTGTTAGGTTTTCTAGTCCTTGTTCTATTTGATACCCTGAACCTGATAGCTGAGTTCAATTTAAGACATCTTCGTAATCCAGGATATTAATATGATTCTGTTTTCCTAATTATGGGCCAAACCAATATTATGGGCCTTATTTCGGCCAAACTTGTTTAAAAGCCATAAAAGAAAATTATTTCTGTATTAAATTTTGGATTTGGTGAGTATATTTAGTTTTTCTTGACGCCAAGTTAATTCAATTATCAATATAGGGCCAGTACAACTAATGCTATTAATATATATAGATCCCGTAGTGGATCCCAAAATATCATGTATCTTTTATTATAAAATGAGATCTTTGTTTATGAAGGGTTAATTTGGTTTATAATTTGGTGCTTAAGAGTCAAGACTAGCAACCAACTCCCAATATTTTAAACTGAAACTAAATCAGCACTATTTTTGATTTGTTAATATAAGGCTCTCTACACTTACATAGACTCATTGCAGATGGCCCCATAATTATATATCAATCAACCACCCTGTTAAATATAATTAATTGTTTCATTGATTTATCTATTAATTTAAAGTATATTTAAATCACATCAACGTATTACTGATAAATTTCTAACATGTTCTTACAAATTATGATTCAGATATTTTAGTTTATATGCAAATCAAAGGATCCAATTGTGCCTATTCTTGACAAGTACAAGGTGTATTTTTACAGAGGTTCCAGAAAAATATAGTATATTTATGGTCGACAGTTTTATATTAATTAGTAAGTGATGAACGTGTAATAATGGTCGATATTTCATATATTGGCCATGATGAAACCATAATTAGAATTCACACTACCTATAGATTTTAAGAAAATAGAATTAAGAATGTCGCGGTGAAACAAAATTAAGCTTATACGAATATTAATTTTGAGGTTTGAGAAAGCAGGATCACATTCAGCCCTTTTTATATGGGATCAGCCCAGTCGGAAATGATCAACAATTTTTTACTTTGTGTTAAACAGTTTAATTAAATGAATGTAATATCAACAAAAAATCCCAGCAATTATTTTGAACCAGGGTTAATAGAGTCAGTTCTATAGACCGATCTAACTCGTCACAACATCCCTAGCTTAGAATATCATATACCTTGGAAAATTATACTTCATTATTAGAGTACATGATAAGTGTCCAGAAAAGAAACATGTGTTCCTTAAGACTCGTCTTGCTCTCTTTTTTATCTTTCTTCTACCATTTGCTGAAAGTTTTACTTGTACCACAATTAATCTCAAACCCTAGCCTCTACTTAACCCCCTGATAAAATCCCCCAAGAAATCAGAGACTTAATTCTCATTTCTCCAAAGATATATATTAAACATCTTTGGTTTTTCTTCACCGACAAAACCCTAAAAATGGCCGACTCTTTCGAGCTCATCGTAAGCAGAAAACAGCCCGTTCTCGTATCTCCAGCCACCGAAACTCCAAAAGGTCTCCATTACCTCTCAAATCTCGATCAAAACATAGCCATCATCGTCAAAACATTCTACTACTTCAAATCAAACTCAAGATCCAACGAGGAATCCGCTGACGTCATCAAGAAGTCACTCTCCGAGGTTCTTGTTCACTACTATCCTGCCGCAGGAAGACTCGTGATCAGTCCAGAAGGAAAGATCGCCGTGAATTGCACCGGAGAAGGAGTCGTGGTGGTGGAAGCTGTGGCTAATTGTGGGATAGAGAAGATCAAGAAGGCTATATCGGAGATTGATCAACCGGAGACTCTTGAAAAGCTAGTCTACGACGTTCCGGGTGCCACGAATATTCTTGAGATTCCACCGGTGGTTGTTCAGGTGAGGGGTTGATCGATCCATTGATAATTTTGTTCGGTTGCTGTTTTGCGTGAGTGAACGAAAATCTATAGAACTAGGGTTTGGTCTGATATTGGTTTCAAAATACTTATATTATATTTTAATACTTATATAGAAGAATTAGATCAACATAGTTTCATTATCTTGCATGGATGAACACTCTAATTAGTCAAAAAATAATAATCAGAAATCGATATTATTTACACACTTATAGATGTATTTGCAAGAACACACCCAAAATGGTTCACTTTTAGAAGACTATTCAGAAATTTTATCTGCAGATACATAGTTCTACAAATATAAATTATAGTTCACTAACATATCTTTTGTAATATTAGTCCCAAGTTAAAATAACATTACTGATAGATGTTCTGTTCTGATATATGATTTTATTTGTTATACACTTTATAGTATACATACAAATTATATTTCTATTATGGTTTTAGCTTTTATAAATAAAAATAAAGAGTATATCACCAAAGAAAATAAAGTAGATGTATATGTTTTGAAAATATATTTGTTGGAATGTTGTTTACATTTTCATAATCTTTCTAGTCCACAATTGTTTTTAATTAAAGTAAAACTTTTTTTTGTGTCACACGCACTTAAATGATACAACGTATGAATTTCTAGGACCTAATTTCTACACTAATTACTTTTAGTTGATCGCTCGCACCCATTTTCTTTTTGCTTGTATACAACTATTTTTTTTATGTTTTGATTAGGTGACAAATTTCAAATGTGGAGGATTCGTGCTAGGCCTAGGCATGAACCACAACATGTTCGATGGTATCGCAGCCATGGAATTCCTCAACTCTTGGGCCGAGACTGCTCGTGGCCTCCCTCTCTCAGTCCCACCTTTCTTGGACCGCACGCTTCTCCGACCCAGGACCCCTCCCAAAATCGATTTCCCACACAACGAGTTTGAGGAAATCGATGACATCTCCGGCACCGGAAAACTCTACTCCGACGAGAAAGTCGTCTACAAATCCTTCCTCTTCGGACCCGAAAAACTCGAGAAGCTCAAGATCATGGCAGAGACAAGATCCACGACTTTTCAAACCCTAACTGGATTTCTATGGAGAGCTCGTTGTCAGGCCTTAGGGCTTAAACCGGATCAACGGATAAAACTTCTCTTTGCTGCAGATGGACGGCCGAGATTCGTTCCGGAACTTCCTAAAGGATATTCGGGAAACGGGATTGTCTTCACTTATTCTGTTACAACGGCTGGTGAAGTGACTCTAAACCCTCTTTCTCATTCGGTGGGTTTGGTCAAAAGAGCCGTTGAAATGGTCAACGACGGTTTCATGAGGTCAGCGATTGATTACTTTGAGGTGACTCGGGCTAGGCCGAGTCTAACTGCGACGCTTCTGATCACGTCGTGGGCAAAACTGTCATTTCATACCAAAGATTTCGGTTGGGGTGAACCGATTGTGTCTGGACCGGTCGGTTTACCTGAGAAGGAAGTGATTCTGTTTTTGCCATGTGGCAGTGACACCAAGAGTATCAATGTGTTGCTTGGACTTCCTGGTTCGGCTATGAAGGTGTTCGAAGGGCTTATGGATATATGAATAGTTTAATTAACAATATACGATTTTATGTATGTGGTTGAATTTATTATATATGATTTAAAAACCAAATAATGTTGATCGATTACGTGTTTGTGGTCGTATATAATATTGCTCGTCGGTGAAGCAAAATGTAACTAAGATCCTAAGATCAAAATTAATAAAACAAGTTATTGTGTTTTTTTTTTTTGGTTAAAGAAGAAAGTAATCGTGTTACTAAACGGTGTTTGTGAAGATCGAAAATAATTAATTTCATCTTTTTAACCTTGTAGTAGATACTTTTCGTATACTCTCTACTCGTATCGTATTATTCATATACAGATGTGTAGATATACATCGAGATTGCAACTTACACCCAACAATATAAATTGCCATATCTAGCGAAAAAGAAACTATTACTACTATTAGTGCCGTGCCTAGACTTATAGAGATCTAAGACAAATTTTAAATCTTTGTAAATTTTTTTTTTCTAAACTTTTGTTTTAATAATTTTATGTATCATTATAAACTAAATTCTATTTTAAAGTAAGAATTTAGTCATTTATTCCATTTTATGTATGTATTAGTATAATAATATAAGTATATAGATGTAAATATATGATATTTTGTTTAAAATCCTAAAATTTAATCATACAATCTATATTTATAATGGATAAAACCACATATAAAAGTTAATTCAATCTACTAATTAAACTACTTGTTACAAAAATATGGCTTTTAATTTTAAAATTTTGTTTGTGGCCTAAGACAAATGCCTTTTTTGAATAAGGGAAGGTACGGCTCTGACTACTATATCAATTGATCGAACAATACTTCTTGATCCTAGTTTAACTGAAATAACTTCATTTTACATGATAGTTAACAATCTCACACTAGAAGTAGATGGACTATTGTTTAAGCTCCTTTGGGTCGGGAACGGCTTGTAGTCCATCTAGAAGGAAAGAGCGTCTTTTCCAAACGGAATTCAGACTAAAGATACCAAGTTAATTAAGTCATTGTTAAAAAAAATAACACTCGACGCTATCTTTTCTCTTAGTTTAATCATTGCATTCACCGACGGGCATATTACAAATAGTAGAGAAAAAAAAAAAACAAAAAAGGAAAACGTGCATAGCTTCGTATAAAAAAACAAAACAAAAAAGGAAAAGGTGCATAGCTTCGTATAATTATATTAGCCATTCAAGCATTGCTTAGCCCAATACTACATCCTTCATCGCCATTTCAACTCGCAAGTCATACTCACATTAATGATGCACACAATACAAAATATTGACGTAATAATATTGAACATTAGAAGAATCTGTCTTTATATTTATGAATGTTCATCAAGCCTAATCCTTCTTCTTCAAAATTATTTTAAATTATAGTTTTTTCTTTCCATAAAACCAATCCGGTATTAACTCAAAACTCACTTTGTCTCGCAAGAAATTGGGATTTGATGGCAAGAAAGGTGATTGATAGAATAATTATTTGTCGTAAGCATATTCCTTTGTGATCAGGGTGAAGAAAAGTTTTCATTATAAAGTTCTTTTTACATAAACTAATCTAAAAATTAATCCAACTAGTACAAGCATTACAGTTTCAAACAAAATATATTGTTGATAGAATAGTTGTTAATCGATATCGTAAGCACTTTCATTTGTGATCTAGGGTTTGAAAATCTTTACTGTTTTCAATAAATATTTTTTTTTTAAAATAAACCAGTCTGAAAAAACAAAGGTTAACGTTCATATTTGAGTTACGACTTATAACTTTTAAACTATACATAGCGAAAAGAAATGGTATCGTTTGAAAAACACTCATATTTGAGTGGATAACTCATATCTAAAATTTTAAAGGGCAATTCTCAAAAATAGCCCAAAAAAAACTAAAACTTCATAAAATAGCCTCTCATTTTAGTTTTGGGCAATTCTCAGAAATAGCCCAAAAAATAAAAGTTCATAAAAATAGTCTCTTATTTTGGTTATTTTTGGGAAAATTCTCAGAAATAGCCCAAAAAGTAAAATTTATAAAAATAACCCCCCATTTTGGTCTTTTTTATGAAGGGCTATTTTTATGAATTTTAATTTTTTGGGGGTTATTTCTGAGAATTGCCCATATTTTTTTCAATATTAGTGTCCATTTATTTCACAAATCAATTCAAATATGGGTATCCATATGCCAGAATTCGGTTTCCGGATCGGATCCACCCGGTTAGGACATATAAAACCGGGTGGCTCGCCATCGCCTTATCTTGTTGACTCTTCTCTCAGAAGCCCACCCACTACGACTATCAACTCTGACCGCGAGAGACAGCGAGTTTCAGAGAGAGAGCAAAGATGTCGGCGACGCTTACGGGATCGGGAACTGCTTTGGGGTTTTCGTGTTCCTCGAAGATCTCCAAGAGAGCTTCTTCTTCGCCGTCTAACCGTTGCTGCATCAAGATGTCTGTTTCCGTCGACGAGAAGAAGAAGAGTTTTACTCTTCAGAAATCCGAGGAAGCTTTCAATGCTGCTAAGGTTGGTGAAATAGAGGACTCGTTTCTTTTTCGTTGGATCGATTCTCTCGGTTTTTGGTGACTGATTGATTGTATTTCGTTTTGATTCTGATTCAAACTTTGGAGAAGATTGTAAAAGTTTATCGTTGAAGATAGTCTCTGATTTTCTCCAGAATGATCAAATCATGAGAATCGCAAGCTTGTCTCTTTCTTTACACAGTCTCCTGAATTTGTCTGAATCGAGTAACCCATTGGAAATTTTGATTAGCCAAGTTCTTCGTGTTACGATCTCTGGAAATGCAGTAGTAATTTGGAACCTTTAGTCGAAATTCTTCATGAAATGATCAGATTTAGGTGCAGAGGACTCAATTCCTTGCTTCTGTTTCTTTTTGTAGCAGATGGTTTAATTAGTTACATGTTACTCCTTTGGCTTGACTTGGCTTTCTAATACATCGTTTTGCGCATAGAAATGTGAGTCATTGATAATAATCCTGACTATTGGCAAAATTGATTTCTCTTCTATGAAGAATCTAATGCCTGGAGGTGTGAATTCCCCTGTTCGGGCATTCAAATCCGTTGGTGGACAACCCGTTTTGATTGATTCCGTCAAAGGCTCAAAGATGTGGGACATTGATGGAAATGAATACATTGACTACGTTGGATCTTGGGGACCAGCTATAATTGGACATGCCGATGATGAGGTTACCACCATTTCTCGTTTCTTTCTTTCTTTCAAAAACAGAGATTTTGATGAGGCTTTAGAATAAAATAAAAAAGAAATCCCATATGATCTAGTGCAGGTTCTTGCGGCTCTAGCTGAGACGATGAAGAAAGGAACAAGCTTTGGTGCTCCTTGTCTCTTAGAGAATGTTCTAGCCGAGATGGTTATATCAGCTGTTCCTAGCATTGAAATGGTTCGGTTTGTTAACTCCGGTACCGAAGCATGTATGGGAGTGCTTCGTCTCGCTCGAGCCTTTACCAACAAAGAAAAGTTCATCAAGTTCGAAGGATGTTATCACGGCCATGCCAACGCCTTCCTAGTCAAAGCTGGAAGCGGTGTAGCCACTCTAGGGCTACCTGACTCTCCTGGTGTCCCTAAAGCAGCTACCTCAGATACTTTAACAGCTCCATACAATGATCTCGAAGCTGTTGCCAAGCTCTTCGAAGCGCATAAAGGCGAGATTTCTGCGGTTATTCTCGAACCTGTTGTTGGTAACTCCGGATTCATCCCTCCTACGCCTGAATTCATCAACGGTTTACGTCAGCTGACGAAAGACAATGGTGCTCTTCTCATCTTCGATGAAGTCATGACTGGCTTTCGTTTAGCTTATGGTGGAGCTCAAGAATACTTTGGAATCACGCCCGACTTGACAACTCTCGGAAAAATCATCGGCGGTGGTCTTCCTGTGGGAGCATACGGTGGAAGAAGAGATATAATGGAGATGGTAAGATTTGTACGTAGTTATAGACTTTAACTAACCTTTAAAGCACTGTTGTTAATAATGTTTCTGTGATTGTGTTTTTCTCATTGCAGGTGGCTCCAGCAGGACCTATGTACCAAGCCGGGACTCTAAGTGGTAATCCGCTGGCGATGACTGCAGGGATTCACACGCTGAAGCGGCTAAAGCAGTCAGGAACATACGAGTATTTAGACAAGATCACCAAGGAACTAACCAATGGAATCTTAGAAGCCGGAAAGAAAACCGGACATCCAATGTGCGGGGGTTACATAAGCGGGATGTTCGGTTTCTTTTTCGCGGAAGGACCGGTCTACAACTTTGCGGACGCGAAGAAGAGCGACACAGAGAAGTTTGGTAGGTTTTTCAGGGGAATGTTGGAAGAAGGTGTTTACTTTGCACCGTCTCAGTTCGAGGCCGGGTTTACGAGCTTGGCTCACACTTCCGAAGATATACAGTTCACGATCTCTGCGGCCGAGAGGGTTCTCGGTAGGATCTAGAGTACTCTAGAACTCAAACCCTTGAGTATCGTCGTTTCACAATCCTCTGTTTTGAGGACGTTGTGTACGTGGGGTTTGGTGATGAACTGATGAAATAATTCTTGTGTAGTGAGGTTTTACTTTTGTTTTCGGTGTTTTTTTTTTTTTTTATCGTAAGGTTGAGATTTTTGTATGATGGAGGAGATCATTCGATTTGTTAATGTAATGGTTTATGTTATGGAACTTAATGAGGAGTTCATCTTTTTCAATGATGATGGGACCATTGAGATTGTAACAAGCAAATCGATAGGACAAATAAATTTAACGGGCTTCTTGTAACAATTGGAAACACGGTAAATATCTGCATCACACATGCGCAAAAAATAAAATGAACACACGATACCACACCAATGAACGACTATGCTCATAAGTTTGTCTCATCTGAAAAAACAAAGAAAAAGAAATCGTATTTCTCTATACTCAAACTCTTGAATTTGGTGTAAATTGAAAGTAATAACTTTTAGTCAAACAAGTGGATCAGACGAACTGCCACGAGGCCCACGAGAAGAAAAAGTTTAAGAATCCATTAATATAACAAAATTGATAGATTCTTTCACGAGTTTAGCTCACAAACGATCGATGTCGACGAGGCTCCCACGTTTAAGTCCATCACCTCTAGGGTATGGGGAGACAGGGAGTACGTGTACCGCAAGGTCAAATGCGATCATGAATTGGTTCGTTGTTGATTGATGACGTGTCTCTTGCTCAACTTGTTGCTATAATTGTCATTTTTAATTAGTAATGCTAAGTTTGGGATAAAAGGTTTTTATGTGCTATTTTGGTCTCGTCTCAAAAATGTGCTATTTTGGTCTCGTAGCAAAAAAATGTGCTATTTTGGTCTCGTAGCAAAATAATAGCCTTGTCTTTAATGGCAACGTTTTTAAAGCAATGGTAAACCCTATCCATTTGAATAATTAATTAATGATCATGTTCCAGTTAATTTCAATTTACAGTCTTGAGTGTAAATATTAATTGTAATGTTTTTATAGCATTTGTTCTGCACATTGATTTTTGCTTCTCTGTTTTTCTGTTACTCACGTAGATCTGAACTCAGATTATAATGGATTTGTGGATTTGAATCGCGTCTGTTCTGCAAATTACAAGTTTGTCTATAATTTGGTGTAAATTGAAAGTAAATAACTTTCAGTCAAACAAGTGGATCAAACGAACTGCCACGATAGGAAAAAGTTTAAGAATCTATTAATATAACAAAATTACACTCATAATTAATGACCAAATTAACCCGTACAAATGAGTGTAACCACTTTTACTTTACAGACAAAATCTGCTTAAATATTATACTTGTAGTATCTAAGTAAATTATGCATAAATAGTTAAATACAACAACTACTTTCTTATGGATAAAAGACATGCAAATTCTGGAAGTCGTCGACGTCAATTATGAGTCGAAATCGAAGAAGGGTAAGTTGCGGACTTTGCGGTAAATGTAGTCCTTGTAGACGATGGGCCTAAACTTGGGAGGATGGTCGTGGCCCGTAAGCTCCGGCAAAGGTCCGATGACCGTATCGGAGGTAGGCCTCACCAGAACCGGCCAAGACATTCTTGTTTTCTCCTTATCCACTGTCGTTTTATGCAACACGTTTTTGTACCTTCCGTTGCTCAGTCTCTGCAAATCCGTTACATTCAATAATATCGTTAGACGTTAGTTAAAACATACATAACACATAATTTAAAATATGTTACAATGGAATTAACGAAAACATACTAGGATCTGATCGCCGATGAGGACTATAACAGCGGATGGTATATAGTCGAGGTCGATCCAGTGACCGTCTTTGAACACTTGAAGTCCGGGAATCTCATTGGTTAGGAGAAGTGTGAGCCCACTAACATCGGTGTGTGGATCCAATCCCTCGATCAAATCGGAAAATGGACACGGAGGATAGTAGTTGATATTCATCATATACTCACCGGAGATAACTTCCTTAATAGCCTCACGCCGTAGCCCTAACCCTTCTGATAACCACTCCATAATCTTCTCTGATAACATCTTCAACTTCCTTGTGTACTCCTCGTTCACTTCCCTAAACCCAAATTCATAATAATAGTTGTTTGTTTTAGAGAAATCCAAGAATTCAACTTTTTCTTAAATACTACGCATGCTAGTTCTTGTCAAAACAAAATCCAAATAATTATTTGATCATACCTGTAGTTTAGAGGATTCTTAGGCCAGTATGTGTAATCGACGGACGAAGGTGGCCAGATATTGTGAAAGAGTTGATCGACCGTACCTTTTCTGCTTTGTAGATCAAACTCGTACCTCCTTGCGTATCCTTGACGTGAGTCGGCTGGTTTAGCCACGGCTTCCTTGTCGGCTTCAGGGAGCTCAAAGAACTGCCTCCCGACATCTTGCAAACGTTGTATGAGCTCCGTGGGGATCACGTGATTGACCACCTGAAAAACTCCCCACTCTTGGCTCGCCTTGACCACCTCACGCGCCACCAGCTCTTGATCGGGGCAGCTTAGGTCAACAACGGGTATGTGTAAAGACGGTACGTCCTGGTCTCTCTCAACCAGCATGTTCACAGAGTAATACTGTACAAGGGGACGTACGTGGGGTTCTTCTACTAACGAAGGGGACATGGGGGTAGTTTCTTTTATATAATAATTAGTGCCTAGTGGGAGTGGTAGGTGGATTAGATTTAGAGGGGCCGGGAAAGATATACAAATTCAACAATTGCGGCAATGCTATAGTTATAATCTTGACTACTCAAAAGATTCGATTCATTCCACGTTTCTTAATTATTAGCTTCCATCTATATTCATACTAGTTATAGTTGTACTATGCATGGGTGGTAATACTATACCCTAGCCATCTTCTCCAAATTAAATCCACCAATCAGAGCAAATACTGTATAAATTTTGATGCGAGAAATAGTTGTAGTCAACAAGATACTTCTATAAACGCAGAACAAACGCGATTTAAATCCGTTATAATCTTTGTTTCAAATCTACGTGATTAATAGAAAAACAGAGAAGCAAAAATCAATATGCAGAACAAATGCTGCTATAAAAACGTTACAGTTAATATATATACACAAGACTGTAAATTGAAAATTAACTGGAACATAAACATTAATTAATTATTCGTTTGTAGATAGGCAATTCTCCAAATTAGCACATTTTAAAACTTTTATTCCAAACCTAGCATGATTAATTAATTATTCGTTTGTAGATAGGCAATTCTCCAAATTAGCACATTTTAAAACTTTTATTCCAAACCTAGCATGATTAATTAATTATTCGTCTGTAGATAGACAATTCTCTAAATTAGCACATTTTAAAACTTTTATTCCAAACTTAGCATGATTAATTAAATTTGACAATTATAGCACCAATTTAATATTAAAATAACCCAAAATCCTTTCCTAAACCCTAAATGGGAAACAGGGAACACACACATAATATTTTGATTTTAGATAAATAAGTATTTTCATATAATTATTTGTAATATTTTTGGAATTTTAAAATTAATGTGCTAGATTGGGTACAAAAGTTAATTTTTGTGCTTCTCACAAGACAATAAGTTGATAATTAACTGAAACGTGAACATTAATTAATTTAAGCGCAGATAGGGTTTACATTAATTATTCATGCAGAACAAATGCTATAAAAACGTTACCATTGAAATTTACACACAAGACTGTAAATTGATAAGTAAGTGAAACATGAACTGATTATTAAAGCAGATATATAGGGTTTATGACTGAGACGCCAATAATCCAATAAAGGAAACAGTTCTTCTCGGCGATCTGTCCTCTGTTTCTGAGTTATGAGAATTGTTTTCAGTCGAGAGGAAGACCGTTCATCTTAAGAAGTTTGTAGTCTCTGTAGAAATGAGGCTTGAATTTGGGAGCATTATCGTCGCCGGAGATGAGCTCCGGCAAAGGTCCGACGACGTGATCAAGGTTTGGTTCCGCAAAAACCGGCCAAGAGATTCTCGTCTTCTCCGTATCCATCGTCGCTCTATGCTCCCCACACTTATACCTCCCATTGCTCATCCTCTGCAAAAATCCACAATTTTCAAAAAACATAAAAAAAAAAGAAACTGATCAGAGTAACGTTTTCAGAGAATTCTCTATACCCTGATTTGGTCAGCGATAATGACGACGATCCCGGAGTCATCATACTCGACGTCGATCCACTTGTTATCCTGGAATGCTTGAAGTCCATGCACCTCATTAGCAATCAAGAACGTGATTGCATTGAGGTCAGTATGATGCGGAGCTCCATAGAGCATGTCGAGATCAGGACACGGTGGATAGAATATGACCTTCATAAGATACTCCACCGTTTCTCCACCGAGACCTTCTTTCAACGCGTCACGACGTAACCCTAACCCTTCTGATAACCAACCCATGATATTCTCCGATAGCTTCTTGATCTGCTTTGCGTACTCCTCATTCACTTCCTTGTAGTCTGGAGAGTTGCTAGGCCAGAACCTGTAGTTGATTCTTGATGGTGGCCAGATCCTGTGGAAGAGATGATCGGCCCATGTTTTTCCTCGGCCTTTTCCATCTTTGTAATCCGTTGTGTATCCTTCTAGGTCTTTGGAGTCAGCTGGTCTTGCTACCACTTCTTTCTCAGTCTCTGGAAGCTCGAAGAACTCTGTGCCAACTTCCTTTAGCCGCCGTATCAGCTCCGTTGGGATCCCGTGATTAACCACCTGAAAAACACCCCATTCTTCACTCGCTTGTACCACCGCACGTGCCACTTCATCTTCGTCGGAGTTACTTAGATCCACGACGGGGATTCCTCCCGGCGCAGGCGCTATGTGTTGTTTTCTCTTCTCCATCTCCATGGTTTCTTTTTTTGTTGTTGTTGCATTCGATCGCAATACTCTCTCTATATATATATACAGTTTAGTGCTTTATATGCTGAATGGAGTGGGTAGGTGCGGGTTTAAGAATGACTGGTTATTGGTCATATAAACTAATACTGTTTTTCTGTTTACATAAAAATTTGTTATCATGTCTTAGTTTCTTTCCTTTTATAAATGACTGGTTATTGGTCATATAAACTAATACTCTTTTTCTTTTTACATAAATTTTGTTATCACGTCTTAGTTTCTTTCTTTTTATAAATGACTGGTTATTGGTCATATAAACTAATATTCTTTTTCTTATTGCATAAATTTTGTTATCACGTTTTAGTTTTTTTCTTTTTATAAATGACTGGTTATTGGTCATATAAACTAATACTCTTTTTACTTTTTACATAAATTTTGTTATCACGTTTTAGTTTCTTTCCTTTCATAAATGACTGGTTATTGGTCATATAAACTAATATTCTTTTTCTTATTGCATAAATTTTGTTATCACGTTTTAGTTTCTTTCTTTTTATAAATGACTGGTTATTGGTTATATAAACTAGTACTCTTTTTATTTTTACATAAATTTTGTTATCACGTTTTAGTTTCTTTCCTTTTATAAATGACTGGCTATTGGTCTTTCCAACTTTCCAAGAATCAAAAACTATTGTAATTAGAGTTGGAGTGGCTGGACTACTTTGGATTTTGTGAAACCTGCTTACCTACTCACTCCATACAAATAATATCATTTTAGCTAGTACCTACTTGTAAGAAAATGGTATCGGGCAAATGAACATCTTCATAATAAAAAGGATAGCCATGTTAGGTACACCAAAACTATAGTAATAAGAGCCACTAGCTCGATTGGAAAATAATTTTTTATATCATTAAGAATACTATTTGTTTTAACTTTTTTAACTAATCAAAAACACCAATTGTTTTAGCTATTTTTGATGATATACACATTTTGAGTTAAAAAATAATATATAAACATTCTCAAACAAAAATTGAACAAGACATTAGCTCAGTTCATCAAGATAAATTTATATTTAACACACGATCGACTTAAAAGGTATTGATTAGTTTAGTCTTAAAACTTAGACAAACCACTTTATAATAAAAAAAGAAATGATGTGGTTAGACTGTTAAGAAGAAAAAGAGTAAAAAAAGGTTAACATGTTAGTTTTTTCCTATAACTTTGTCTTCATATACCAAAATGAAATAAAATGCATTATTTTACTCTGTTCATTATTTGTTTGTCTTCAACACTCTATTTGTCTTCATATACCAAAATGAAATAAAATGGAGAGCGCTAGCCAGAAACAGTGTGTAGGGTACATCTTCCGTTATATTATATACCAGACCCACAAAAAAGCTTCATCAACAAAACATTGAACAAGAGACACATCAACAATCAACAGAAGTCTAGTCGACATCGATCGTTTGTGAGCTTCATGATCAGAAGTCTAATGACCATAATTATTAGTAGACTTCAAGAGAACAAACCCAAGACATCCACTTGAATATGAATTGTAAATAATCGATACATATTTTATTTTGAAATACAAATAAAGCTTTTGCATTTAAAACAAATATAAAAGCATGGTAATAATATATTGATAGTTAAACGAATTTGTTTTTAGGTTTAGCCATCGCGAAGAAGCATATTGATCTTGCGGTAAACGTAGTCGTGAAAAGTCAAAGACTCAAACTTGGGAGGGTTCTCGTCTCCGGTGAGCTCCGACAAAGGTCCGACGACAAAACCACTCCTAGGGTCTACCAAAACCGGCCACGTCATCCTTGTCTTCTCCTTGTCCATGGTTGATCTGTGCAACACGTTCTTGTACCTCCCGTTGCTCATCCTCTGCACAATTACACAAATCTCAACAACAACAAAAAAGGGACAAGAACAAAACATTTAAAAAAAAATCGATAAAAAAACAATCAGACCATGATTTGATCGCCGAGGAGGACAACGACGGCGGAATCGATGCATTCCACGTCGAACCAAGAGTTATCCTTGAAGATTTGAAGGCCAGGAACCTCGTTGGGGAGCAGAAGTGCGAGAGCAGCGAAATCTGTGTGCGCCGGTGCTCCGATGTGGACAGAATCGGACGGTGGATAATAATTGATCCTTATTGTATACTCAGCCCCGCCAAGACCTTCTTTAAGAGCCTCACGCCCTAACCCTAACCCCTTCGACAAACAACTCATTATCGTCTCCGATAGCTTCGTCACTTGCCTTGCGTACTCCTCGTTCACCTCCCTGAAACCATTCATCACTCCCAAATCTGACTCGTTAGTGTTCTTTGACATTTTTAGCGTTCCATGTAAATAGTTGAATAGAGAAATATACATATCGTTGAATGATAAAAACGTTAGGTTTTGGATTGGATCAGGAGGCGGGTACCTGTAATGTGGAGGATTCTTAGGCCAAAAGCTGTAATCGATGCAAGACTGTGGCCAGATTTTGTGAAGCAGATGATCGTTCCAAGACTCTAATCGTTTTAGACTCTTCGCATCGTAACCTTCCAAGCATTCGGAGTCTGGTGGTTTTGCTACGGTTTCTTTCTCTGCTTCCGGGAGATCGAAAAACTGCCTACCCACTTCCCGAAGCCGCCGCATTAAATCGGCCGGAATATTGTGGTTAACCACAAGAAAAGCGCCCCACTCTTCGCTCGCTTTGGCCACCGCACGCACCACGAGCTCGTCCTCTGGATCGCTAAGATCAACGATAGGGATCGTCTCTAACGGTGGAGATTTGTGCAGCTGCTCTCTCTCCACCTCCATGATTCGCCTCTGAATTGTTTACTCTGTTGACTGGCGGGACGGGTTTTAAATAGACGAAACTGACGTGTCACCAATCATGTAATAACCTACCTACTACTAATAATACCGTCGGACAACAATTTTTTTAAAACGATCGACTACTTTATTATTTTTCCCAATGATTAAAAACAAATTTTATCTATAATAACGAAGCCATCTATAACATGAGAAATTATAATCTACGAACGTGACCTAACCCAGAATAAAATAACTAAATGTCATTGTTACCACCTGCTACCAATGCAGCGATCCAACTATTTACAGCTAGGGCGCATGTAAATATTATCTTACCTAAATACCAAAATCTTTATGACAATTTGTTTATTAGTGTGTTTTCTATAAACTTCAATCTTATGTATGTGTGTTATTTAGTCAAATATTTTTGAAACCTAATTATACAGAAATAAACATCTAAAACACAATAAAAAAAAAAAGATAAATTGAATCAATATGTTATTGATATAACAATAAATCTTACTACTTGAAATATGATTTCGAAACTTGATTGTTCTTTTCTAGCTGGATGAATATTAAAAATGTAAAGGCCTCAGTTAGAGACGTCTGGTCTTGTTAGGAGGTGCGTAACCAGACATACCCATTCCGGGATCTTTCCTTCTTAGCTGTTGCTGCTGGTGTGGTTGAGCCATCCCTCGCTGCTGCTGCTGCTGCTGCATCGGAACACTCGGGTTCATCCCTCCCTGAGCCGGGAAGTTATAAGCCATCATGCCTTGAGGTTGCATCCTCTGCATGTTATGTGCAACCATTGGTCTTGGCATCGATCTACTCCCCATTCCATGAGCTCCTGCCATGTTCCCCGCTACGTTTCCTGCTGCTACTGCTTGTGGCGGATTAATGCTCGTCGTGCCTTCGAAATCCGTGTTTGTATCCACAGGACGAGTCGGGTAACTCACATTCTTCTCCATCGGCTGTGAGGCTACAAATGCGTTCCTTCCCGGAAGAGGATCCATCCGGAAATACTCGTGTTCCAGTGCCTGTGAGGCCGTGATCCGTTTCAGAGGATCGTATTCCAGCATTTTGGACAAGAGATCATAAGCAGGGCTTTTCAGGTTTAGGTGAACCACGTTGTGGAGTCCCGCACTGTCGTATTTATGAGCTTGGATGTGTTGCAGATCGGCTTGCCAGTGCGGAAGGTTAACAAGCGTTGGCCATTTCTCCATCGTCGGATGACCCAAGATCTTGAATATCTTGTCGAGCTGATCTACTTGGAAAGGGTTTTGAGACGATTTGGCCTCTGCTCCTTGAAACAACGGTTTCAGAGTCAGTAATTCTGCGAATATACATCCAACCGCCCACATATCTACGGCGCTCGTGTAGTGCTTTGAGCCAAGAAGCAGCTCAGGCGCACGGTACCAGATTGTTACCACAACTCCGTTATCTGACAGCGGTTTCAGCGGAGCTTGGTATATCCGTGCAAGCCCGAAATCAGCTATCTTCACTATCCCATGTTCGTCTCCCTCACCCATAACCAAGATATTCGACGGCTTCAAATCTCTGTGTATGATCCAATTGCTGTGGAGATAGTTCAATCCGTTGAGAAGCTGCCAGAGCAAAGACTTGACTGTATACTGGTTCAACGAGTGCCCGACTTTGTCTCTGTGGTGCCTGATGATTTCATAGAGATCATACTCGGCGTAATCAAAGGCAAGATACAGAGACATGTCTGCGAAATTGATGTGGACGTTCACAAGCTTCACGACGTTCTCATGTGAAATCTCTCTGAGTAACATGATCTCTCGAATCGCAGTAGGGGAAACTCCATCTCCGTCTTTTGACTGCTTAAACTTCTTGATGGCGATTGGCCTTTTGGGCGGGGTCTTGGTTCTAGCCAAGAAGACAAGACCATAAGTCCCTTCACCAATCTTACCAACGAGATTGTACTGTTGCAGCCACTCTGGTTTCTCGCTACTGCTGCTCGAGCTGTTGGATCTGGTGGAACTGCCATCCCCCATTGCCTTTTTAGCACTGTCTACCTAACGTACGTACTATGTGGAGTAGAAGTCTAACAAAACGAAACCATTTTGGTTTCCTCTTTTATATAGTTGGGATGAATGTGTTCCTGAAAATTTGAACAAAACTTTGGAAAATCAGCAAAAGGAAATGACTTTAACGAACAGAACATGCAAGTCACAGAAGAAATAATTATGAAACTTAAACAAGTGATCCAAATTACTTATATGTAAAAGCATTTACTGGGTAAGAAATCGAGATGACTAAATACTAGCAAGATCGAGTACTTGGAAATCAAGACAGTTTTCACAGAATAAGATCAAATACTCATCATAGACCCAAACAAACCAAAATTCGACTAGGGAACATCTGATAATTCAAATACACCCCTCAGAGATACTCTTTCAGACCGTAAGACTTCAAATGTTTCAGAACTTGTCGTCTTACCAAATCTGTGGCTCCTCTCAAATTTTGAGATAGAAAAAATTACCGAAGCCAAAAGAAACAGACGAAAATAAATCTACAGCCGGAACGAGAAGACGAGACTTTACTACCAAAAAGGAAAAATGAGATCAATCCAGCTGCAACACGAAGCTCCAGAGACCAATAAACCAGAGGAAAACCTAAATACCATACCCAGAGCCCCGGAGCCCTAATCCTAATCAAAAACCTAAAGATTCGATACCAATTTCAAATTCCGATAAAAGCCCGAGACCTATACGATCTGTTTTTTTTTTTGGGTTAGAAATCAACGATCAGGAAATAAAAATACGTAAAGGATCTGACCGGATAAGTCAATCAGATGAATGATGAATGAAATTCGGAGGACGAGCTCAGATTGGCGAGCGCCGGCGACGGAGGAAAGTAGACAAAAGCCAGAAAATTCCGGTGAGACGGAAGAATGAGGATTGCGTTTCCAAAAACGGTGACGTTACGAAGCAGCCGACGCTGAGATTTGTAATTTCGCCACTTGGTCCAACTATTTTTATGTATCTTTTAAGGTATTCATATATATAGGAATAATAGAAAGGAATAAGAAAGGAATAAATAGAAATTAAATAATGAGACATTCTCATTTACATAATTTCTCATCAAGGTTTATAAATCAGTTGACAAATTTGACATGTTTTCCGCAGAGAATACACTGTGGATGAGAAAAGAATTAGATTGTTTTAAGGGTTTAGAAACACAAAAATCGTTGACAAAAATTAAACACAAACGTATAGTAAAGACCTTAGTTAAACGTATAGTGATTAGTTAATCTAGTTTCTTCAGGTATTTTTTCACTGTATAATAAAGACTTTAGTTTTGTCGGTAGAAACTTACAAACTTTGTAAAAGACCTCAAACTCAAGTTTTTTTTCGTAGCAACTCCGATACACAACTTGAATTGAATCTAGTTGAAACGAAACATCAGAACACATACATAATTCACCTTTATTGATACTCAGTAACAAGGTTCAAAAAGGACGACTAAGAGGACATTGCTATGAACATTGAAGCAGACCCAAGTAAGCTTCAAAAATCAGATAACAATGAACTTTTTCTGAAGGTTATAGCAACTAACTAAAAAAGACCTCAGTGAAATAAGGTATGAAGCATTCATTACCAAACGTTAATCAAAGCACTTTAGTTTACAGAATCTCAACAACACCTCGGCTCACGATTTTTCCTTCGTTGAGATCTTGAAATGCTTTCCCTGCATCTTCAAACTTGTATTTACTTGAAACCGCGTTTGATAGATTAAAAATCCCTGACTCTGCCAATTTCACTACTTTAGGAAGATCTTGTCTTGCCCTTCCTCCATATGAACCTATTACTTTGATCTTCACAACAACCAAAAAAAAAAAAACAAGAGATTCAACATCGTGATCTTACAAGACATCCTCAGCATCAGAGGTATTCAAAGTAAGCAGAGAAAGCAAGAACACAAACCTTCCTACGAACAAGTCGGTTTATGTCTACTTCTCCAACAGAGCCGGCTTGTGAGAGTCCAATCATCACAGCTTTTCCACCATCTTTCACACTTAGTGTGCACTGCATGAAAGTTTGAGGCTTTCCCAAGGCTTCAACAGCAACATCAACACCCATCCCACCAGTTATTTCCTGCCAAGAAGAAAACAAATTTTCATATTAATATCAATTATCTTGAGAAAGAATAGGCCTTAAAGACACCATACTCTTATTCTTTCAACAGCATCTTCCTTGGCAGCGTTGACAATATGAGTAGCACCAAGGGTCTTGGCCTTTTGCAGTTTATCATCCTGAACATCCACGGCAATAATGTCAGAGGCTCCAAAAGCCCTCGCTATCTGCAAACAACTGAAGCAACAACTCAAAGATGGTTAAAGAAGCAACTAAAACCAAATCAGGTTGCAATTATCCTCAAATAAGAAAAATAAACTGCGATGACAGCTTTAACATACCTGGAGCCAACACCACCAATTCCAATTACTGCGATAGAATCTCCAGGACGGATCTCAGCAGCATGAGCCATAGCACCATATGCTGTAAAAACAGCACAACCTAGAATCGCAGATTCAGTGTAGGGCAGAGACTCTGGTAGAGGAGTTAATCCGTGAGCTGGTGTGACACAGTACTCAGCCATCCCTCCCATACTGTACATATACACTGGTGAATCTGCCAGAAAGTGAAGAAATGTAACCAGGTAAAACAATCATGCTTCTCCCTAACAAGTGTCACCTACTGTTTAAAAATCGGATTTTTAGTTTTTCACCATCATGTCGCAAAAACAGACGAGTTTGGCCATCGTAAAGAGTTCCTTTGGCTCTATTATAAGCAAAGAAGTCTTCACATAAATCATCGTGGCCCTGTATCCGAGTAAAAGGTATCATCAGCTAAAAAACTTACAGGCTCAGATTAGAGAATCCAATGAAAGCACTACACTTTCGTCCTCACCTTAGCACAATAAGAACACGTTCCACACGGCATAATGAAAGCTCCAACTACACGAGACCCGATTGGAAATCTGAAAGAAAAAAGAATTTTTTTTTTTGAGATTTTCAGGATTTCAATATAAAATCATTAGTGTCTCAGAAGACAAAACGAAGAATAAAAAGTGGACCTTTTAATGATCTTGTGATCAGTGAGTGGACCGTGTTCAACAACTTCACCAGTTATCTCATGCCCAATAACACAAGGACTAGCGAATGGTATCTCTCCTTTCATCACATGAAGATCGGAGTGGCAAACTCCACAAGCTGCCACAAACGAATTTTCAATATGAACACTAACATTTGAAATTCGAATTTCTTCAAAGATTAAATTTTAATTCAAAAAGATCAAGTCGTGAGGATATATTATATATACCCTTGGTTTTGATGAGAATTTCATTGACTTTAGGTCGAGGAATGTGAAATTCTTCGATGGTTAGAGGCTGATTGGGCTCGCGATATACAGCCCCACGCATGAACCCGCCGGAGCTCACGTGATACCCAGCCGTGGAAGACGGAGATTCCGGCGGAGGGACTCTACAATCATCGCCGGAGGCTCCGGATTGCAGAGATCTAACGGAGGGAGATGAAACAACGGCGGGTCTCGATAACGAAAAGAGGCTCTTAGCTGCGGAGGCGCGCCGGAGAATTGGAGCGAACGCCATGCAAAGACCACGGAGGAAAATGAAGATATCGACCGGAGTTTGGCAGCGAAAGAGACACTTGACGAGAAGATATCTGTTAACACTTTTGATTAAAATAACACGCGCTTGATTTTCTCGTTTGGCCAAAATTTACAAGACAACATAGTCTGTGAAAGTGAATCTCACACGCTGATAGTGCGTGTGTGTATTATTTCTTATCACGCAATAATGAATATTTATTAGACGAGTGATAATTAGGAAATTAAAGCATTTAAGAACAGATAATGAGGTTTTTTATGATTAGGAAATTAGAAATTTTTTTGGAAATACTATTCCCACTAAACGAAAACAAAACGACCCCGTTCATGTTTAAGCGCACAACGAAATGTCGTCGGTTTCGAGTCCTTCTCTGTCACTCGACTGAACCCTTAAATTTCCCGGCCATCGGAGACGAACTTGAACTCCGTTTATTACCAGCTAAAAAGCCATGCCTTTGAAGCTCCCTATCCGAATTCGATTCTTCACCCATTCTCTAAGGGGCACTCATATCGATTCCTTGAATTCTGGTGCACGAGCTTACTATTCCTCTAGCTCCGTCCCTTTTCTATTCCGGATATTTTCTTTTACGTTGAATCACTTTGCGTTCGGGTCTCGCATCAACTTCTCTACGCGTCCGAACAGAGACTTACCCGAGTTTGGGCAGCGGAGTCGAGACGAAGGAGAAATCCGCGCGTCGAAGAGCTTGATCGAAGACGAGGAAGAACTCAGTAATTGGGTATGCGATTTGAGGCCTGGATCGTTTCGTTTCCAGCTCACGAGCGAAGATGAAGATTCGGGTCCAGAGGCAGAGGATCGTAGCAGGGGAAGAAACCAACAAAATGGTGGAAAGAGTGGAAGGGAAAGAGAGTCTGATGAGTTTAGGGGTTTTAACAGAACAGGAACTCGCAATCAAGTTGATTCTTTTAGGGATAAGCGGTATGTTGATAGAGAAAGTGGATTGAGTGGTCGGATTCAAGGAAAGAGTAGTCATGGGTCTTTCCGTGGGAGGAAGGAGAGAAATTTAGATTCAGGATTTAGGAGAGATAGAGAAGACTACAAGGGTTTAGGGAAGCGGAAAGATCTTCTAGAGGACGAAAGTAGTGATGAGGATGTGAAGAGTTTAGTAATGGGAGGCATTGGGGATTTACTTAGTGAAGATGATGAAGACGAGGACGAAGACTACGAATTTCTCAGGAACAAAGCAGCTTCTGCTTTTGGGTTTGATAAGGAGAAGGTTATAGATACGGATAAGGCTAGGAATGCAGATCATGTTAAAGCTTCAGATTCTTATTTGACCAAGACAAGGTAGCATTATTCTAAATCTAGTTTTCTTTGTGTGCTGTTGAATTATCAAGAGTACAATAATCAACCAAAATTTATCTTTTTCTGTGAGTGAGTTACTCTCATCACTTCTTGCTGTTTGATTGATAGTACTTTATGTGGTAAATGGTTTTAACAGATTTGATCAGTATCCACTGTCTCCCTTATCGCTAAAAGCAATTAAGGATGCGGGGTATGAGACAATGACGGTTGTGCAGGAGGCTACTCTTCCTATCATTCTCAAAGGTATTACGAAGAAAACTCAGTAACTTTGTGAAATATACAGGATTGCTCAACTTTACAAAGACTTTATCTTGGCTAATCGTTCTTATACGTTTGATCTTCTATATTCGTGGTTTTTCCAGGTAAAGATGTCCTTGCCAAGGCAAAAACAGGCACCGGGAAAACTGTAGCGTTTTTGGTGAGACATATCATGATTTTAGCGATAAGGGAGACAGTGGATACTGATAATTAAGCCTTTTATTGGGATTTGTGCTTATTGTTGATGTTTACTTTTGAAGCTTCCATCAATTGAAGTAGTTGTCAAATCTCCTCCTACAAGCCCGGATAATAAACGACCCCCGATTCTTGCACTTGTGATATGCCCAACTAGAGAGCTTGCCAGTCAAGCTGCTACAGAAGCAAACACCTTGCTGAAGTATCATCCATCTATTGGTGTTCAAGTTGTGATTGGAGGCACAAGACTCGGTTTAGAGCAAAAGCGTATGCAGACAAATCCTTGCCAGGTAAATATTGTCTGCCATGGTTTGTTTAAAAGGATCAACTTTGAAAGATCCTAAAAGTTCCTTCAATATTTGGCTTTTCAATATGAAAAGTACCATTCAATATTTTCAGATTTTAGTGGCTACACCTGGAAGGCTCAAAGACCATATTGAGAACACTCCAGGATTTGCAACAAGGTTAAAAGGTGTGAAAGTCCTTGTGCTTGATGAAGCTGATCATCTTTTAGACATGGGATTTCGCAAGGACATTGAAAGGATAATTTCCGCGGTTCCTAAGGAGAGACAAACTTTTTTATTTTCCGCCACAGTACCTGAAGAGGTCTGTCTCATTTTCTTGCATATTTCTTTTGGTTTCTGGTGCCTTGGTCCCTTTTTGTGACCTGTCTTGACTTGTGTTTTATGGTGTTAAGGTTCGCCAAATATGCCTTGTTGCTCTGAGGCGGGATCACGAGTTTATCAACTGTGTTCACGAAGGCACTGGAGAGACGCATCAACAGGTCAGACAAATGCACATGATTGCATCACTGGACAGACACTTCTCTCTTCTGTACACACTTCTTCGAGAACACATTGCGGATAACGTAGACTATAAGGTACTAAAATCTTCCCAGCGCCAGTATTGACCGCGTGACTAATGTTTTCCCTTCCTGATTAACTCTGTGCTTCCTGAAGGTCATTGTCTTCTGTACAACTGCTATGGTTACAAAACTAGTGGCTGATCTACTTGGTGAGCTAAACATAAACGTGAGAGAGATCCATTCTAGGAAACCGCAGAGTTACAGGACAAGGGTTTCTAATGAGTTCCGGAAATCCAAAGGTTTGATTCTTGTAACATCTGATGTATCTGCTCGAGGAGTCGATTACCCTGATGTGACTCTTGTTTTACAGGTAAAATCAAGCACACATTAGTATATAACTCTTACCTAGACACTTTTGTCTCCCCTGCTTTACAGAAAGTGTATACATTTATTCACTTCTTCAGGTGGGATTGCCAAAAGACAGAGAACAATATATACACAGACTCGGTAGAACCGGGAGAAAAGGAAAGGAAGGAGAAGGCATCTTGTTGCTGGCACCATGGGAGGAATACTTTCTATCATCCCTTAAAGACTTACCCATCACTAAGTCTCCTCTGCCATCGATAGAACCAGAAACAGTAAAAAAGGTTAAGCCTTTTTCATATTGCAGTGATCTTGGCAAATCCTTTGCTTTGTTTCAAATAGACAAAATTTGGAATCAAAAATGCAATACCAATACCAAATCTCTTTCGAGTGTACAGGTGCAAAAGGCGCTATGCCATGTCGAGATGAGGAACAAGGAGGCGGCGTATCAGGCTTGGTTGGGTTACTACAACTCACAGAAGATGATTGGAAGAGACAAAGAAAGGCTTGTGGAGTTGGCTAACGAGTTTAGTCGTAGTATGGGACTTGACAATCCTCCGGCTATACCAAAACTTATTCTTGGTAAGATGGGTCTCAAAAATGTTCCTGGTCTTAGAGCCAAATAGATACATAAATATTTTTGAGGAATTTATATTCATGTTGAGAAATGGATAAAAATAGCCCCAAAAAAGTGAAAGTTCACAAAAATAGCCCCTCATTTTGGAAGGGGACCAAAATAGCCCCAAAAAGTAAAAAGTAGTAAATGCTATGTTTGGTAGTTTTTAAATATTGGGCTAAATTTGTGAACTTTTAGTTTTTGGGGCTATTTCTGAGAATTGTCTTTTTTTTCGTTTCTTCAATGTGTATAAAAGACTTATCATTACTTTAACTGTTTTACCTTACAATTTAACGAGTTTCTAACACGCTAAACACCATTCATTCGTCTGAATTCTTGTAAGTTGTAATCATTCAGAAAGTCAGTAAGGAGTAGTTGTCACTCAATCTCGATTTCTCCATTTTTTTCTTCCAATTATTTGGCAGATTACGTGGAAATTTTTATGGTAAAAGCTGCATTTGCTAACAGAAACTTATAGTGTGCCAATATTGTTGCGGGATAGAAATGGCCGAAACGGTTATATACTTACATTACATATGTATTTCTTTTTCAAAATTTTATAGAAAATAATTATGCCAATGTATAATCCAAATCCTGAACGCACAAAAATAAAACGGTTTTGAAATTGGTAGGTTGTAACCTTTTAATTAGTTGGTTCACCATACCAAAAAAATTGAATGGAAACTAGATAGTTTTCAGATTTTGTCTGATACATAATGCAAACGCATATTAAGAATCCAAACAATCAATTAATTAGTGAGAATTGGAAAAAACAATTTAAAATCATTTTTACCAAAAACAAAAGAAAATCAATTATGAACTCACGAATAATTCTGGACACTTGGAACTTGTCTACTTGATTCGTTAAGGTCAACCCATTTTTTAATTTAATAAGGTCAACCTGGTAGTTAAGACTTAAGAGTTTTGAATGTTAAGCTAACTACCTTTGAATTTCTTTAGATTTTTTTTTAATGGCCAATATCATATTTTCATTCATTTACGCCAAAAACGAAATCGAACAGAGATTATTTGTTTAATATGTTATCGCAGTTGTTATATAAAAGGATGTTGATAGTTCATAATAAAACATACATTGTTCCCAAATTTGAGAAATATATCCAGACTTTCTTACAAAATAAAAATAAAGACTAGAACTGAACTATATATACCTTTTAAAGTTGTAGGAAGTATATTTTTGAAGAAACTTTTGAAAAATTGTTGTTATATTCTAATATTCATCATTGTGCAATCTGAATATTTTTCTTACCGTTGTTATGTTGATTTTTTTCCTTTTACATATAAACATTATTGGAAGTCTTTGCTTGGATATATATCTTGAAATGGTATCCATAGATTGTAAACGAATTTTGTCAAAGATTGTCGACTATTAGTGGAAATAATTTGGCCAAAAAAGAAACTGAAGATAATTTGTTGGATATATATTGCAGAAATGAAAGAGTTCCGAAATTGTAGCGTGTTCTGATCCATATCTATAAGGGACTGACATTAATAGTTATGAAATCACGGGACGTTTCTGAAAAAACAAAAAAAGTTTAAACCCCGAGATTTTTCGGGCGTCGTAAATAAAAAGCGGTATTACACGTGGCAGTCAAACAGGCTGTCAGTTGTGGTTAAAGCAGACAAGCGCGTGACTTTAATATAATCTCTTTTCCCCGCGCCCAAACACTTTACCAAGAGAAAGCCTTTCTCTCAGACAATTCCCTCATGGCGGTGCTCTGTTGCTCCAGCCTTTGATTATTTCTTTTATTTTTTTTCCTTTTTTCTTTTTATATAATTTTAAACTAATCACCTAATTAATCATCATCAGTACAGATTATTGTTTTTTACGATTAATTAAGTAAACTCTATCTGATTCAATCGGCGAAGAAGAGGCGCAAAGGCTTCGTCTTTCATCTTTTGCTTTTTTGTTTTTTGTTTTTTGTTTTTTGTTTTTTGTTTTTTGTTTTTTGTTTCATTTTCTCCTGCCTATTTTCTGTTTTACCGATCTGACTCTCTGTCTTCTTCTTCTTTACGTCTCTGTGAAATGCTCAAGCTGATTAGGGTTTATCAAGTATTTCTTCGCTTTCTTGTTATCGCCTTCGTTATCCTCCCCGTCTTCGCAAGTGAGTAAGGGTTTTCACTCTATCGTTATCCACTGAAATTACTTGATTGTTTGTTTTTAGTTTTGAGATCTATTTTTGGTTCAGATTGTTCTCAACAGCTTGATCATCAAATTATCAGTTTCTTTTATTCCGTCTTATTCGTGATCTCTCTTTCCTAGATTTGGGTTTTGGATTTTGGGCATGTGTTGGTGTGATCAGAAGGGAGCTTTATCCTTTAGTGATCTCTTTGATACAGAGAGACACTAAAAATGGGGAAAAATGATAACTTTCTATCTCTTTGATTCTAACATTGTCATTTTAATCCAAGACATCTTTTTCTGGTTCTGAGATTGAATGTTGTCTGAAATATTTCATGTTTGAGCAAGTATGAATTGAAGACTTTTATCTTTACCCTCCGATTGCAAGTTCAATTTTTTTCTGCTGTCTTTTGGAACTATCTTTGAGATGCTCGTGGTTGTATGGGATTTGATTGAAGTAGACGAAAAAGAGAGAGAGAGAGACGAGAAGAAGCTTAGGCTTTGTCTAGACTTGCGTAATTTAGAATTAATGTCTCCTGAATCTTGATTTTCCTCTGTGATATCAGTTGACGATTTTCTTACTTTGTGTGGCCGAGATATAATCAGCTAGCGGTTTAGCAAAGCTTTACCACATCTCTGCTGCCGTTAACATGAACCAAATTCTGATCTTGAAATGAGTAAATTTTTTCCTGGGTTGACACATGCTCAGAATCTTTAGTTGCTAATTATCTGGCTCATACAGATAATAAAAAATGGCTGCGGAGCTTGTAAGTTCTGCAACAAATGAAAAGCTTACTGATGTGGATTGGGCCAAAAACATTGAGATCTGTGAAATAGCTGCTCGAGATGAAAGGTATAACGAGCCAAAACTTTTCCAGTCTTCTAATATAAGTGTGACACTAGTGCATAATATGAAGCCGTAATCAGACTGCTTTTTTCTTCTCTTAAAAGTGATACATTCGCCAACCTTCGAATTGTGATGTTGAATCATCCTCAATGATCATATGATGGAGATAAATATAAATTTTACTTTTGCGTCGTCTTACGCATACTTCTACTTTTTTTCGTTTGATAATGAGTTCTTCTTTTGTAAACAGGCAAGCAAAAGATGTTATCAAGGCTATCAAAAAACGTTTGGGAAGCAAGAACCCAAATACTCAATTATATGCTGTCCAGGTAGGTTCCTGGTCTAGATCATCCTTTTACCATAGAATCATGCTTTCGGAGAATGTAATTCCTTTGAACGTCTTGGTAACTGTAGTGTTGTTTTCTTTGTTCTTGCAGTTGCTGGAGATGTTAATGAATAATATTGGAGAGAATATTCATAAGCAGGTTATAGATACAGGTGTACTCCCTACACTTGTGAAGATAGTAAAGAAAAAAGTATGTTAATCTCTGTTTCTGGATATTACTTCTCTACAAATATGGGAGTTAAGCTGCTTATTTTAGTTTGCATATTGTTTGGTTGGCATTTTTCAAACACTCCCTTTAGTCGGATTTGCCTGTAAGAGAGAGGATTTTTCTCCTTCTTGATGCAACTCAAACCTCCCTTGGCGGCGCTTCAGGGAAATTCCCTCAGTATTATACAGCATACTATGATTTGGTGGTGAGTTAGAAACACAGTAACATTCAATTCCGTGAATCTGTCATCGAAGACGCGAAATTAGATAAGACTGAAAGCCTTTTCTTTTTTTTATCTTCTGATACCTCCAGAACGCAGGAGTTAAATTTCCTCAGAGACCTGATTCTACACCACCAGTTGTGGTCACTGCACAAGCGATTCCTAGAAATACGCTGAATGAGCAACTTGTAACTGCTAGGAATGAGGGTACTGCTATTACTCAGCAGCGAGAATCTCAAACTGCTTCTCCTTCCAGGTATCTTCTTCTTCTTCACTTGTCAGTCACCTAAATGCTAAATGTGCACTTGAACAGACTTTAATCTGTTCTATCTCTTTGCTTATAGTATTCTACAAAAGGCTAGTACTGCATTAGAAGTTCTGAAGGAAGTGCTTGACGCAGTTGATTCTCAAAATCCTGAGGTATATAATACCTCCATGACTTTGTATTGTTACCTCCACTAAACAGACATTCTTTGGCCCTCCTGTTGATCTTTTTACCTGAGTGATAACAGTTTGATCCACTTTTGTCCATCTAGGGGGCAAAAGATGAGTTTACGCTTGATCTTGTCGAGCAATGTTCGTTTCAGAAAGAGCGCGTAATGCACCTTGTCATGACATCGAGGCAAGTTTCCATCTCTCTTGCTTTAAATGACATGTTAAAAGTGCATTTTCCTTCTCAAGTTGATCCCCCATTTTGTTTATGCAGGGATGAAAGAGCAGTTTCTCAAGCAATCGAATTGAATGAGCAACTTCAGAGAATTCTCAATAGACATGAAGATTTGCTGTCTGGAAGAATCACAGTGCCAGGCAGGTCTACAACATCCAATGGTTATCATTCCAATCTCGAACCTAGCCGTTCTACCTCAAATGGTCACCAGAAACTCGAGCTAAACGCTTCTAATGCAAATACCAAATCGAGCAGCTCTATCTCGAATTCAACCCATCTCAAGCTTGAAGAAGAGGATGAGGAAGAGGAGCCTGAGCAGTTATTCAGACGGTCTGTCCCCTTACATTGCTCAGTCTCTAAATTATAAATTATGAAGTTGATTGCCACGTAAGGTGCTTGAATGTAAAATGGTTATTCGTGATACTAAGTCCAAGGATCCATGTGAATGTCTGCTTGCAGATTGCGAAAAGGGAAAGCTAGAGCTAGGCCTGAGGATGAAGAAGAGTCATCACCTCCACAAGGCTTACCTGGATCATTAATCCATAACGAAAGACTCAACCGTCCACTTATCCGTCCTTTACCATCAGAGGAGCGATCACGTGGTGGTGATAGCCATTCGCAGTCCCCACCTGTTGTGATACCACCCCCACCTGCAAAACACGTTGAGAGGGAAAAGTTCTTCAAGGAGAAAAATGTGGACGGTGCCTCGGGTTTACCAGGTCACATGAGAGGCCTTTCTTTGCATAGCCGTGATGGCAGCAGCTCGCGCAGTGGAAGTGTAGACTTCAGTGACTGAATCACCCGAGTCTCTGTCTCGTCCTCATAAATATATGTATTCTTATAAGCTTGTTCCTTTTAGGTTTGGTTAATTTACAGAAAAAGTTTATGTTGTGTGTGTTGATCTTGCTCTTTCCTTAGTATTGTGAAATTAGAATATAGCACAATGAGATCTGATTATGTATACGAAGAAAGGTACTCCCTTTCACTTTGTATAAGGAACCTGAGCTATGCTATTTACAGAAGTTGTTGTTGTTCGTGTTTGTGTAATGAAGCTGAATGATGGAAGCGCTATCTTTATGTCACAGGAGAACTGGTTGATCTTGATTCAATTGCATATATATAAAGGATATGTTCGAATTCACATAAACGGGAAGATACAAAAGAGAGCGAATATGAAACAAACAGAGTGAGAGTTGAGTTTCTTAAGCTTTGGGAGGTTCTTGGCAAGAATGTGCCTCTTTGACATGCTTCTCATATTCATCCTCTTCTTCTTCTTCTTCTTCTTCCTCCTCTTCCTCTTCTTCAACCTCGTCCTCCACGTCTTCTTCATCTTCATCAAAGCCCTTGACGGCACTAGAAGACGGAGCTGGAGTCCTTGCTTCTCCAACGATCTTCATAATGTCCTCTACGCTTTGAAGAGAGAAGCTCGGGTTGTCTCTCTTGTAGTACGCCGCTTGAGCAGAATCCGTAAGTTCCTTTGGCAAGTTCTTCAAGTACCACGGATGCTTCTTGATCTCTTTAAGTGTGATTCTCTGGATAAATTTATGACATCTCAATCAAAAGATTAATTGGAAAGTCGAAAACTCAAAGAAAAAAAAACGATTTTAACTCGGAGAAATGAGAAAGTACCTTAGCAGGATTAGTGACGAATATGCGAGAGAGAAGGTGTCTGCACTCCTGCGAAATGTGAACGTAGTCCGGAATCTTGTACTGAACGGCCATTATACGCTGCAGAACATTTTTTCACAACTCCATAAAAGTACTTAAGAGGTGAATTGTGGTGAAATGAAAAAACGTGAATTTGCCGAGTTAGATAATACTTGGATAGTCTTCCTGAAGTTTCTAGGATCGTCGGGGTCTTCAAATGGATAACCTCCAACCAACATCACGTAAAGAGTCACACCGCAAGACCAAACATCCGCATGCTACATAACACAACGACCAAACATAGTTTAGTTAGTTCCATTAGCAAGTGAAAGTTTAAGGATCAGACCATTGAAAAGAATGTTACCTTTCCATCATATTCTCTTCGGGAAAGAACTTCAGGTGCGATGTAAGCTGGAGTTCCGACAGTTGACTTAGGTCTAGAGTGAAGCAGAGACGACTACACATGGAGAAACAGATGACTTGTAAGATCCAATCCAAGTGATGATAGGAAGAAAATCTGAGACAAGAAGGAAGGGAATGAGACTAATGAATATGACCTTGGAGTAGCCAAAATCGCAGATTTTCAGTAGCGGCGCAGGACTCCCATCAAGCAGTGTGTTCTCAAGCTTCAGATCTCTATGACATATTTGCTGCGGAAAATAAGAAAAGAAAGATTATGCAAAACGATGGCAAATATATAACGTTTTAGCTTCATAAGATTTGGTTTTGCTTATATAACTAAGTACCAAGGAATGGCAGTAATCCACGCCGCAAATCAGCTGCTGGAAGAAGTACCTAGCCTGCGAACATAGAAGAAGAACGAAGAAACATAGATCAAGAAAATGTCGTCGGAAAAATTAAACCAAGACTCAAAGTTAGGATTTTTTGGGGAAGAAAGAAAATCAGACCTCAGCTTCACTGAATCTACCAGCATTACAGATTCGTTCAAAGAGCTCTCCTCCAGAAGCATACTCCATTACAATTGCAAGATGAGTTGGAGTCAGAACCACCTGAAAAAAAAAAACATTTTGACATTTATACTCTGTTTTCAAGTCCCTTAATCTCTCTGTTAAAGTACTAAAAGATTTTGCAAAACCAAATCAACAAGGAATTAAAAGAACCTCCTTGAAACGGATGATATTTGGATGCCTAAGTGATCTGTGATTGATAATCTCTCTAGCCACATTCTCGTCTATCTGCAATCCAACACAATACCATATCATAATCCTCAAAAATCATTCTTTCCACCAAAGTTTCGAAACCAATCAAAGGAATGTTAACGAAACTCAAAGAGAGAAAAGATCAAACCTTGCGACCTCTCTCGATGTATTTCATAGCAACGAGTTCTTTCGTCTCTTTGTGCCTAAGAAGACGAGCCACACCGAAATTCCCAGCTCCCAAATCCTTCACAACCTCATACTTGTCCATTTCTCTCAATCAAATTTTTATGTATGTACGAGCACGATCTCTCGTTAAGAATGTGTCACACTTGGATGAAGTTGGACTCGTTTCAAGAAAAATCGTCAAGCTTTATAATAAAGCGTCGTTCATGGGGATCTGAGATTGCCCCCACACACACACACACTCAGGTGTATGTATATGTGTATGTATCGATGATGGAGGAGTAAACGGAGGAGATGGGAATGAGACTAGGAGCACGTGATGAGCTTGCTCGAGTTCCGATGAACAGCTTCAATCCAACGGTCATTAATTTTTTCTATCTTAATTCGATCAAAAATTAACAACTAACTACAATCTGTACTCTTTCTTATTCCTTAATCCATCCTTACCTTACTCCTTAAACTATGCAAGTAAAATTTAAGGAAGATCATCGTTTAGGCTAATTTTGAATTTGATTTACTGTAACGTTTTACTTTCTACTTTTTTTTAATTGTTTTCTTTCGATTAATTGTAGTACAATGCGGCATGGTCGAGGTCGGTTAAATAGAGACAAACTCCATTGATCATTTCGATTAGTAGTAATAATAATAAATTAGTACAATATGCATGTGTGTATCAACCGACCATAACTAACAAGCTAAGTTACTAAATATAATTAACTAATTACATCTGGAGAATCCAAGCCGGCCATCACGTGACAGACTTATTGATTCACAACCATTCTTCATGTTCTAATAAATCTCATGGTTCAATAGTCAAACCTTAATTACATAAATTACATAAATTATATAGAAATATTTTCATATTTATTAACGTTTTGATGCAAAATTTATGACCCATAAGATGCATCTCATGTGAAGTTGTTTTCCGTTACCATGGGCCAAGCTTTTGCCAACCACGTGGTGTGGCTACATACTTTGTCATGCATAAAGTCAAGAGATTGGTCAATAATTACTTGTGGATAATATTGTTTTGTGTTCTCTTTAAAAACTCCTATCTTTGTATATGCTGCTTTTAAATTAGATATCATGTATGGAACACACAATGGGTCACCATCCAGTCCTTGTTCATCACTCTCAAAATTTCTTAGGGTTTTTTTGTTAATTTAATTTAAATTCTAGCATATAACAGTTATTATATTTCTTTTAAATTTTTGGATACTATGGTTTAACTCTTTTTCATCCATCCATGTATCACAATTAATTAATCTATCAATTTAAAAATGGAGAGTTTTATTTGTTGTAGTTGGTAGACGCATGACGCATCATTATCTAACTTTGAAATTCCAAATGCTTTCTACTTTTTGTTAACAGTATATAACTTTAAAATATCAACACGAACTAACAATCATGGACTGTACAGAGTCTACAGACTGAAAGTTTTCTACCAAATAATAATATGGTTCTCTTGATTATTTATACACGATCTACGAAATTTCGAATTTGCTGTCTACAATGTATGGGCTTTTGTAATTGCTTTTGTAAGGCCCATATATTTGTTAGGCCTGATATAGTAAAACAATTTTAGTCACGTGACTAGCATATTTGTGTTGTGATGGTAAACTGTGCATTTCAGTTCCCAAGTCACGTGGAGACAAAGCACTGCCGCACCAGTCCGCACGTGACTGGCTCTCTCTTTCACAAATTTTGTTCTTTACCAACTAGTATTATTACACGTCTGTTAATTACTACTATAGTGTTGCTTATTGTTATTCGCCGCCGACCGTTGTTCCGACTCCTAATCAATTCGTATATTTGAAAAACATTTGATTTATTACACTCCTGACTCTTGAGCATCTTCCGAGTGCACTTTTTGGTTTTATTGTGGATTAAATTACTAATTCATCGTTTATCTATCCACATATTTTTATCATTGAACCGAACCAAAATGTAAGCAAATCAATAACAGGTTCGAAACTCAATACCTAATGCTCACTCCATTAGTTGAAAAGGAAAAAAACATTAACTACATTGTGTAAATAAACCCTAACCACATTACATAAGATACTCTATATATATGGAGTGATGGAGACCCTATGTCTTGCTCAATTCATCACTTACGATTTCTAGCATTACATATAAGAATACTAAAAAAAATCTGCTCAATATCATAGGGACTATACATATGGAGAACAAAACTTTCGCTGCCATCTTCTTGTTTCTCGTGCTTTTCTCATCTCGTAAGATTTTTTTGCTTCACTTATTTTTCCTTCTGCATGTAAATGTGTAACTGTAAATAAATGGAGCCGGTTTTGTTCAGAGGATCCATACATGTGTTTCAAAACCATTGCTAGTTAACTTTCTTTGCTAATTAACCTAGATGTTTTCAAAACTTATTGAAAATCTCTTATGTTTAGTACTGTTTGTATAAAACTATTGACTACATAAGTTGCATAAAATGATGTGAAGTGTTTGTTACGCGATCTGCCTCCATTCTTAGATGTTGGCATTTTAATTTGTATCAACTTTATGCTATATATAGAGAAGATTATAGGGATTGAGGGAAGGATGTGTCAATCGAAGAGCCATCACTTCAAGCACATGTGTTGGTCCGACCACAACTGTGCCATAATCTGCCGCAACGAGGGCTTTTCCGGTGGTCGCTGCCGTGGTTTCCATCGCCGTTGCTACTGTACTCGCCTTTGCTAAGCATTTTGTTTTCTTTTCCATCAATCCATTAAATGTACGTTTTTTCCTTCTTCTTTTCTTCCCATTTCGAATATCAATAATAAGAAATTAAAAATAAAGCTTCTGGTTTTATCAGTCAAGAAGAACAGGATATGATGTTAAGAAAATCTTGCGTTGATCTAGAATCCGAGACAACCATTTCTTTTTAATAGAAGTTTATGTTTTATTTGATTTAATGGAAGTGAAATTTGATTTACTAAAACTGTCATCGATCTATATAAATGAGTTTTTCTTTGATGCAGTAGTATATTTTTTGTAGGTATATACTCCATCCGTTCCTTTGATAAGATTTTTATTGACTAAAAGTTGATATACCGTTTAATACATAATAGATTTCCCGGCTAAAGATTCCTCTAATACAAAGCGATTCAACACCGTACCCATTCCCCAAAAAAACATTTGAAGCATACCCATTTCTCTGGAGAAAAAAGAAGTTGTAGAAACCACAAAACTGTAAAAACCGAACAAATATTTATATAGAAGGTCCCCAAATGCGCAGACTTTGATTGAATCAAGTTAAACTGTTTTGAAATTGACCAAGGTAAACATTTGAGAGAGAAAAAAATTGAAAAATTGAATTCTATGGAATGGAATGTTCATAACTGGAGAGTACTTAAGAAAAATGAGAAGTGAAGCATCAACACAAGAGCAACAATGTATCAATTACATTTTTCTATTTCCCCTTTTCTCACTATTGGTATTCGAACTTTGGTTCTTATCTCTATTTGTACTCAAAAGAAGCAAAAACATCAGGAGGGTGAAGAATGCAAAAAGAATACCCACATAAAAGGTATAATATCATATGTACATGAAGAATATCAAATGAACAAATCTGCAGTCAAGTCATTATCATCAGTTACCACCATTGAACAACATCCAACGTCTTGTCAAGTCCCCAAATCCGAATGGTTCGATCGTCGCTCGCTGAGGCCAACATATGCAGATCAGTAGGGCTCCAACTCACACAGTTCACAGCTTCTGAGTGTCCTTGCAATACGCGATAAGGTGTCTTCTGTTCTCTTACGTGCCATATGTATACCTGAAAAAACAGAGAGAGAGAGAGAGAGAGAGAGAGAGAGAGAGAGAGAGAGAGAGAGAGAAAGATCATTCATTTGCAGAGGAAAATGCTTATGAGACGGGAAGATTCCAAGAGAGATAGATAAGTTGTGTTCTTCTCAAACTTTCTTTCTTAAAAGGGATCCCTTTTTATGTGTTTCTGTAATGTAAAAGAATGAGAGATTTTTACCAGTTCATTCTCACTCCCACTGGCGATGAAAGATTCTGCATAGCCACCAAAGCAAGATCTGAGAGTAAACCTTTTTCTCCTGTGGCCATCGAATTCCAAAACCTTGTATGGTTGGCCTTGAATGTTCCAGATTTGGATCTCATAGGTATCGAGATCGATTAGAAGATGACTGTTGTCTTTGGAAAGCGAGAACGAGGCGATATCCCTCTTCCCTGGAATCAGTTTATTCTCAGCTCCGGTTTCTCTATCAAACAATGAGATCTCATTCCCCTCCTTTCCCACGCTTACAAGCCATTTGCCATCAGTCGTCATTGCTACATCAAAAAGATTGTTTGCCCGTTCGTCTTGCTCGTGCTGTAGCTCAGTTCCATCTAAATTCCACATATAGATGCGTCTGTCTGCCATTGCGCCAATTATACCCGAACCATCATGAACCCATCCACAAGAAAGAGAAGCAAGACCATTTCTTTCATACGAGCGAACGAATTCTCCTGAACCAACATCCCACCGCCTGATAACCTCATTTTCTCCGCATGTAATGACTTGTCGATCATCAGGACTCCACAAGACTACTACCACGGGTTTCTTGTGCCCCACAAGTTTATGCTTCTGCGAAAACTTCCCCTGTGCATCGATCTGAAAAAGAAAAATAAAAAAAAAACTCATCTAAGTGAAATTGCTAAACAGCTTGCATCATTTTGAGCTTGATTATCACAGAGAAAAATGAATTCATCTGTATACGGCTCTTGTGAGGCATCAAAAAGAGTACTTAAAGCAAGCCACAGTCAGTTTACATACCTCCCATATAATTGCTGAGTTATCACTGGAAGAAGAAGCCAAGAGTTTGCCATTATGTGAGAATTTCAAGAACAAGACGTCATGGGTATGTCCCTCCAATATCTGAGCCATTCACATAATATCATTAAAGGTATACATACAGCCACACAAAGACTAATAAAACGAGCCTGATAAGTAATCATTGAATCCAGAACAAGAAACAGGGAACATATTCAAAGACTCTGACTTGAACAACATTTTAGCAAAAGCAATGTTACTCTCGTAATGTTTTCAATTAACACTCAACAACAAGATCATCAAGAGATCAGTGCTTAGACCTGTTACCTGTACAGTCTCCGTTGGAATTTTACGTTGGTCACAACGATGACCAGAGCATACGGTCAAATCACTATCCGGAATATTGTGGAAATTACAGTGACGCCGCTGAAGATCAAGAATCATCTCTAAGAGATACTCCAACTTCTTTTCTGGGAAGAGAACTGCAGGAGGAAACAGTTTTTGAAGCTTCTGCACAACCTTGGAACTTGAATTCACACTTTCAGCATCTTCACCAGAAGGTATTATAAGTTTGATCGCGAGCTTCGGAATGCGATTCTCGTATACATCAAGAGGCACAATCTCTTCTCTTAAGGTTCTCAGAGCATCCCTAGCATTTCCCATATTCAGAAGCGCAAGGAATTTTTGCTCTAGTAGAAAGAATTTCACAGGCTTGTCATCACGCAGTTCAAATCCCTGCAATGCTTCAATGGATTTGTCCCATTCTCCTTTCTTTACTAGGTCCAGAAAGTTCGTAACAATAGGACTGTGCAGAAAAATGCCAGACCGTTTCTCCAAACTGGCCGCTATGTCACCAAACCCAAGTGAGGAAAGTGCATCAATGATTATCCTAATGAACTCAGACTTTTTTAGGAGACCTTTGGAGCCTATCGTCTCCATTGGATTATTATATGCAAGTTTCCTCTCACGTTTCAAAGGTTGTGTAGTATCCTGCAGAGACAGCAATATATACAATCGAATCTTGAGCTTTCCTGAATCAACCAAGCATACGATTGACAAAAAGAGACACCAACATTTCAATTCTTCTGGAAAGACAAAGGAATCCGAAAGCAATCAATCGTGATAGCGAAGTAGCGATGAGATGAACAATCAAACCTTCACATCTAATGATCAATCAAACAAAGATAACTAAAACACTTGATGCGTTTCGATCAAAAAACAAACTAGCCTCTGAGGCCATCACAAAATCAAGATATCTCAATGGCCAGTATCGAACTCTAACCTCTCAAATTTACGGAACATTATCGAAAGTAACAGAAATCGCAAGAAAGTTCAATGCGTGAAATCATCAAAAGAAGACGGAAAAACAGAACCAAATCGGAAGAAGAATCGGCTACGGTAACGAAAGACGAAGTTGCGAAATGCAATAAGAAGCAGAAAAGAGCGATTGATCTTACCGAAGAAGAATCAAAATCCAGCGAGAGACTGATCGGATTCGCGGTTGCGGAGTCGAGAGAGAAACGGAAACGCGAAGCTCAGAAAGAAAAGAAGAAACCCGTACTGTGCGAAAGAGCGATAAAAGAGAGAATGGCGTGCAACTGTGAAATAGAAGTGAATGCTTCTATTTAAAGAGGGAAACTAGCTACAAAGAGGAGGAAGATGAATTAAACGTCGATGAGATTTTACTCAATTTCTTCCTCTTTGTATTTCTTTTTCGCGCTGTGTTAAATAGAGTATTCTCAATAAAGCATCCCAATATGAAAACATGCATGATACAGTTGCTTAATTCGATTATCTTTTTTTTTTTGTCAACCGAGTGTCAATGTTATACCCTAAATAAAGCCCAATTACGGCCCAGTCGTTGTAAATTAGAGATTCTTCGTCTTCCTTCCCGAAATTAACCAAAAAAAAAGCTTGAAAATTTTGGAAGAATCTGAAGCAGAATCTAACAAGAAACTGGAATTTGAGAAGAGAAATTTCAGAAAAGAAGTGATTGAGATCAAACAAAATGGGAAGCGCACCAGCCCAGATTCCAACTAGCTTTGGCCATGAGCTTAGGGCTTGTCTTCGTTGCCGACTCGTCAAAACCTATGACCAGGTCTCTTTGATTATTTCACTGTTTCTATTAGGTTTTTTGTTCCTCTCTTCCTTTTGTAAGATTCTCGGTGTTTGATTTCTCCTTCTAAGCTCGCTTTTTGTTCAATAGTTCAGGGACGCTGGGTGTGAGAATTGTCCTTTCTTCAAGATGGAAGAGGATCACGAGCGTATTGTGGAGGTTACTACTCCTAATTTCAATGGGTATGTTTTCCTGAAATCGAAACCCTTAAATTTTTATGTTCCTCGGTTTCTTGGTTAGGCAAGTTTTTTTCTTTATGGGTTCATAAACTTTTAGGGTATCAAAAGATTTATTTTTCAGAAAGTTCTGAACTTTGAAGTGATTTTGCTTAGGATGAAATCGAAATCCTTTCTGAATGTATACATTGATGCTTATTGGTTTCTGAGCTTTAAACTTGCATTCTTATTGGAATGGTTGTTTAAAATGTAACATAATTAGTGGCAAATTATACCCAAAGCTTACTACTTTAAGAGTTGTTTTTAGAGATGAAGTGAGAGGCTTAGTGGGGTTTGTCACTTTTTGTTAGTTGATATTTTTATCTGTACTGATATAAATCGTTTGCAGCATAATCTCTGTGATGGATCCAAGTAGAAGCTGGGCGGCTAGGTGGTTAAGAATCGGTATGTTGGTCGCTCTTTCTAAATATCGACTTTCCTGTTTGAGCTCAGAAAATAGCATACCATCAATGTTTCTCATTATTATACTCTAATAGAATATAGATGGATTGATTACTGTTACATTCATCAGCACATCTCTTTTTTGCATTAAAGAGTGACCGTGAGATCTCCAATGAAAAGATGACGTACAAGAGTTATGTGATTTCCTGAGTCTTAGAAGAATATGGCTCAGAAGCCTAAATCTTATATATATCTTAACGTGGCTTTAGATTGTCTTATGTGACTTTTCAAGATTGTTAATGCTTATATGAGTAGTTGAGTGAATGATCTTGCTAAATTTTACAGGGAAGTTTGCTCCTGGTTGCTACACTCTTGCTGTCTCAGAGCCACTCCCAGAGGAAATGCAGGTAATACATATTCTCTTCATGGTTTGAAATTGAACTCTGCAAGCCTTACTTTTGTGCTTCGAGAATAGAAACATGGCTCCCAAAAGAAAAACAAAAAGACCCAATTTCAGGCAGTCTTTGTGTTTTCGCTTTCTCTAACTTTGTTTTCCTTTCTTTCGCATTCTGGGGATTTGCTGCAGCACTTATGCCAAGAAGAGCGTGTACAATACATGCCCCCGAAACGCATGTGAAGCAAATCCATCAAGACAAAGACCAAGTACTGTATTGCTCTTTCTTAGGTCCCTCTTTCTTATCTTAGTAGCTTCATGTAACATTATCAGGTGCTTATATGTATCTTCGATGTTGTGATTGGTCCATGTTGAAAATCTCCAAGAAGTCTTATTTCTTCCACTACCTTTGTTTTCATTCATATAAGGTCGTTAGAGCACCTCCATCACGGTGTTTAACCCATTTTGTGGCACGATTTCAGACAAAATGATTAAAAAAAATTTTAAAAATCCATTTTCCTTAATGAGTGCTCCTTATATAAGGAGCTGAAGAGACCATCTCTTAAGATTAAGACATGTGGCAAGCGTTTATTGGACGTTTAATGAAATTGATGAGCTGTGATGAAGGAACACTAATGGACAGCCAAAACAGATTAGTTTTTTAATTTTTCTCTCTTCAAAAAAAATTATTAAATTATTTTTATGAAACTTAACATAAATAACACTAGTGGAGATGCTCTTAGTCCATAATTGTAAACAAACTTCTAGAAATCGAGAACATCAAATTTATCTTTTTTTTTCTAACTTTCCTCTGAAGCAAAAATTATTATGAATAGCAATCCAACTCTTGTTAAAAAAAAAAAAAGGATCCAATTTTTAGTTTCGATTTTTAAATTCTACAAATTTTGTTCAGCAAATTTATTTCACTTTGTAGGATGTCAAAAAAAAAAAATTTATTTCACTTTGTAGATGTTGAAAAAAATTAGCTTAGAAAAAAAATTTTGAGGAGTTTTTATTAACGAAAAAGTAAAACTTCACCCTTCTCGAAAGAATAGCACATGTCGTTTAGATCCAAAAGCATATTCTTCGGTTAGAATAATTAATCGTAATCTTATATGTTCATACTGCATGCATGTTAGTCGATAATTGATTTTCAACAAAGTTTTTTATTTTCTGTTAAACAGTAGAACAAAAATAAACCAACAAGTCCACGATATTCGGATTTCGAAGGGGCAGGAATTTGCCTTTTTATTATTATGAAAATTCCCATTGGGTATAATATAGGGTATTAATTAATTCCACGTGGCGAGTCGGTCGCCCTTATAAACTCTCTTTGTTTAACATTTCGAGTCTCCGGCGGCTTTCACACTTACAAAAAAAACACAGAAGCAGCGTTTTCAGGTAAAATCTAATTCTCTCCGATCATCTCTTCCGTCTTTCGAGATCCGTTAGATCCATTGGAAATCGTGTATCGGATCACTCGTAATATTCATCTCATTCGCTGAATCTAACAGTCCCATCTCTTTTCCGCTAGTTTAAGACTTGATTAGTTGTGATCTCTTCTCACGATCGCTTGTAGACGACGAATCGATGTAGAGTCTCTGTTATTTTGTATCGTTTTCGTCCCTTTTCCGTAGGATAGATCTTTCTCTCTCTCTCGGCTCTCTCTTTTTTTGAAAATGACGATCATGATTTTAAGTTTATTGATTCTTTTATCGAAATGGGTATGATGTTCATAGCAGGTGAGACACGAAGGAGGTTGTGTGTTTAGATTTTTGGTGGATTCGAAGAAATGTCGAACATAGACATAGAAGGGATATTGAAGGAGCTACCTAATGATGGGAGGACTCCAAAGACGAAGATAGTTTGCACATTAGGTCCTGCGTCTCGGACTGTTCCTATGATCGAGAAGCTTTTAAGAGCGGGCATGAATGTGGCTCGATTCAATTTCTCTCATGGCAGCCATGAGTACCATCAGGAGACTCTTGACAATCTCCGCACCGCTATGCAGAATACAGGCATTCTCGCTGCTGTTATGCTTGATACTAAGGTTTGTCTTTCTCTTCTCCTGTGATTGATTTTGTTCTTGAGCTTTTCGTCTAGAGGCGTGTAAACATGATATGCGTTGATCTCGCTCATGAACTAAGATCATGAATTTGGCTGTGTTCAAGTATGATTCTTGACTTCAGCCTCTCAATCAATAAGTTTCAGTGTAGAGAAATAAAGTTATATTTAGGAAAATCAAACAAGAACAAGGTTGATGTTTAAAGTGTCTTTGGTTGCTGTTTGAGTTTCTTCTAGTCAAGTTTCCGAGCATAAACATTGGGCATTTAGTGTTCACATTTTGCTTGTTATTGTTGATGGACCCATAGATCTCAGAAACAGATCTTTATTGATGGCATTGGCTCAGAGTAGCAACCGTTAAATCATATGTGTTGTTTGGAAAAATCATTAGTCTGTGCTCACAACCTTTTCAATAAATAACCTGACTGTTACATCACAGGGGCCTGAGATTCGTACCGGTTTCTTGAAAGATGGTAACCCTATACAACTAAAGGAAGGTCAGGAGATCACTATTAGCACAGATTACGACATCAAGGGTGATGAAAAAACGATTTCCATGAGCTACAAAAAGCTTCCGGTGGATGTGAAGCCTGGACATACCATACTATGTGCAGATGGAAGCATAAGTCTAGCTGTTCTGTCATGTGATCCAAATTCTGGAACTGTACTATGTCGATGTGAAAATACAGCGATGCTGGGCGAAAGAAAAAATGTGAATCTCCCCGGTGTTGTTGTTGATCTTCCCACATTGACTGAGAAAGATGTCGAAGATATTCTTAAATGGGGTGTTCCAAACAAAATTGATATGATTGCTCTTTCGTTTGTTCGCAAAGGTTCAGATCTTGTTAATGTCCGGAAAGTACTTGGATCACATTCCAAGAGTATAATGTTGATGTCCAAGGTGACAACGCACACACGCCCCTTATCTCATTTGTGACTAAGTATGGCTGTTTGAAAGTATGAGATCTGATTTTTTTTGTGCGGTTTGAAATTTTGAAGGTTGAGAACCAGGAAGGTGTGCTGAATTTCGACGAGATCTTGCGTGAAACGGATGCATTCATGGTTGCTCGTGGTGATCTCGGGATGGAGATTCCGATAGAGAAGATCTTTTTGGCTCAAAAGATGATGATCTACAAGTGTAACCTTGCTGGTAAACCGGTGGTCACAGCCACTCAAATGCTCGAGTCTATGATCAAATCACCACGGCCAACACGAGCTGAAGCCACGGATGTAGCGAACGCGGTTCTCGATGGCACGGACTGCGTCATGCTCAGCGGTGAAAGCGCTGCAGGAGCCTACCCTGAGATAGCAGTGAAAACAATGGCTAAAATTTGCATCGAAGCAGAATCCTCTCTGGACTACAACACAATCTTCAAGGAGATGATCAGAGCCACTCCACTGCCAATGAGCACACTGGAGAGTCTTGCATCATCCGCTGTACGAACCGCAAACAAAGCCAAGGCGAAACTCATCATCGTGTTGACCCGAGGAGGTACCACAGCTAAACTGGTGGCCAAGTATAGACCAGCTGTTCCAATTCTCTCGGTCGTTGTTCCGGTTTTCACCAGCGATACCTTCAACTGGAGTTGCAGCGACGAGTCACCGGCGAGGCATAGTTTGATATACAGAGGTTTGATTCCGGTTTTGGGTGAAGGATCTGCAAAAGCGACTGATAGTGAATCTACAGAGGAAATTATTGAGTCTGCTTTGAAGTCAGCGACTGAGAAAGGACTGTGTAACCATGGTGATGCTGTGGTGGCGCTGCACCGTATCGGAGCTGCTTCGGTTATCAAGATCTGTGTGGTCAAGTGATTATTTCTCAAAGGGATCATCATCTTTTGAAGGTTTATGTTTCTTGATGAAATAAAAAACAGGAAACAGGTTCCTGAATTTGTCTTGGTACTTATGCGTTCTGACTTTTGCTCTTATTATAGTTTTAACTAAGAAAATAGCATTTTGGCTAATTTATGGCTGGGCTTTCTCGTCATTTTTGGTTAATTAAGATTCATGTCTACAACAATTGTCTATACATTTTTTTTCTTTGGAGAATATCTAAAAACAGAATGATGACTTTTGTGTTGAGTATTATAGTTTGTGTTTTCAAGGCAAAGGTGGAAAGATACGGGAATAAGGTGAAGTGACACCGTTTTGAATATAGAGTTTGGAATTTCCCGGATCGGGATTCCACAGGATCTCACTAACGTTTGGCGTTTCGACAAACGCAATCGTGAATTCACCCATCTTCTCCATCTTCCCACGCTTCCCAGCTCTGAGAACGAGCGCACTGTTTCGCACGTACGAGAATATTCCATTGGTGAGCTTCACGATATCGCCTGCCTCGAACGCGTCGCACTCTTCTCCCCATAGCTGTATGTGAACCGCCGCCGTTTCATCCGCCGCCAACGCGAGACAACTCTTTCCGCTCGCCGCCACCCCTGGTTTGGCTTTATCGAGGATGATGAAACGCGTGTATATGTTGTTCTGCGCCGCCGGAACTATGTCCTTGAGAAACACGTACATCCTTTTCGGAAACCGCTAGAAATCTCCTGAAACTAGAAATTGAAATATGGAGGATTCCAAACAGTGATTCAAATCAAAGGAAGAACATTTTGGGATAAACAGATGAGCTTTGGAGAAAACATCTAGCATTATATATGTTTTCTCGAAACCAGTTGGTGAAAACTCAAAAATTCATTCAGACATTTTATCGAACACGTGATCTGCACTATATATTTATCTTTATCTATTAACTCAAAAGCTAATGAATCCATCACGATTTCTCATAAGTTTACTTATAATCAGCAAATGAATTCGAGTCTGCATAATTTCATAATCACTTCTACCACAAATCATTGTTTGCAAACCAAAACTAGAGAAACATTTACCCGTTCAGAGCACAGAGTCAGAGACACTTCGAAGTCGACAACAGAAACGTAAAGAAACACCCACGAGGGAGGAGATAATAACGGTGACGAAGAGAATACAACGGTGACTGAGAAAACGCCGGCGACGATGAGAAAAACGTCGGAAACCAGCCAATGTATAAAACAGACATGGGCTGAATCGAAATTGTCGAATTTAGTTATTTTTAAAGCCGGTTTTGAGATGGTTCATATTTCTGGTCAAATAGACCGGTTTGATTCCAAATCAAGTTTAATTACAAAATTTACAATGCCTTCACCAGTGTACCGATTTATTGTTGACAATAGTATAAAGATTTTGCTAAATTGGCAAGCAATTGCAAGATTTCAACAAATAGCAAATAGTTTGGACTTAAATTCAGCAACACTAGATAGCAGGACATGTCACTAGCAAGATACATGGAAATGAAGCATGCCATGTCACTAGCATATTACATACATGAGACCATCATCCAAAAGCCTGTCATCACCAAAAGAAGAGCTTTTTAGGTATTAGCCAAGTTTCTTAAGTTCTAATGGAAAGATATAACTTCCATTATCATTTCCTATCCGCCGAACAAAAACATATGTACAAGAAAAAACAATCGTCTTCCTCTTGAAGATCCTGCAGAATCTTGGTCACTCAGTCGATATCTATCGCCGTCTCCTGAGACAGACCGCTGATATTCCCTTGTTTGCTGCTATCTGAGGATGCAGCTTGTTCTTGTTCAATCTCGATGAGTTCTTCGATGATCCTTGGTGTTCCTCTTAATAACCTCTCCTGCTCTAGAGGTTTTTGGAGAAGTTCTCTCTGCTCTAAATACTCATCTAATGTGAAATAGTCCCACCAAGGGAAAGAGTTAAGGTGTTCAATCAATGTAAGGATCGTATATCAAAGATTTATTGAATGTATTAACGATGATAGAATCTAAAGGATATTCTTTTCTCCATCCTTTCTCATTAGCATAGTTGATGCGTTTCTGCAGAATGATAAGCTGCCTTGCAATCCACTGGTTTTTTTCAAGTATTCACACAAGAAATGTGAGATGCAGCAGAAAAACATCAGAGTGTGTAATCCATTTCTTATCTCGCATAATATCACAGAGTATTTCAGAGATACTCACATGTTTTGTTATATCCTCATGGAGAGCCTTAGCCTTCTGCTCCATTTCAACCTATTAGAAATAAAGAAATTCTTCACCCTTAACGGAGGTAATATACAACCATATCCTTTGTGATACACAGATAGCTAGATTGTGGTAACAACTTACAACAGTTGGCTGTCTCAGGAGGCCTTTCATCACTTTTTGCTTCAAATTTTCAATCTCCTCCTGAAGAGGAAACTGGAGGTTTTAGCTTTTACGAGGTAAAGCCAGAGAAGTTTTAACTATTCTACCCACGCATACCAGAACACAACATTGGTATAGCAATAATACAAAGAGATGGAAAAAAACAATAGTAACTGGTCACCTTGGATGACCTAAACTCGCAAAAGTCCATAAAGATAATTTCTCCATAAAGCGGAAGAGAGCAAAATCAAATTGGAGGAAATAATTCACCTTGCTTATGTCAGAATCTTCCAACTTGGAAATGCTAACATCACATTCCATGCCAGCAACATAAAGAAAGATCCCCTGGTCATCAGCAGTTTTAATGCCTACATAAAAGGAAAAAGAACATATGTGACAGTGATCGTGAGTCCGTGATCATTACATGGATGAGAAAACTTCGGAGACTAGATATGGAAATTTGACAGTAGTCACCTTGCCATGTAACAAATGAGAAGGAAGAAAACAGTCAATATTTTCTAGAATCTAGAAGTAGAAAGAAGCAGAAAAGCAAAGCCTAAAGAAAATACTAATAATCAGAAGTCCTTTTTACCTGTAACCTGCAAGATCTGGTACGCCACACGGTCCCTAGGGTCATTCTTTACTTTCACAAAGCTTCCCACCACTTTGTCCTCAAACTTCTCATTCTGCTTCAATAACTCTACGACTAAGCTCTTCCGTAGATACACACGCTGTATATTATCTGCATTGATGGTGGCCAAACCAGTTGACCGCATTTCAGGTTTTACTTCTTTTTCACAAATTTCCTCATCTGACCTTTCTGTTTTCTGCTTCTTGCAAGGCACTAAAACTGTTTCATTCTTTTCACTGAAGCCACATTCCAAACGTGTGATATACTCCAACTGCTCAAGATTCTCTTTGAAGTGACGATTTAAAAGTGTATGAATCCTCTTTCGATTCACATACTTCTTCCTGAAGATAGAATACAGCTTCTCATCACAACGAACTTTCTTCTTCTTTTCATGGTCGAGCAGGTTATTCTGATTAATGTATCTGCGGATAACTGACTCCACAATGTCTTGTGACATAGCGTCTCTGGTATCTTCCCCTATGGATGTTAGGAAATCAATAAGGCGCTTTGAACCCCATCTGATAAACTCCATTCTCTTTGTTTTGCCCCTCGTTTTATAACCTTCTGCATCCTCAACCGCATGGTGAGTTAATGAAATTCTTGGATCATCTTTGTCCTTAAGCTTGATGCCTTTCTTTCGTGACTTTGAAGAGTGGACATCCTCGAGCTCAACCGTGGGATCATCCTTGTACCTTACCTTAACACCTTTCCTTCGTGACTTTGACTTTATAGCGCGGACATCGTCAAAAGTTATATCTTCTTGGTTTTTCACTAATTCCCAATACTCAAGAAATAGACACTCCCATGTATTCCGATCTGACAAGTCAATCTTATCCTGCCAACCAGTAAAGGAATGTTAAGCAGAGAGAATAACAATAAAATGCCAACTTAAACTCCATTGGTTAGGAAAGTCATGGTGCATTAGCTTAAAAAGAGAGCATGCAATAGTTTTAAGAAAAGTTTGAAGGATAGACATACATTAAGTAATATTTTGTGTTATCACTTTATAATAAAGGAAAGAATGACAGCGTAGTACCCTACACGCTTTGACTCATGCTGACCAGTATGCATATATTTCACTCAATTCACTAAAGACACACAAAACGTGTGGTAGCTTCATCTATCATTTCCTAAGGAAAAGCCTAACCAAGTCTTTAAGTTGTTTCACTCTGATTCTTCTAAATTCATTTCATTTTTTGTTTCGTATGGCCATAAAGCCCTTTTATACAGATTTAAAAAATCTTAAACACCTTAGATATGAGCATCGGATGGCCACCAAATTTCAAGGTTAGGGACAACAATCGAAAATTTTGGGTAAAAGGAAATAATAAGACAAAATATTTGATATGCAGTTTGAAACATACCCCAGCAGCATCATATTCTCGAATCTCTTCTAAAGCAAAGACATACTCCTGGCATAGATTACATAATCCTTTATCCTCTTTAAGGTGAATGAACTCAGAATAAGTAACACAGCCTTCACACACAGCATTTGGGCAACAAAAACAGCATAGCTTTGGTCTCTTGCGACACACGTAGCAAGTGTGCCACACTGAAAAGTTGAAAACTTAACAATAAGCCCCTCAGAAAGCAAGTATGGAAGATACAGTAGCCTTCTGGCTGCAAAATTGAAATTGTAAATATATGTCTTCCTAGTGTGTTCGGAAATTTTAACAGACCGAAGAACCTAGCAAGGTAAATAATTAGTACTTGACTATAAGACTCGATAGACAGTGAGTATCTTACGTAATGATTAAATTAGCTTTTGAAAGCTCAAAGTCTACTCGTCACTACTAACGAGCTGGAAAAAAAATCCAGGAATGCACAAACTGCAAACTAAATCCTTCTCCAAATTTTCTCATTTTCTCATTTTCAAATATAAAACTATTCAACTAATTGAGAGAAGACCGGTAAATCACAATTCAAAAAAAGCTTGCTACTTCAAAATGGCAATAATATCGCAAATGAATATATAGAGAAACTGTAGCACTTACTACAGATCAACGAGTCTCCGTTCATTACATCCTTTTCCTTTTCAACGCAGCTGGCATGATAAACTTTAGGACAGTCCCTGTATAATAAAGCAAGCTCAGTGAAGTCCAAAGGTAAATAGATGCCTACATTTACACTAAATGACACAACAGACAATGCTAAATTATTCATCTTGGCGATCTTTATTCATAATGAAATTGTTGACTTGCATACAGATCTCAGATAATCAAATATTTAGCAGCGCTGTTACAAATGTACTAAGTCCTTTGTCCCATTATAAAAAGAATATATAAATCCTACTAGTTTTAGACAGACTTGAAAGTTGAAACTGATGAATCCTAGTTATAAATATAATAAACCCTCAAAGACTTAAACACCCTTGGTCACCAGAAATCAAGAACATGCAAAGAAATCGGAGATCATGCATTCTGTTTCCTTCGTCATCGGAGTTTCACTAGCGCCTGCGTTTACTCTGATTTGACTAAGAGCCAAATCCATTAACGAGGGCATGAAAATTTGTGAAATAAAAGACGAGTGTGGAGAGAAAGAGACTGACTTGTAGTCACAGAGCATTAGGCTTCCACCATCTTTGCAGACGAAGCACCAGTCCTCGCACTCCTTCTCCTCCTCATCCTCCTCCTCCTCCTCGTCCACATCCACTATCTCCACCGCATCCATATCTCTCGCCATCGTTCTCTCTCTCGAAGTGGCTACTTGGCTTGACCTAGAGACCACTAAGCAAGACGAAACTGAGAGACACTTTTGAGGAATACCCAATTTTAAGGCGGAAAGTAGCAGAACAAATAGCGCCAGATTCTAGGCCTCCGATTTTTAACCCAACGTCAAACGCCAAACGCCAAACGCTAACGCGACTTTTTGGTATAGTTTCTCTATTATACCCCCGTCATAACTTAGAAATGTGTGTTTTACACGATTTTTTCAAAGGGCTGTTTCGTAAAATGAGTGGTCCACAGTGTAATGTTTTTCTCGTGATCTTGGAACTCGTTCATATAAAGAAAGTCTTTCGAAAAAGTCGCGTTTTACAGAGTCTGACAATCGGCTATCGATTGATTGCTCAGAAGAAAAAAGAAAATGATCTTTAGAGGATAATATCGAACCATGCAGATTTTAATTTCGAATTTACCGAATGTAGATAAAAAAAAATTACACTTTTATTGTTTCAATTCACCGTTTAAAATGTCTCTCTCTCTGGATCGATGGTTGGAATTTGTGGTTGGAAATTCCGAATACACAAATTATAAAAATAGTTTATTGATAAGTAAAGTTGACCTACATTTAATACAGGTGTAATCAAGTAGTAGTATACATATATTGGTTTCAAATGTTAAATTTCATTTGTTTTCACCTATCCTAATTCATTTTCTTTTCTAATAAAATAGAAACAGGAGTACAGTATTGTTTTTGTTTCGTTTGTGAATGTAGATAAAATTACACTTTTTAAATATACGTTGTCGATTGCGATGATCATCAAATCGAACAAAAGTCACAATAGGTGAAGAATCGCATGACAATAAAGGGATGAGCATAAGAACATATTCAAGTTCAAGCATATATTAATACATTTTGATATTATTTATGTCATTCTTCCGTATATATTCTTACCTTGCTTCTTCCTCACATTATGTTTTTTTTTTTCCTAACCTGTTTTTTTTTCTTTAGAATTATCTTACTTGTTCTCTCATTTTTAACTTACAAGCCTGCGTTTCTATTTTAACGAAGAGAAATCTCAGATTTGCATACGTGATGTTTTAACAAAGCTTAATACAAAATCCTATATTTTGCTAAACATTATTGCTCTTTTTTTCCTGTTCTTGGACAAAGTAATTATTGGTCTTTTAAATACCAGATTGTGATGACTTGTGACTCAAAAATAAGTTGTAATTCGATTCGTTAGAAAAAAAAACAAAATTAGAAAAAATCAATGGCTTGCCTTTTTAAATGCCAGAAATTAAAATTTTCGATGTTTGAAATTTTATTATTCTACTAAAAAAGTGGATAGCTATAGGCTGATAACAAATGGTTTTAAAATATTGTTTCAGTCTTATCAGATCCAGTTCAAGTCTACTAGACTGCTACTATACATATGAAAACGGATGATTTTTTATGTTTCATTAAAAAAACTACGTAAAAGAAAGATGCTTGCCTTCTTTCATAAAAATCAGAAGACAATGTATAAGGTTTCCATCTGTTATTTTGTCCAAAAAATATTTTAGTTTGCATATAAACTTTTTCCTCTCATTTTGAAGGTCGGAGATGAGAGGAATATATATAAAAATGCCCTTTTGCATTGCCATCGTCCAGAATAGTGGAATATAATCCGAACAAGTGGAACCTTCTTACACATGCTTCTGTCTATTCCTACATCAGAAGCCATTTTCCCAAACATAACTAAGTTCTTCATTAAGTAATTAGCTTGTTTTAAATTACTGATTCATTCAAAAACACTCTTCAATATTATTATTTTGTAGGTTCATTCATTTCACCTTTTAGTCCCATTCACAATGAAGTCCCACACTTGAAAAAGAGATCACCCAAAATAAAGAAGCAAAGAAAGGAAACAAACACACCACCATTTAAGAAATAAAAGATGTTTCAACGTAGTGGGATTCTCTTTCCCTCAAAGCAGCATTTCTTCTTCTTCTTTAGATCAGCGAGTTAAACAAAAAAACTTGGAAAATACCTTTTGTGGGTCCAATAAAGGCACTAACCTAAAAGGGTCATCTTCTTAGATAATTTTTTTTTTTTCCTTTATTGTTGCTTCATTATTACACAAATCCTCCATTTCTCTTCACAGCCCATGTTTTTGTTCTCTTGTGTTTAGAGTGTGTTTCAGCTTATCTATGGCTCAGTCAGGTACTAAAAGCTTTGTTTTTAATTTTTCTCACACTTTAATGTCTATTGTTTCACCATTATATATTAATTATGCTTCTTGGTTTTTGTTATCTTATGTAATATAACTTTATAGCTTCTTTTAGCTTCAAGTTAACAAAATATTTGGTACATATTTAGTTGAAAACAGAGAGGTTTTTAAGAGAGTATTTGAACATCAAAAGCAAAGAATCAAAGACACAATCATAAAACGTGCTGTTCTTGATGCTTTATAAGTTTCCATTTTCTTAATGTTTTGGCTTCTAATGAGCTCTGATGAGGAAGTTATTGACTGATATGACGATGTTTCACATCAAAAACAAACAAAGCTGTTGTTAGTTATTAATAGATAACTAGACCAATGAATCGGTTTATTTTTTTTATTTTTTGCACACTCATGAACATTGTTTGATCATAAGGAATGTTTTCCGTCGATCATTATGTTTGATGTTATCTAGACTAAATATTGTGCAGATCGAAAAAAAAAAGATTTCTGAAGTGAGTTTGATTGATTTCATCTTTATATAATATTTCTTATTATATCTTATAAACGGCAGGGAACGGTGAAAGATTTCGCAATCCTCCAAGAACTCGAAGAGAATTCATTCAAAGAGATTGTTGTAAATGGAAAAATCAGAAATTGATATTACAATGCTTCATGGCCTTTGCTTTTTTGGGAATCACTTCTTCATCAACTCAACCAGATATCGAAGGTAATTAATATAACCGTTTATATATAAATCAATGATCTAATGGTATTAACTGATTTACATATTGTTCATATCGATCTGCTAGGAGGAGCTTTGTTGCAGCTCAGAGACTCACTTAATGATTCGAGCAATCGTCTTAGATGGACACGCGATTTCGTGAGCCCTTGCTTTAGTTGGTCTTATGTCACGTGCAGAGACCAGAGTGTTGTTGCGCTGTAAGATCACTTCTCTCAAGTTTAGTTTCCTGAGATTTCGCATTGTGTTGAGACTATTTTGTATCATTTCGTAGGAGTCTTGCCACAAATGGATTCACCGGAACACTCTCTCCAGCTATTACAAAACTGAAGTTCTTGATTACACTGTAAGTCATCACAAACCATTTCCACTCACGAGATTCTCTATAGATAGATTCCGGGATAGATTCCACTAAATCATAATATTGTTCTTGATGTCTTTAATGCAGAGAGTTACAAAACAATAGTTTATCTGGTGCTTTACCAGATTATCTTGGGAACATGGTTAATCTACAGACTTTAAACCTATCCATGAACAGATTCAGCGGCTCTATACCGGAAAGCTGGAGTCAACTCTCTAATCTAAAGCACTTGTAATACTCTCTTATGAACCTTCTATGAAATGTGAGTTTATGAGAGTTATATTATGGCTTTAATCAAGCAATGAAATTTGATTACAGGGATCTCTCATCCAATAATTTAACAGGAAGCATCCCAACACAGTTCTTCTCAATCCCAACATTCGAGTAAATTCTCTTTTTTTCTCTCATGAGTCTAACTTAAGTCACAGTGACTTCTCACTACAGTGTAATCACCTTTTATGATTCCTTCAGTTTTTCAGGAACTCATCTCATATGTGGTAAAAGCTTGAATCAGCCCTGTTCTTCGAGTTCACGTCTTCCAGGTTCTTAGCTCTTTCTTCTTCATCCAATTCACATACAAACAGAACAGACTTAACTAATTAATATCTCTAAAGTGCAGTCACATCCTCCAAGAAGAAGCTTAGAGACATCACTTTAACAGCAACTTGCGTTGCTTCTATAATCTTATTCATTGGAGCTATGGTTATGTATCATCACCATCGCCTTCGCAGAACCAAAAACGACATCTTCTTCGATGTAGCTGGTAAGAAAATTCACATATATTTACAATCAAATGTCTCGTTATATCACTATCTTTATTTTCCTTGAAAAATTGCAGGTGAAGATGACAGGAAGATTTCCTTTGGACAGCTAAAAAGATTCTCTTTGCGCGAAATCCAGCTCGCAACAGATAGTTTCAACGAGAGCAATTTGATCGGACAAGGAGGATTTGGAAAAGTTTACAGAGGTTTGCTTCCAGACAAAACCAAAGTTGCTGTGAAACGCCTTGCGGATTACTTCAGTCCAGGAGGAGAAGCTGCGTTTCAAAGAGAGATTCAGCTCATAAGCGTTGCGGTTCACAAGAATCTCTTACGCCTTATTGGCTTCTGCACAACTTCCTCCGAGAGAATCCTTGTGTATCCATACATGGAAAACCTTAGCGTCGCATATCGACTTAGAGGTATTACCGCACACGTGGCTTCTCTTTAATCGACTTAGATTCTTCTATTGTGTGCTAAAGAGAATTGTTTGTACATGTTAGATTTGAAGTCGGGAGAGGAAGGATTAGACTGGCCAGCGAGGAAGCGTGTAGCATTCGGTTCAGCTCACGGTTTAGAGTATCTACACGAGCATTGTAACCCGAAGATCATACACCGAGATCTCAAGGCTGCAAACATACTTTTGGACAACGATTTTGAGCCTGTTCTTGGTGATTTTGGTTTAGCTAAGCTTGTGGACACATCGCTGACTCATGTCACAACTCAAGTCCGAGGCACAATGGGTCACATTGCTCCAGAGTATCTCTGCACAGGAAAATCATCAGAGAAAACTGATGTTTTCGGTTACGGTATAACACTTCTTGAACTCGTTACTGGTCAGCGCGCAATAGACTTTTCACGCTTGGAAGAAGAGGAAAATGTTCTCTTACTTGATCATGTAAGACTTTAATAAGCTTTCTTCTTTATGAGAGAGGACATGATGAAACTAATCTCTTAAGTTTTTGATGTGTATGAAACAGATAAAGAAGCTGTTGAGAGAACAGAGACTTAGAGACATTGTTGATGGCAATTTGACAACGTATGACT